TGTTTTGCTTTTTATGTTTGAGTTTCTCATATAAGTGAAATTGTGAAAAGAAAAATGAAACAGAAATGGAACTTTTTCAAATGCAAAGAAGATTAACATCTGGAGGAAATGGGCGGGGTGGGCAGGGAAGGGGGACCAAAAAAGGATTAAGAAATATATGTACATGTACAAACTCCCCGTGACAAATGCAATCATGTATGGCAAACATGTATCAATCAAAATGCATTAGTAGTTAAAACATAAAAATCAGACCATATCCATGTTGGATTTAATTTCAGGAATATATGATGTGTTTATCATTCAAAACATCATAAACTCATTTGACAAGCTCACACTCATTTTTGATAAAAATTTTCAGCAAACTGGGCTTAGAAGGAAATTTCTTTAACCTGAAAAGGGGCATTCACAAAGCCTACAGGCATCTTTACAATGGTGAAATTCCCTCATCCTGTGAACTCATAAAAACAGGATGCTGGCCAGAGCCATGTCTCTTTAGTGAGATATTAGAGGACGTCACCGGTCCACAAGACCAGAATAGCAATCAGATTTATAAACAGTCCTAGGAAGAAACAAAATGATCCTTGTTTTGCAGATGGTAAGATTTCTAATGTAAGAAAATCTCCAAATAAAGCAAGAGAATTTAACATGGTGACCAAATAGAAAATGTGCTAAGGTTAAGATACATTTGGAAAGGTAATTTGATATTAAAGGACTGCAGAAAAGTGATACAGAAGTCTAGGAAGCAGCACCCTGTGGGGAGCCCCACCAGACTGGAACAGCCAGACCCCAGTCCCTTCCAACAGGCAGGTAGGCAAACAAGAAAAAACACCACCCATCCCACAGTGTCTGCCCTGCCCCATCCCCACCTACCCTACCTCTGTAAGCCACCGGCTGATCAGGAGAAACACAGGCTGTGATGACAGCCATGGAGGTGAAATGTGATTGGATGCCTGTGGTGCTCTGGTGTCTCACTAACACTGCAGGTCTGGGGCCAGTGGTCTGATCACAGGTTCAGAGGATAGCAGTAGGCAGTGTGGCATCTAGGGACAATCTCTTTCTGAGGGTTGCAGCCATTGTTGATTCCCTATAGTCTTGTTTTGGAAGTCCTATATCATTCCCATTGTTTTGCTGGATTGAGTTTTATTCTCTTTTGTTTTGTTTGATTATGTTAAATCCGATGGCAGGAGCAGCTATTTCAAAGATAGCAAGATATATTATGTAGTAATTCTGGATTTACTGTTGGCTTGTTTTGAAGTCCTTTACTGCATTCATAGTCTTGTTTTTATTGTTTCTATTTTATTCTGTTCTGTTTGATTTTGACTATGTCCAAAGGTATCTGCAGCTCTTTTGAAGACATCAAAAGGCATTATGGTAACTATATATGGTTGGTCTTGTAATGCTTTTGGGCCTGTACCTCTTACACCGGTGTTGTAGTCAGGGGTTTTGCAGAGAACAATTAGAATCAGGACATGGAGTTTATAATATTATTTTTATAATGGTCACCGGGAGTTAACACAAGAAAATGCAGGAAATCTATCTGCAACACCAAAGACATAGAATATTTAGTCAAGGGCGTGAATCCCACAGCACTGTCCAACATGAGTCCAGATAAAAACCCAGAGTTCATGACAATGCCTCCCACGAGTCCAACTGGAGGTCCAGAGCCCACAAAAAGGACTCACACCAGTCTCTTTTATGAATTCATGCTGGGAAGGTCCAAAGATCAGCGGTGGAAGCCAGAAAGTTTATGCCAGCAAGATGAAGGAGCTGTGCTGATGCGATAAGAGTTCTATTCTGGAGCCAAGAAGTCACACTCACAACAAAGACCAGGGCTATCCTGAAAGACACCACAGCCATCCTCTTCAACATGGAGGTCCCGAGCTCCTCCGACAATGACAAGCACAGTCTGGTACATGCCAGCGTGACAAGCCCATCCTGGAGACTAAATGGTACATGTCTTCCCCTCCAGAGCCAGGAAGCAATGCTCGATGTGAGGACCAAAGCTTCTCCAGGAGAACCAACGGTTCAAACAGCAACATGTAGGAGAATTCACAATGCCTCCACACAACAATGCATTAACACATCAACACCTCCACACCTCCCTTCTTCACCTATTTATCCTGGCAACTGTCTTCAGGTGGAGCATCTTCACACAATGCCACGCTGATGTAATCCAGCTGGCCTTAACACCAGTTCTTAATCCATAACAACCAGTTTGTTTTGATTGGCTTTATTCTGTTTTATCCTTTTTAAAATAAAAAAAATTAAAAATAAATAAGCTTCTAGGAGGGGATAAAAAATGATCATAGATATAACATACTTATGAATAAATCTTTCTAAAGTACTTATTGAAAGATAAAACATTTAAAGAGATATAGAATATGGTAGCCTTGGACAGAAATATTAAATAATCTAAAGATGTCAGAATTCCCTTAATTTACATATAAAATTGATTCTGATAAAAATATGGAAAGGGCTTTTTATGAGGCTTTATATGTTGACATGTAAAGTTATATGAAAGAGAAAAGCCCAAAAAACAGTCAGGGTCTCTCAAAGAAGTACAAGGAGGGAGATAAGAAGAAAATGGACTCCATTATTTTTCTCATTCCTGCTGAGAGCTTTAAGTCTCAGCTTTATCCCTTCCTCTTGTGCTTCGGATCTGGACAGCAGATGAAAGGATCAGTACCCCTGCTTCCTGATGCTGATAGGAAACTAAATCCATGCAAATGCCTCCCTTGCTACCCATGTTAGTCAGCTTTCTGTTGCTATGACAAAATACCAGAGGATACTTACCAGGCAGGGGAGATATCATAATCATGAAGGTAGTTTTCCCAGGGTTGCACCCTGGATGTGCTGATTCCTGTGATTTCCCCAAATTCAGGAAACTTGACTGCATCATTTGTGTGAGTGGGGGAGTGCATTCACACTTTCCCCTAAAAAAATACCAGGCAAATATAAGGAAGGTTTATTTTGACTCAAGGTTTCAAAGATCCAGTCCACAGTCACTTGGCTCCATTGCCTGCGGGGATATATCATAATGGGAGTACATGACAGCAAGGCTAATCATCTCATAGTGGGGGAAGCAAAGATGAAGAGGAGGAGGCAGGGCCCAAATAGCCCCTTCAAGCCCACACTCCAATGACTTCAGGTCCGCCCAGTATTCCCCACCTTCTAAGGGTTCCGTCACCTCCGAAGAGCAACACCAAGCATTTTTCACATGATTCTTTAGGGACATTTAGGATTCGAACTCTGAGACTACCTCTATACCTTTTAGAGGCACAGTAAGAACCAGGCCATGACTTTAACTTGCTCTCTTGAAGTATGCTGGATTTGTGTGGGAAGCCTGTCCTCCTATCCTGTTCTCTCCAAAGTCCTCATTTGTCCGATAGATCATTTCGTGGTATCGACTGGACTTTGTGTGGTTCCTTCTGCTTTAGCAGGTGACCACAGCGAAGAACTCTCTGACTATATACCAGTATTACTGAAAGGGGGACCGATAAGGGTTTCTGCATTAAATGATCCTATTGCGTTACATAAGAACCATGAATCCTGACAGTGTGTGACATGGTGGCCTTTGATGAGATGTCAGGAAGAAATTTGTGAGTCAGAGCAAGGAGTTCGGATTTCATTTTCAGAGTAACAAGGAACTTTAATCAAGGAATAAACATGACCTGTTTTTAGCCTTGTAAAGATTAGTCTAGCGGTTATGGGCTGAATGGTATGTTCCCCTTTCCCCAGTTCATATGCCGATGCTCCAACCTCCAGTGAGACTGAATCAGGAAGGTAATTAAGATTAAATGAAGTCAGAATGTTGGGACCTAATTCAACAGGACTGGTATCTTATGAAAAGACAACAGACTGCAGATCTCTCTCTCTCTCTCTCTCTCTTTCTGTCTCTGTCTGTCTCTCTCTCTGTTTCTCTCTCTCTCTCTCTCTCTCTCTCTTTCTGTCTCTGTCTGTCTCTCTCTCTGTTTCTCTCTCTCTCTCTCTCTCTCTCTCTCTCTCTCTCTCTCTCTCCCTGCAGTAAGCAAAAGTCATAAGGAAAAGAGTGAAAAGAAAGCAGTCTACAAGCCAAGAAGAGCAAACTTACCAGAAGCTAGGCCTGGTGGTATAGAACCCAAATTTTGGATTTGCAGCTTCCCAAAGTGTCAGGAAAATGTATTTCTGCTATTTAAGCTCTAAGACTTCATGTTCGGTGGTGGCAGTTGGAGCAGATTAACACTAACAACTGTGTGTAACAGGAAAGGGAGATCAGTATTGGAAGTGGAGAAGGAGGTAAGGGAACAATGACCCAAAGCAGGCATTAGAGGTAGAGACACTGAGAAGCAGACATGCCTGGGCTGTGCGGGGAATGGCTCATGGGAGGCTGATAGATTGGAGCTGGAGGGTAAAGAAAACTGAGGAATCAAACTCCAGATGCATAGATAGGTAAATCTAATCAACTTCCCGTTTTTTAGTTTGAACTTTAAGAAAAATTATTTCACTAAAGAATAAAAGTAGCTGGAAGAGGAATAAGAAGATATTTTCAGACAGAAGGAATAGTGAAACTGCAGCAGGCAGTGTCACTTTACAGTGTTATGTAGTACAGTTTTTGAAAGTTCTGGGCATCAACCCTGAGGCCTCTGATGCTGAGTAAGTGCTTACCACTGAGTCACACCCCAGCCTGGGTAGCGCATGTTTACAATGCAACAGGACCTGTGATTTTAGAGTGAATTTAACAGTGCCTGAAAGAGACCCAAGCAACTTCCCAACTCTCCAAATAAGGTATCATCTGTGTTCCTTCCCAGTCACCAGTGACTCATTCCCTGAGTGGAGAAAGAATGTGCACTGTGACACAGATCTACATCACTCTTAAATCACTTGGACACATGAAAAGCTCATCAGTTTAATGAGCTTCTAGAAACCTCTGGGAAGCCAGTGTTTTGGAGCCAAATTCTAATTTTGTCTTAGGCTCTCTGACAACACTAAGATTTTTAGCGCACAGCAATAGCACAGCCTGCTGCAGCGGCAGATGAAAACAAGTAATTTATTTTATTTGGAATATTTTATTACCAAGTGGTGGCTTGGTTTTAGTCAGATGGAATAGCTTTTATGACATAGATACTGCAGAACTGACCTTCCAGACATCTGCTTAGCTGCCTGGCCTTCTCTTCCCAGAGGGTGAGTTTTGCTCTTTTAAGTGTAATTCTCTCCCCTCCTGATTAAGAGGGGGAAGAGGATGTGCAGGAGAGGATCAGCGCTAGCAGATCAGCATGCTCTTCTCTTCGGTCTTCTCCTATGCTGTTGGTCTTTTCCCTCAATTCTCATCTTCCTCTTTCATGATTTTCTCCCCTATTTCAATAGACGATACCCTTCATTGGCATTATAATGGACCTTCTGTAAAAGTGTTTATTTACCACTAACAAAAGCAAGAATCAGGACAACAGAATCTTGAGATGTGACTGTTGTTTTTAGTAAAGTTTCTGCCTTAGAGTATTACATAGTAGATTCCCCACCTTGTTCATGAAAGATTGTTCCAAGACCCCCATTAGATGCCTCAAACTGCAGGTAGTACCAAAGCTTAAACATTTTTCCAATATATATATATAATGATCTATAAGTTAGGCATAGGAAGACATTAGCTATAAGCAATACAATTGAATAATTATAGCAATATACCTGTGTTAATCAACTTTCTAATTTTCTATCACTCTGGTAAAGCCCTTGGGAAGCACAGTTTAAAAGAGGGGAAGGTTTCTTTTGGCTCAGTTTCAGAGGTTTCTGCCCACAGTTACTTGCTCCGCTGTTTTAGGGCCTGTGGTGGGGCAGTATGTTGTGGAAGGGATGTGCGGTAGAGCAAAGCTGCTCGCTTCATGGTGACCAGGAAGCAAGGAGAGAAGGAGCTGCCATCCTGATGTCCCCTTCAAAACCACACTCCCAATGACCTCACTGCATTGCACTGGGCGCTGCCACCTGAAGGCTTCATGACCTCCCAGCAGTGACGTGGGTGAGTGACCAAGCCTTCAGCATATGAACCACTGGGGGACACTCAAGATCCAAACCATAACAATTCCACTTAAAGTAAGCACTTTACACCTTCCATGGTCATACAGGAATTTCCAACTTTGCCATTCTTGCTCTTTGAGGCCACCACTAAGTAAAGGAAATTATTTGAGCACAAGCCCTGTGATACTGCAACAGGTGACCTGATGCTCATGTAAAAGAAGAAATCACAAACATACTGAAAGAACTGCTCAGCGTATCTAAAGGAGACAAAGATTAAAAAAAAAAAGAGGAGCCTAGGAAAATGATAGAAAGCTTGAATGAACAATATAGAGAGGAATTACAATTCATGAAATAGATTCAAAGAGATATCCAGGAAATTAAAAAGTCATTCAAAAGCTGGAAAAACTGCTTGAAAGAGATTGAAGATAGACTTTCAAACCTTGAAGATAGGATTGCAGCTAGTGATTGTGAAAGCAAAGAGCTCTTAAAAATAATAAGGAATCAGTAAATAATTCAATGGTTGTAAGACAACACAAAGAAGCATAATCTAGTAGTGATAGGTATCAGTGAAGAAGCAGGGGTCAACACAAATGAAATTAAAAGGCTATTTACAGAATAATAGCAGAAAACTCAAACAAAACAAAAGGACCAGCTAGCCATAACCAAAGTAAATCTACACTCAGACATGTAATAATGAAGATCCCAGAAATTCAGCACAAGAACAGAATATTAAAAGCTGTTAGAAAAAAGAAACAAATCACCTAAAAGGAAAACCAGTCAGAATCATGACAGACTTCTCAACACAAACCATCAAGTCAAGAAATGTTTGGAGTGAAGTATTTCAAATTCTGAAAGAAAACAACTTCCAACCCAGATTGATGTACCCTACAAAACTATGTTTCAAAATTGATGGAAAAATAAGATACCTCTATGATGAACAACTAAAGGAATTCATGACTACCAAACCAACCCTACAGAGAGTGCTAAAGGACATTCTAGAGAGAGATGAAGATGATCATGGTTCCTGGAACAGCAGCAGAATATAGCCAAACAAGACAGGCAATTGAATTAAGGGAAAAGTGGAAGGCCAACAACAGGAGGATAGCAGGGCGGAGACAATGTGTGCTGGTTGTAACTATTAATGTAGATGGCCTCAGGTCAGCAATAAAAAGAAACACAGGCAGAGTGGATCAAGAAGCAAGATCCATCGATATACTGTATACAAGAAACATATTTAACTGCAAAGGAAATTCAGAGACTGAAAATCAAGGAGAGAAAACAATTGCTCCATGCAACAGGAGACCAGGAAAAAGCAAGGGTAACTTGCCCATCAACCACCGAATGGATAAGAAAGACACGGTATTTTCATACAATGGAAAGCTACCCAGTAATAAAGTAGAATAATCTCAAGCTCCTGTAGGTAATGGACCCAACTGGAGATCATGTTCATGGGCGAAACAGTTTGAACTCATATGTGTGAACCCTAGCATAAGAAACAGAAGGAGTTCATGGGATCCAAAAGCAAAATAGTTATTGTAAAAGTGAAGGGGAGGAAAAACCTGGGAGGAAAAGGGGGAAACTACTGTTAATTTCTTATTGTCTTGTCTTGAGCTCTTGTATTTTCACAATTTTGTTAGGTCTGGCTTTCTTCTGTCTTGTTTTGCTAGATTTTACTTTGTCTGATGGTGTGGGCAGCTATTTTGAACATAATGGGATGTCTGATGCTGCAAGCCTGGAGCTGGGGAGAAAGTGCCAGTTGGCCCTTTTTCTGTGTGTGATCCGTCTCTTATCTTTCTCTGTTTGCTCTGTTTTTCTCTTCAGATCCTTCCTGGGGCTTGGGAATCTACTACCCTCTTTTTTTCTCCCTCAATTTGTTATTTTCAAGTATCTCCATTCTGAATGTGAAAGAGTACAACTGGTGATTTGAGAAATGCAAATTAAAATAACTCTGAGAGTCTGTCTCCAGAAAGAATGGTTATTATCAAGAAATCAACAATAACTAATGCTAATGAGGCTATGCAGCAAAAGGAGCCTTTCTCCATTGCTGGTGTGAATGCAAAATGGTACAGCCACGACAGAAATCAGTATGGAGACTGATTTTTCAAAAAACTAAAACTAAAAGTTCCATTTGTCCCAGCTCCCCCCTTCTAGGTGTCACCCTGAGAGTTAAAAGCATCATCCCACAGTGGGATACGCGCACCCGTGTTTACAGCAGCACAATTTATAACAGCTAACTCTTGGAAACAGTCCACATGCACATCAACAGAAGGATGGATAGAGAAAATGTGGTTTTTATACACAATAGAATTCTATTGTGTCAAGGATAAATTTGAATCATCTTTTTGGATAAATGGATGTATTACACACAGGTTTAAATGCCTCAGTGTTTCTCTTATGTGAAGAAGCCAAAGGAAAATAAGCATAAGGAGGACAGACACTGGGAAGTAGAAAGAGCAGGCTCCAATGGAAGGGGAACAGAGGGGAAAGAGGAAAGGGAAGAACAGACAATGGAAACAAGATTAAAATGGAAAAAAGGGTGCTGGGGATTTAGCTCAGCAGCATAAGCACCTGCCTTGCAAGCAGGCGGTTGTGAGTTCGATCCCTGATACCATTAAAAAAAGTTTTAAAAAAATGGAAACAAAGCTTTTGTAAATGGGAAAGGGAAGAACAGTTTAATGGAGGGGAAAATAATGGGAAAAATAATAACTAATGTCTATTATGTACAGATCAAATCCCATATGATGAATGTGATCATTATGGATAAAATATACTAATAAAAATATAAAAAATTTGAAAAACAATACACTGCAAAGTGTAATTTGAACTTTTTTCTTTTTAAGAAAAAACAGATTTTAGTTGCACAGAATTTAAAACAGACTGAGGCTTGTGGAACCAAATGGAAGGGTCTAAAATATTTCCTTCTAAATCATGCTCCACATATTTTATTAATCTGTGAATAAAATTTATTCCAGGATGGTACTGTACATATTTAATCATAGCCAACCTTTCTTCTAGAACATTAAGTAGAGCTAATATTGCATAGAAAATGGGAACTCCAAAAGGTTTTAAAATTAAGAAGCATGTTAAAGCATTTTATTTAGATTCAAATATTAACTCAGTTTGCTCCCAAATTAACAATTTTACCCAAACTCCCTGATCCTAAAGAATCAAGGAGTTTAAAGCACTTTTTGTCTAGAGCACTCAACATAAAGACAAACAATGTCAAGGTTTACATGAAATATCTGTTAAACATTAAAAGATCTAGTAAAGTAATATTAGAATATATATAATAAATGAGAAATACAAGTTGATAACTCAAAATTTTCTGTTAATTCTTAAACCTAGACAAATACAGGCTGATAACACAGCTGAAAAACTACAATCACATATCATAGAAATAAATTACTTTAATACACAAACACCTAAGTTATTTCACCTATGTAAAAAATGCACCAAATGTTTTGTTAATGAAGAACATACCCTGATAATGACATACGTTCAAAGTCCAAAAAAGATTTTCTAAACTTTCCTATAAATCAGAAAGTTTTCCAGAAGCACTTCGGCCTAAAATGCTTCATTTTTGGTATCAGCCCAGATAAATATTTTGGAAAACTGGAAGAAATACTCTATTTCCTAGTGGTTTGAGGAGTCTCAATATGGCTGGGCAAAGAAGATATTTTTCCCATTCTTACTTGGAAGTTTGTACACATATTCACAAATGGCATAAATTTAAGTTTTGAATTGGCATGTACAAAATCCTCTCTAAGGAAATCACAGGCCAGAAATACATTGGCAATTTCTGACCCCTGGAGCAGAGCGCAGAATAACATGCAGAACCCTGCTTTCCTCGTGGTGAACTAGGTATTCATGCCAGGCAGAAGCTGGCACTGTGCTCCAGCGCCCACTGCACAGGCAGTGACAGGCAAGGCCTCAGCTGAGAGTTCCTCACAGGGAAGTATAAACTCCTGTGTGACACTCCTAAAAAAGCACACAGGGATCAGAAACTGGAATCCAAAAGAACTCCATGGTTTCTAGTAATAGGAGACAAGGTAACATCCAGAGCTCTCGCTGAAAACCAGAAACACTGGGAAAAACAGAGTCAGCCTTGTGCAAGTACCAGAACACTACTAAAGAGGTGGAACGTACAGGACTGCAGAGACATAAACAGATACCATGTAGGTGAGCCCAGCCTTTGGGATTGTTCTTACCCCAGAGATACCTGCTGATGGGGTAGTTCTGAGCTGAGCAGAAGTCTCAGGACAGCAGACACAAGCTCAGGCTACCAAGGAGTGGATCTGCCTGGAGACCTTTGCCATCACACTGCCACACTCTGACAGTGAAGACCGACTACAGTCGGATCTGGCTCCAAATTCAGAATCTTAAGCCCATCCTGGAATAAAGTAACGCAAACCCTTTCAGAATAACAGTAACAGCAATCTCCTTCAAAGAACTTCGTATTTTTCACAAAGTCAAAACACAAAATAACCACCAACAGCAGCAGGTATACTAGGAGGCAATAAGAATGATAAAAATTTAAACAGAAAGGGCAGCTAGAGGACCTAAGCCCTGAGCACAGCTTCTCAATTATCTGTAATAAAAGGAAATCAAAAACCTGAAGATTTTGACAGAAAGTTGGAAAAAATGTGAAAAAGTACTACATGGAAATTCTAGAGCTGAAAATAAAAACTACTCAAGTTGAGAATAAGTGGATTTTAAAAATTAGACACAATTAGACAATGAGAAAAATTGGTAAGCAATAATATAGGTGATAAGTAAATTACTAGAATGGAGACAAGAGGATAGAGAAAAGAAAGCATAGAAGAGACAAGGAATTAAGCAAAAAGTTCTAATGAGTGTAGGTCGCAACCCAGAAGAATAAAGGCCACAGAGTCAAAGCTGTATTTGAAGAGAAACTGATCATTTTCTTAAACAATAGAAGTTATTTTAAGGAACTAAGTAGTACTGAGCACCTGCATGTATGACTGTATGCTGATATAAACACCACAATCTGTGTTGTGGGGAACTGTCAGACAAACGACCCCACATCTTCAATAAACTAAGGGAGACAAGGGACATGAAAATACGTGAAGTCAAAAATCCTCAAGCAGATCAGTTGTTCACGTGATGTGGGCTGTGACTGCATCCTGATTCAAAAGGATGCATGTGGGAAAAAAACTAATATACAAAATGACCGTGCACTTGGACAATAACTTGATGTTATTAAAAACTAATTTTTGGGCCAGGGATTTAGCTCAGGGGGATTTAGGTCAGTGGCATAAGCGCAGCCTGGCAAGGGCAAGGTCATGAGTTCAATCCCCTGTACCAAAAAATAAGTAAGTAAAAAATTAAGTTTCACTTTGGTGTGACAATGGTTTTGTACTTATGTTAGAACCAAAATTTTTATCCTTTACAGACACTGACACACTTAAAAATGGTAGAATTCCTGGAATTGACTTAAAATAAAACGAAAGTAGGATGTTGATGCAGTCAGTTGTTAATTAAAGACAATTTACCATGGTTAAGTATAAAAATAGATACCGGATTCATGCAAGTTCACAGCATTCTTTAGTCTACTTTTGCTCGTGTGCGAAGTTCTCTAAAATGAAACTTACTTCACTATTGGTAACTTGGCTTCTCTCATGATACATTAGCGGGCTTCGTAACCCACCTTTCCCGGGCACTTTTAAGACGGTACAGACCTCGACCATCGTATTACGCCTTTTCACGCCACTCTCCAAGCACAGGTGTAACAATAAACTTATCAAAGGTTAAGTAAAACCTCAGTCGTTAAACTGCATTAAACTGTGTCAGGAACCAGTAACTTTATAATAGGAACAGCTCCAGGAACCTTAGCACTTCCACTGTACCTAACAACTTTAATACGTAAAAAATTTTAGTGACAGGGAATGTCATGCTGACAATTGTGATCTCACTAATCTGCTCCATTTGACCACATACATTACAGTAAGTTTTCAATGTTATATACTTCAAAATAAAACCAGACAAAAATAGTTCGGAACTTTATTTTCCATTTGACCTACTCCAAATTAGACACAGGTTGAATATCCGCTTAAGGAAAATGCTTGGGACCAACAGTGTTTTAGATTTCAGTGTTGCAGACTACAGAGTATCTGTATGGATTTTACCCACCAAGCATGCCTAATGGGAAAGTCCAATCCAAAATTCTCTGAAATCCAAAACTTTCCAAATGCTGACACGATGCTCTTCCTGTACTTAGCAGGTCACACATCCACAACAGTGTGTGATTTCTAGCATCAAATTGTTACCTGATACTCTTTAAAGTAAGCCTCAGCACATTTTGAAAGCTTAAAAAACTTTGCCTGTGGGGTAAAAAAAAAAAAAAAAAAAAAAAAGGAAAATTTTCAACCTTTTTATCTACCAGTAAAAAATGAATAATGTCTTTAATCTTAAAGTGGGTAGATACACACAAATATGATACCAAACATGAGCAATCATATTTAAATATGAAGTATATTTTTTAATAATCTGTGGTGATTTTATATATCCTGAATCACAGATACTGAAGAGTAAAGATTCTGTCTACAACAGACATTTTCTGGGAGTTGCTCCATGAGAATTCCAAAGGAATATTGTAATGTTTATATTCTTTGGAATCTGTATCCACAAGTAATTGAATTCAGCATGGAAACCAAAGTAAGCCATTCAAGTACTTAAAATAAATTTCCCAACATCATACCAAGGTGAAAGCAATTTCTGGTCATGTTTTTATTATTTTCCAAGTATGTGTTGCAAAGAATTTTCTCACTAATAAGGTTTTACCTTATATATTATGACCTGTTATTTTCTGTTGATAGCTTTAAGCTTAAGCTTTAGTTTCTTACTAAATACTAGTGAAGATTCTTCTAGGGCATAAGAATGTGAGCACCTGGACCTTTGTGGAAAATTAATAGTCAAATTCTATTTCAACGACGGGCCTTTGGGACTCACCTTTGCTGCTAAAAGGAAAAAGGGAACAGTGATATAAATCTCTCACCAACAGACTCACTTCCCGGAGCACTGATTGTTATTATGCCCGTGTGGTGGACACCACGTCCGTGGTTTGCCACTGAAGATACATTCAACTTCCTTAACTTGCAGTCTTGCAGCACCGCACTCAGCACCGCACTCAGCCTCATCCTTCCAAGTATCATGATGAAAACCGCCCCAGCCAATCTCGACTTCCAAAGCCCTAGACAGGCTTCCCTCTGACTCTTATCTACCTTGTTCTCTTTCCAGCATAATCCCCGATCGCTCCTCTCGTCTCCCCACAATCCCTTCAAGATCTGCTCTGCCCTGGCTGGTCATCCCAGGCAGCCATGTTTGCTTCCCTTCCAGAGAATTTTGAACATTCCATTTCTGTAACATTTACAGGATAGACACACTGACCCAAGACCCAGGGACAGCTACCTACCCATTGCCAGGCCAGCTCTAGAAAGCTGAGAGTTGTCATCTGGATGAGCTGTGTCTGCTTGGCTCCTTTTCGTAGCTTTACTGCAGTCAGAGTTGCGTGTATTAAATGTGCTAATGTGGACTCTCCTTATGATGGTACCAGCAGGCTGTGAGGAACTGAATGTGGTGTAATTTTGAGGCCAAGGTGTAGAGAGGCCACACTGACTCCATTTTGTCCCAGACACATCTGGTTGACAGTGTTGGTAGTAGGTGCAGACCTTGAAACATTTCCCCACCAAGGTAAAAGCATGAAGTCCCATAAGGCCAAGAAGTAAACAAGTTATATAATCTAAGCATGCGCAATTTGAGTTCCTTTGTTCTTTATCTCAATAACAGCTGCTTGCTTATGCTGGCCAGGCGGCAGCCATCTTGCTGACTATTGGTGTGTGCAACCCTTTATTTTCCCTTTGTTTGCAGAACCCCAACATCTGGCGCCTGAACAGGAACATGACAGTGGAGACGTCTGCTGTGGAGGGCAACCTGCCTTCACTATGTTCTTGGGTGGGACTTGGCCCCCAACACATCAACTTCATTTTCTTTGGAAAATCCCCCGTGAGTCATGGGGAATTCCCTGCCTGAAGCACAGCAGAAACATAAAGGCAGAGTTGCTTTTTCTCCTTAAGAAGGTGGGCTATGGGCTCCTGAGTGTAATTTGGTACAACTTTCGTGGGAAATTCATGACTATTGTCCGTGGCATCCTGAGGGAGGAATGCTCATGATGGAGGACTGGGAAAAGATAGGCTAACTGCTGCACGCAGAGCCTCAAGTCCCTGTCTCTGTCCTGCACACCTGGTGCCTTTGCTGGACACTGCTGCAACCTTTGGCCAGTGAACAGGTGGACACCGCATGGCTGACTTCCAGGTCCTCCTGGCTGTGCCGCTTCAGCTGTCTCTACCTTACCTGAGTGAGATCCTATTTTCCCTTGACCACTCAACAGTTAGCTCCTCTGTTCGGTGCATTTCGGGCTCACCCAGATCCTGCTGATGGGATCTCTGACTCTCCTTCTCTACAGCAGGCCCCTCAGAACATTGCTCACACTCACCACGGTGATGGTGGACCGAGTCCAGGAGGACTGCCCTCTCTCCTTACTCATTTTTCATTCAGCCCATTTACCCACCGGGGCTCTTGTTGCCATCCAGAGCTGCAAGGTATTTATTGTTGAGTGGTTACATTTACCCCACTTGCTGGTAGTACTTTATTTCCCACTATCAATGCTATTTCTGCTCTTATCTCGAGGACGCACTCCTGCACTTGCACTCTTTGGAACTGATCTCACTGATGTCGTTTTACCACTCACCAAGACTGACTTCTTTCTGCTGTCCCCTACTGTTTCTCTTCAAATCTCTTTGGCTATGTTGGTTCCATTTCTTTCAAAACGCCCCCAGACCCAGGCTGCGCGAGCCAGCACCCCTGCTGACCAGGGGAGGAGGGGATGCTTCTGTTATCCTCAAGAGGCCCTGTGCGGACTCCTGCTTGTTGCATTCGCCCTGCACAGAATGAGTCGGCATCACAGGCTGCACAACCCAATTCCACAGTTTCACCTCTCCCTGAATCAAGCCCAGCCGCCTCCGAGGCAACCCAGGACGACGACTGCTCGGCCAGTGACCTGGGGTGATGTAAAGGCGCTGATCATTTTGCACAAGACTTGCTCTGCGCACATGGTTGTTTGATCCTTAGTACCACAAACAAACCAAAAAAGGATCTAATCCTCCTTTTAAAAGAACAAAAGAAGAGGTAGTGAATGGCAATAGGAAAAATGCCTTACTTTACTGTCCTTATTTTCCCTGTACACTGCAATCACTAAAGTTTTATGAATGTGATAGAACACACTAGAGTGTCTCAAGCTCTCTACTTCTCATTTTCTAGGCTTTTTCTGGCCAATTTTCTAATCTCTAACGATCAGCAATATAGGAATTATACTAGTGGGCTATAAAATCTGAAATGATACATGGCTGAAATCCACTTGATTTAGGTAATCTTATATATCAAAACTATTTTCACATACTAAATAAAATATACTGCAGGCAACAGCTACTCAATAAAAGGCTAGACAATAGCTAGAGAAGAAAACATCAAAATTTTTCCATTACAATTAGTTTTAATTAATAATAACGGAAACCATTGCAGATTTAGCCCTAATACAAAAATTGCACTAAAAATTTGGGATGTGGTACACTAACTTAGAAGAAAACACATTTATCTGAAATCTATACTGTTAAATATAATTTAAAACTGCATATTAAAAATGTTGATTAAAATTCACATAATTAAATTTCATTCTGAAAAGTAAAACAGACCTAGTGTCATTTGTCCTATAAACTAAAAAAGGAAAATATTGATACATATACATACTTTTTAAAAATAAAGTCTAGGCTTAATGCCAAGCTAGAAAATGTCTGATCAAACATCTACAAATAGAAAAATCGTCACTTTGAAACACTTTTTAGCCCAAAGAATAAACTTAAAGAACAAATGAAGAGTCATTTTATTTCATGACACTGCCTTATAGAAAAAGGCAGTATTACTTGTTTGGATTCAGTTGCGAAATCCAACAGCACAGCCATGTGGTGATTACACAGAACTTCCTTCTTTCACCGCAGTTCTATTACTGAGCTTCTGAAACATCCCAAGTAGGGTTCCTTATAATTTTTGACCTAAAATTTAAGAGCATAATTTCTTAAAACCACTACAAACTTTAATTTTGAATAGCAAGAAAAATAATTACATACAACCAACACTTGAAGTCATAGGTAAAGAGCAATTTTATAGGTTGGTCATTCCCTGATTCAAATTCTAACATGATCCTATAAGTGGAAAATTCTTCCCCAAAACTCTGTTTCACATACACGATTGTACATATTGTAAAAAGTTACCTTCAGGGTATATGTAAGACATGTGTGAACCATGAACTAGTTTTATGTTTAGACTTGGGTCTGACCCTTGATATTTTATTGGATAGGCAAATAACAGAAAAACCCAAGGAAGTCGGGCACACATCTGTTTCTAAGCATTTCAGGTTAAGAGATATTTACCACGTAACCTGTCTCAGTTCCGTGTACCTCAACTTCACAAAACTCTTTTCAGGGAGACACTATTAACACTGTTTTCTTCTTAAACTGAAAGTCATAGATGTCTCTCTTCTCTCCTCCTTCCCTCTCTTCCTATAGTAGGGAGAGAATTCTCTAAAGAAGTGAAGGCATACTGGAAATACTGTATTGTTTTAATAGAAACTTGGGTTTTTTTGAGACAGGGTCTTGTGTTGTAGTTCAGCCTGACCCTGAACTCACTATGCAGCACAGGCTGGCCTCAAACTCATGGTGATCCTCCTGCCTCAGTCTCCTGAGTGTTGGTAGTATAGGCGTGTGCCACCACAACTGGCTGTGGTTCTTTGAAAAGAGGAAAAATAGTATCTTAGAAAACAAGAAAAATAGTATCTTAGAACATAATCTATCTATATATTTTTTTCTTTTTTTTGTCCCAGGGATCAAACTCAGGACCTTGCACTTGCTAGGCAGGTGCTTACACTGCTGAGCTAAACCCTCAGCTTATTTTTATGTGTTTAACTTAGAAAACCTCAAAAGCAGTAACTAAAATATCTCCGCTCATGTATTTTGAAAATATTTTTGGGTATTAGTACCACCCTGTTTTAATTTATATGTAAGAATACTTTACTTGAAAAACAGAAAAATACATACTAAAGAAAATTACCAAATTTTTAAGCTTTTATTGTATTTATCTTTGTAAGCACATAACTAGAAGTCTTTGTAAATGTTTTCCAACCTGGGACTGATATGGATATCAAAAATAGTTTAGTTCTAAAACTCATTTTTACCACTCACTTCACGTTCACTGCCATCTTCTTTCACCGATCCTTGGGACTTAGGTTTACTAAAATGACACCCACGAGCCAGGCTGGTCAGACTGAAAATGTCCCAGAACTGCAGGTCAGGGTTGGAAGGGGGAGAGAGTGACACTGGGTGACACCTGAAGTCTGCAGAAGTCTGCAGACACCAGGCCTGGTGCTGCACAGGTCAGCTCACAGAAGAAAAGCGGTTCTCTGCACAAAGCAGCAGCCTCATGTCTGAGAGCTAAGTGTGCGTGGCACTCCGTGCGATGTTGTTCTTCACCGACTCCAGTAGGCTCTTAATCCTCTCGCTGGGCAGCTTCTTCTGCACCTTCTTGTTCTGCGCGATGGATGGCAGCAGCAGGGCGGCCAGCCCCCAGGGCTGCTTGCTGGGCGGGCAAGGCGCAGCCGCCTCTTCCTGCTGTAAAACCCAGGCGCTTTCTCTGGCCAACTCTACGAACCTTTGCAGCTGGCTCTGATTCACATTTTTGCTTATGTTGAGAGACGTTTCGAAAGGGTTCTGAATGTGCAGAGGAGAAGAATCAGGCTTGTTTTGTTCTCGTCCCTATAGGTCACGACATGGAAGAGAAAGATCTATGAATACAGGAAGAGCTCAAACATCCAAAGCACACAGAACACCAGCACTAACTTTACAGGGTAAAGGATGCCTTCCCTGGGCGCTGGGCATGTATGCGTGTGAGTGAGTAGGTACAGGTGTACTCTGTCTCCGTCCCGCTGCAGTGCTATGAGACTCCTTGGGGAAAACTGATGCCACAGTTCAGGTGACAGATACCTGGACTACGTCAACGATAAGAATAATTTTTAAATACATAAATTTTACCTAGCAAGTTAGACCTGAAAAGGGAAAAAGAAAAACGGCAGAAAATAAGACAGAGAGGCATTTACTTTTGAGAGCTGCTAAAAAAACACGGATTACAGTGGGGACAGAAATGCACAAAATTAGAATCCTTAAATATATGTAATAATTACCACTTCCAAAAAGAAATGAGAAAGGAAAAGAAACATGAAGGATTAAAACATTATAGTTCCCAACAGAAAGGCACTTCACCAAAAATCATCTACACCTCACAGAAATAAAGGCTATGAGTCAAAGGAAGGGCAGCAACCCTATGTATCTTGTCCTCTTCGACATGACGTGGTAGTCACTTGACTATTTGAGAAGCGTCGGGAGCAGCCCCCATCCCTCCCCTCCCCAGCTCCTTCCACCCGCCGCTCAGCAGGCATCCTGCCTGCCTGGCATCTCTGAGCCCTAGGAACCGAAAGGCAAAGCAGCAGCCTCCCGGGAGGCTAAGACGGCCCGATCACAAGTCTGAGCCCAGTCTGGGCAATTTAAGAGGCACCTTCTCAAAATGAGAAACTTTAAAGCGGTCTGGCGAAGGAGCTCAGTGTGAAGGCTCTGCGTTTAATCCCCCTCCCTCCCGCCCTCACAAAGGGACAAAGAACATTGCATGCTTGGTAACCTTTTCCTTTAAGATGGCAGAGCTTTTAGATCCCTTCCTCTCTCACCAGCAGGGAAGAACTGAAGAGTGAGTATCCACGCCCAAACACTGGACAGAATAAACCCAAAGAGGGAACTATTACAATATCCCCCAGGTGTAGACTGATACTAGAAGGAATGGATTTAGAAGAACCAAACTCACAGATTCACATGCTCTAAGTAAATTAAGTTCTAAGAACTTGAACTGAGGAGATCACTACAATCTAACTTTCTAACTCAGGACCAAGTGTGCTCCACAGGAACACGAATCTACTTAGAAACAACTGCAAGGCCGTCTTCCCGGAAAAACCTTATAGGATGCTCTTAGCAAGCACTGGATGATGCCACAGGCGCACAGTCTGTGACCAAGCCAGGTGTCAGCAGAGCCTCCCTCCGGCTCTCCCTAGATGGCCGAGCGTGGTGGAGTCACAGGCCTCTGCGTGGCAGTCACCTTCCACCACATGCTGCTGCAGAGTGGAGGTGAGTAACGTTTGTTACAGCTCTGACAACGAGTAAAACAGCAGCACAGAAAAGGAAAAATACTTTATCATCAAATACAAAAACACTTACCTGTCGAATATTTATGGAATTCTTATTGAAAGCGAAATTGCCAAAATATTCAAAAAATTCCTTCAACAGTACTTCTGCAAGAAAATAAAACAAGGAAAGTAAGAGCAATGCTTGCCTGTATTTGAAAGGGAATGAAGGAAAGAAAAACACTTACCTAGTGATTCTGTGTTTTCTAAAGGTTTAATTTTATTCAAATCACGAATAAATGTACAATTGTTGCCTTCTATCACGCATTCATCTTCTTCATCTTAAACAGAATTAAACAATGCCACATTATATTATCTACTTCAAAAAAGAAATCTGATTTAAATAAATCTGTTATATATGAGTATGTCCTACAATTAGTGTTATATCTATACTTACAATTACTAAAAAACTATTTTAAAAAGATTTGGGACTACACTATACTAACATTACATTTCCCTTACCATACCAAAATTATGTTTTCTAACAACCCAATGATTCTAGAACAAATCAGTTTCATAGTAATCAATGAAAAGTAGGGAGTTTCTATTTTTCCTGATACCCTTAATCAGTATTTATACTTTATCTCTATTTGCTGCCTTTCTGTACTTTTATTCGGTGACTTGAAAATGATACGCACTGAATGTTCTAACAGTATTTAACAACTTCAGGCAATTTTTAGAATGCAGCACTGTAACTGAAATCCAATTAACATCATAAAATCAATGCAGTAACAAAACATTAGAATTATGCAGTCAATTTTTAAACAGTATTTATATATCTGGAGGTAATTATCAGCTAATTACCAACATATAAAACCATGAGACCACTCACTCACTCAGTCTAACCCTCCTTTTATGATACAACACATAATGTGCTCTTGTGAAGGATAAACTCCACTCTTCACAGGTGCGCCTATGGTCCCAGGCAGCGCACGCCCGCCCGGTTTGGGTGCTGCCCATCTGAACTCATCTGACCTCACTCTGATTCGGACAATGCTGCCTTCTCCCCTCCCTAGTGTGGGACGAAACAATCGGTCTCTATCCTACTTGTTACTGCGTCCTCCCCTGTATGGCCATAGCAATGGCACATGGCACAAAGCAGGCACCTACTCAATAACCTGAATGACAGGGATTTGATTCTGAATGCCTACAAGAGCACAGGGTTCTTAGAAACTTTAGTCTCCTTTTTCTGTGATTTTTTTTTTTTTTTTTACTTTTTATTGACTTGTTACTGATTTGATTTCTCACAAATTATTTTAGATTCAAACAATTTTAATAGCACATTTTATGTATTCTATTGTACAACTTACAGTAGAACTATGAAGAACTATGTTTTGAGAACAAAAATGATCCTATCTTTTCAAAGATCTAAATATTAAAACAGGGTGTGGTGACACAAGCCTGTAATCCCAGCACTTGGGCAGCTGAGGCAGGAGGATCACTGTGAGCTCAATGAACTACATAGTGAGACCCTGTTTCAGAACAGAAAGAAGAAAAAAGAAGAAAGAAAGGAGGAAGAAGAAAGAAGAAGGAGGAGGAGGAGGGGGAGGAAAGAAAAATAAATATTAAAGCAGAAATATTAAATCTGCTGGAAACGAGAATAGGTAGAACTCTTGAAGACATAGTTATAGGCAAAGACTTCATGAACAAAAATCTTAACTGCACAGGAAATAACCACATAGAATGAACAACTGGGATCTCATTATAAACCTTTTATACAGCAAAAGAAATCACCAATGGAGTGGAAAGACAACCTAGAGAATGGAAAAAAATCTTAGCTAGTTGTTTGTCAGACAAAGGGCCAATATTTAGAACATATGAAGAACTGGAAAAAAAAAATTCAGATCCCACAAATTTAAAGACCCAATCAAAAAGTGGGCATACAAAATGAACAGAAACATATCAGAAGTACATGAAAAAATGTTCAACATCACTGATCATTTGAGTTGCAAATTAAAACAATGCTGAGATTCCATCTCACTTCAGACAGAATGGCTGTGACCCACAAATCAACCAAAGGAGCCCTTCTTCACTGTTGGTGGGCGTGTGGACTGGTATAACCACTGTGGAAATCAGTGTGGAAAGTCCTCAAAAACCCAGTACTAGAGGTCCCATTCCATCCAGCTAGTCTTGGTACCTTCCCAAATGATTATAAGCATCATACCACAGTGATATATGCATACCCATATTTATAGTAGCACATTTTATAATAGCTAATTCTTGGAAACAACACAGATGCTTAACAACCAACAAATGGACAACAAAGATGTGGGTTTTTTCCATACAATGAAGTACTACTCAGCCATAGAGAGATAAAGTTGAGACATTTATAGCAAAACGGATCGCTCTTGAGACCACACTCTATATTGGGATAAATCAGATGTGTAAATACTCCACTGTCTCTCTGGTGTGAGAAACTGAAAGTGTAAACAAGAACCAAAATACTGAAATAAGAATTGTTTAAAGGGAAAGGAAAATTGTGAGGTAAAGGGAAAAGAAAAAATAAGAAAAATAAAGGACAAAATGGAAACAAAGCTATGTAAACAAGGAGGGGATGAGAGTTGAAGAGAAGAAAGGGGGATGGGGAAGAAGAAGTGAGACCTACCATGCAAACATACAAATTCCCTACGATCAGTGTTAGCATTGCGCATATCTAAACTGCACCAATAAACTTAACTGTAAGTTTAAAAACATGATCCTAACTTAAATCAGAATGTAATTTTTTTGCCTTCAATTTCAACACTTTCTTAAAAGTTATTTTAGAAAAAAAATAACACTTGTACAATCTTATCACTGTTTTCTTAGCAATATTTTAGATTACTTTACAGGTCCTGGGCATGTGTTTTCATGCCGCAGGTGGCTGTTGGCTGCATTGTCTGTGACATAGCACCAGTCATGGTCTTCTAGCGGCTGAGTCCTTTTCCAGTATGTATGTCCCATTAAAGGATCACTAACAGAAAAATAAGAGCCACACTAAAAGATTTCTAGGAGTAGAGTGATTAAAAACTGGGACTGTCTTCATGGGTGTTGCTTTTTACCAAATGGATTTTTAATATGAAGTATTACAATTGAAGGCAAAAAGAATTATGCTCCGATTTAAGACAGGATCATTTTTGTTTCCTAAAGCCTCTGAGGCATGCAGCACAGGGATAAAACATGTTCAGCGTCACAGAAAGTGCTGTGGGTAGCCTGCCGGGGGAAACTGACCTTCAGCCTAGCCACTACCGAGCCACCACTGCTTAATCTGTTGGCAGTGACCTCCTTTGTTAACAGGAAGCACTGCCCAAAATTTACGAAGGAAACATGAACTCGGGTTGTGAGGAAAACAGATGAAGCACCCTAATTAACTAAGAGAACCCTCTTGTCACCATAAGTAAATTTAAAAACTACACCGAAATGCTAGCTATGTGATTATTACGTCTAACTTCCTTACTTCCTTTAGAATCTTTAGGCCCTGTGGAGGGGCACAGCCAGCACTATTCCCAGCAGGACACGGCAAACCCGAGCTCAAATCACTGAGCAGCATTCTCAGACACACGTTTCAGGAAACAGCAGCACACCACAGTAATTCGCAGTTTGTCACAGAGCTCACTATAGGTCATGACAGCTGTGTCAACAGCCCCCAGAGGAGACAGTACAGTCTCATCTATGAGCTCTGCACTCATTTAGGTTCATTTTCCTGGTCAAAGCAGAAGAAAGTTTTGTGGCAGCCACATGCGTCCCTAAAACGCTGAAGTGCACAGGACACAATAGATGCCAAGGTCGAAGGAAGACTCAGTACCTTTCTCTCTCAAAAAAACCCCCTCACACGGGACTACTTTTACTGTAAGTGTACCGGGAGCCAAACCTGACTGGCTAGAAAGACACGAATAGCTGTGCTCCACATCTACTACACTGACTAACAGGCCCAAGGCTTGCAGGCCTCCCGCGAGCCACAGTCCTTCTCCGGGGGTCACCGTTTGGTTCTGCTCTAACTGGCACCTGTAGGGCACTGAGGGGGTTCTCAGACATCTGAGGAAAGCCTCTACGAGTCTTGTCCTAATTGGTAGCCACTTTTGAGATTCAATTCATGCTTATATAAAAAACAAGTCAAACCGAAAAAAGGTAATATTAAGGAAACTAGCAGCAAAACATTAAACCCTGCTCACTCTGGGGTCAGACGGAGAAGCACCCCCACACTCACAGCAACAGCAATGCAAAGAGAGCTTGGCAAGTGTGACCCAGCTACACCCAGAGCAGGGGAGGCTGCTGGGGTGGTGAGCGCTCCTCTCCCGAAAGGGAAGTCTAAGGGTCTACACCGGGAAAATCCAGAAACAGTAACTCAAGCATTTTACAAATCGTTTAAAACATACAGATCAACTAGAAGTTAAAAAATAGTTAACTGCCCAAGGAAGAGGCAAAGGGATATAAGACACAGGTCAGACAGTGAATTACTATTATCAATCCTATGGAATACTTCACTCTTTAATTGTAGATGCCTAAAATAAAACTTAGAAAAAGTCCTTTTTATCGCTGTGAAGACAGTGAACACTATTAAAGGGAGTGAGGGCAACCATGTGTACACATCCTGGAGACAGGCACGAGGCAAAGCACTCACGTTAGAGTACTAAGGAATTCCTTATTTATTTCTTAGGAGTAAGATGGTAATAGGGAAAAGACTTATGGACATTTAAACATTCAAATGGCTAACAGATATATGGAAAATGCTGAATTTCATCAGTCACTGAGAAAAAGAAAATTCAAAGTTGGCCATAATGCCACTACGCGAGCACGTAGAATGGCCAACGTAAAAGCAGACAGCTTCTGGAGCGGGTGAGAAACAAGTTCAGGGCTGGTTTAGAATATTTAGGAGTTTACCTTTTGGAACATTATTTGGCAATGTCTACTAAAGCTAATGGAATTTTCAAAAACTTTTGAAGGCTCAGTTTCATACAACATCTGCTCTCACGAATCCTGGTGGACATTACAACAACAAAAAAAGCACTCAACTTTTAAGATTCGTAGAGAAAATAATTTTTTGTTAGATTTAAAAATCTAGATAACAGATTATATGACTAATAAATCTAGACAGCTTTGGTAACACACAGCAATTATTTTCACGGCACAAGAGAAAACAGAGAGGACTGCGGTCGGTCTCACCTGCCAAGGTCATGAGAGTATCTAGAGTTGGAAGAATAGGAGGTGATCTTCTCTGAAGAAAGAAGATTACCATCACTGTCAGGGAGAAATTGGTGATCCAAGCACCAGGAATGCTACTTGTTAGAGAATGCGCCCGGGCCCAGCATCGCACACTGCACACCAGAGCTCTCACTCGCGCGTCCAAGGAACCGTAGATGTAGAGGAGCTCAGAACTCTTCATGGCAATCCTTGGAAAGAAGCATAAAAACAATTCTCAAACGCCAGTTATGATCCAAAGGTCAAACAGAGCATTCATTTGGGAACATAGCTGAATACTTCCTGTGTCTGAATGCACTCAAAATACCACGATTAAACAATCAAAGGCATTATATATTTCCTCTATAAAATTTAATATCAACAGTTGAGTATCAAACACTACACCATCGAAGCATCCTTTTAAGACAATCACAATGCAATTCTAACAGCTGGAGTTATAATAAAAGTTCCTACACATGATTTAATAATAAGTGAAACACACAGAGCTCTCAGAACTATCACTACACACAGATACGGGGCGACTGCCCCCAAGTTTCACACCTCTGTGCTTTAGCAAACAAGGTAGCCTCAACAAGAGAAAAATATTTACTTGCTTTATTAGTAAAATTCTTGTAGTTTGTGAAACAGCCACAATTACTTAAGCCTAATATTTGTAAAAATAAAAACTGAAGATAAAAGTGCCCTTAGGAAATGACACTTCTGAGCTGGGGCACGGTGGTTCGTGCCTATGGCTCCAGCCCTCCGGAGGCTAAACCAAGAGGATCCCTTGAGCCCAGGAATCCCGGACCAGCCTGGGCCACAGAGCAAGACTCCACCTTAAATTAACTAACTCTGATAGCAACTAGTTAAACTTTTAGAAAAGCTTTTGTAAGTTTCCTAGTCAAAATGCAAATTCAAAGATTAATCAGAAACATTTTTAAATTAAGTTCCTACTGATCTTTGAAAATGTGTCTTGTAATTTCTCAAAGAACCAAAAGAGGGCACAAAAATCATTTAAATGATTTAAATTTATAGTCTACTTAAATGTCACGGAAGTACTATATTACAGCATTTACATCTTCCTAGTTTTAAGAGAATAAACAGTAAATTAGGAATTCATGGTGATTGTGTTATACATGTAAAAGAAGCTAAATTAAGCTGAAAAATAACTGGGCAATTTATCTGATATAAACATTGCAACTGTATAAAAATCTGAAATGAGCATGTTAAAACATCTCAAAAACCTGTTTCAACAAGGTAAAGAAAACAGCATTATAATAACAAACATTCTATTGTCCTGCTTTATATACTATACAGAAAATGTAATGGCAAAAGTGCATTATATGCTATTTTTGTATTAAAATTGGCATGAAATCACAAAGATGACTCTCCATGGGCTCAGAAATCCAGAACTAAGTAAGCACTGGCTTGTCAACAAATGCTTGGGTTTAATCAAAAGTGCTCTACTTGATTTCTGAATCTATATTTAGTCATAACTATCTAATAGACAATAAAACATGGTGTGAATTCCCAAATTAAAAAATAAATTCCTCAAATGAGACGTGAATGTATTTTGAATGTAAAGAAGGTATTCAGGGTATTAAAAAAGACTGTTGTTTTCCCTCTACTTCTTTTAAGCAAACAAGATGTTAGGGAAATACAATGTAAATATACTAAAAAATAACAACAACAACAAACATAAACAATCCAGTCTTATGCTGCTTCGACTTTCTGACCTGGGCAGACACTACATTCAGCCAGTATACAAATCTGACGATACCGGAAGGCAGTTCAAAGGTGAAGGCCAGGTTGCTACCTTGTTCTCTTAAGGATATGCAGAGGACACACTGTGCCCAGGTGAGTTTTACACTGTCAGACTATACAAGTAAGAACATGCTTCACTGTTAGGTGTGTTTAACACTATAACATGACATACCGTTGGAACACCTAAATACCAGTAGATGTAATAAAAGAAATAGGGGGCTGGGGATTTAGCTCAGCGGCATAAGCGCCTGCCTTGCAAGCAGGCAGTTGTGAGTTCGATCCCCGGTACTGATAAAAAGGAAAAAGACATAAATAAATAAATAAATAAATAAAAGAAATAGAATTTGTTACTTTCCAATCTAAGAATTCAAATATTTTAAGAAGTAGTTATGGAAGTGTTTCTAAGAGCCCAAAGACATTGTATCTAAACAAGAAAACTAAGCTAATACCTTAAAACACTCACATTTAAGATGAAGAACTTAAGTGATCATACCTATTGTTAGTAGTCAAATCACACTGAAACCCAGAGGCCTGGTGGGAGAACCTCACGAGCGGACACCGGGCGTGCAGGATTTTCTGGACACTCACACAGCCAGGGCCGAAGTGGTCAAGGCACTCTCCTATCACAGACAGGATTTTCTGAGTTGCAATTCTTTCTGAAGCAACATTTTTCACTTGAAATTCTATCAAAAAATTTCCTTTGTTCTGAAAAATAAAGAAATTTGCAAATAGAAGCTTTTTAAAAAATTAACAAACTTTTCTTGCAAAACAAACACAGAAACCACAGAATAAGAATTCTTCATACAATCAGTCAAAACCAGACTTAACATGTTCCTGACAGGCTGTCATTCATATCCCACTGCCAGGCAGCTTGGACCCCTAGTGCGGTACACGCACAACTGTCCCACCAGGCAGGCAGCCTGTACCACTTGACGGGACAGTCACACATGTACCAGCTGTGGGAGTACGTTAACAGATACTTCTGTTTCTCTAGAATATACAGCACTACGTTAAAATCATTTACTTTTTATGATTAATTGCTATTCCACAGTACAATAGGTATTATAAATATTATAGACAGAACCACTCATTCTAGTAATCCAGCAGACATACATTTGCCTGTTCCCCGCAAGCCGTTCACTGTAATGGTTATTACAATCCCACAGCGGTACAATACAGGCCTAAGAATGCCAGATTGATATGGTACAATTCAGGGTGCAGGACATACAGATTTAAATGTTTAAGAAATTTATTTAATAAAATACCACAAATGATTGGGAAATACACTTGGTTGACAAATGAGTCCAATGGCCATTTAAAAAAAAAAAGAAAACTAAAAAACTAGATCCCTAGTTTAGTCCTAAAATTGAAGTAAATTCAACAAGGATCAAAGACTGAAATGTAAGGACCAGAGATTTAGCTCTGTGGTGTAAATGCCTGCCTGGCAAGCGCAAGGTTGAGAGTTTGATCCCTGGTACCAAAAAAAAAAAAAAATTTTTCATTAAAAAAAAAAGACTTGAATGTAAAAAGTACATCAGCAAAATACTAGAAGACAGCAGCTGATTGTTTTTATATTAAAATAGTAAACTAAGCTTGACAAAAAAATACGTAAGACCCAAAGAAAGTATTGTGATTGCATAAAACTTGTCCATTTTCTTTTTTTTTTTTTTTTTTTTTAACTTGTCCATTTTCTACTAGATTAAAAAAACCAAAACACCAAACACATACATACTAAAGGCTGATTTATGAGAGGTTTATATAACTGAAAGGAGACTAGGGAGACCTGGTCAAATTCTTAAAATGGTCAAAAATAACCCGAAAAAGAAATCACATTAGAAATATAAACAGTTATCAAACTTAGTAAAAGATGCTCACCTTCTCTGGAAACTAAAGAAAGTAAAGTAGTAATGAGATTTTTTTCCCCTGTACTGGAAACTGAATGCAGAACTTATGTACTGAGTTACATCCCCAGCCCTTTTTAAATTCTTGGTCCTTTAAAACAGGTTCTAAGTTGCCCAAGTGGGACTTTAACTCGAGATCCTCCTGCCTCTGCCTCTTGAGCAGCTGGAATTGTAAGACTTTGCCATCATGCTCGAGTGAGACTTTACCTACAAGTCTGACCAAGGAAAACTATCACCAGCAATAACGGGTAAGAAAAACACACATAGTGTTGTTGGTGGAGTGTAAACCAGGATATACTTCCTGTAGAACTTACCTACTGAGACTTCAAATGTATCTTTTAACTATTAAATGCTGGGAAACTATTTCAAATCAGTATTTGCATGAATGAGTCAATTTACAAAGATGTCCTTTCACTGCAGCACTACTATGTGGTAGGCAGATTCTGCCACCTCCACTTGGCTTAATAAGCTCCGTTACTCTCAACCACCCCTCTTAAACTCATTCCGCATAAGGAGGACGCAAGGGGATCATGGACATCCAGCCCACTCCTCCCTGCTGAGTGGACCAGCATGGACAGCTGATCTCTACTGGGAGCTAGGAGGGGGCTCAGGGGCACCTGTGCTGCTGAAACATGGGACCCAGAAGCTTTGAGGCAGGCACAGCCACCCATACCACAGCACGGAGAACAGACAGCGGATGAGGTAGGAACGGGAAGATGGAGAAATGAAATGCATAAAGAAACATACAGAGAAACAGACGCTTCCTGCCTTCTTGGTAATTTGTGCCTCCCACTTCCTGGCCATTCCCAGTACTCACCCACACTCCTGCCTGAAGTTTTAGGGTGCTTCCTCTGTTCTGCTAAAGCTGGTCTGAGTTTCCCTTTGTTACAAGTGAAGACTCTCCACTAATATAGCAGCCACAGAGAGTTCAGAGAAAGATAAAATCTAATTACCTAACAAACAAGACTAGCTGAATTATGACACATTCATTTGAGGGGACATTCAGAGGCTACCAAAGAGTAGGTTCAACCGCCAAATGCCATTAATGGGGAAAATCAAGTTATAATTTGTAGAATAAGTTGTAAGTCATAAAGATTAGTTTTGCTTAAAAATATTTATAAAGGGAAAAAATCCAGAATAAAACCATTAAACTGTTCACAGTTCCCTAAAGATGGTTGTGCAGTTAAATATATATAGTTTTATAATCAGAAAAACACAAAATAATGTAAGCATTACTTGGATAAAATCCTTACAAACAAAAATATTGTATCTTACTGAATTCTGTCATCTATAGACTTCTATGTACTAGGATGTTTTTATACTAAAAGAAATAAAAAATTTTCCTTATAAACAATGACATTTCAGAAAGTTGGGCTTAGTCATTTGGGCTTAATGTCTCTTTGTAACTTCAAGCTTCTCTAGTCCACTGTATTTTAAAATGCAAAGATATAAACTTATCTAGGAAGTAGAACCCCCAAAAAGAGTAACCAACCAACAAAGTATGAATCTCAACAGAAAAACAAAGAAAGAGACATCTTCCACTGACTAAACAGGGTAAGAAACAGTTCTGAGCCATCTCAGGATAGTAAGACTGTATCCGAGAGAGGAGAGTCAGACCCAGTGTGAAGGAGTAACTGTGGACTCAGAAACAGAGAAAAGTGAGACTCACAACGAAGGTGACAGTGAGCTTTATAAAACAGAAAGCGCTCTAAATGAGAATGCCAAAACCTTTAAGGTAACAGAAGTGCAAACAGCCCTAGAAGAACACAGATCTGAGTGATGGGGTCAGAGGCAGGAAATGGAGAGCTGTAAACTGCGAGTGGGATGTAACATCCAACAACGCACCCTTCTCTCGCCTTGAGTGAGAGACCCCATCCCTGCACCTCCATGCTAAGTGTGGTCCTGGCCTTGGCTTTGGCCAATGAAATGTGTGCAGAGGCTTCCTGGGTCACTGCCACGTAGAAGCTGAAAGGTCGGTATCAAATCTCTAGGGTCTTCTCACAACTCCAGGGGAGGTGGAGGCACAGGACGATGCGAAGGTGGGCCAGGTGGGCACCTGGGAGCTGCAGTGGGCAGCACTCTGGGGCTCTGGACACACAGCTCAGCGAGACAGACATAGCTGGGGACTGGAGGAGCACCTGCTGCAGCCCAGGGTCCAGACGTATCTCCACAACTAGTGTCCTGGAGGGGCCGCAAGGGCTGCCTAGGAATGGCTTCTTCTTGTCATGCCACCCCTGCCTCCTGGAAACAGAAAGCACAGAGGCTCTGAGGGGACACAGCTGGGGGTCGCAAAGGAGAAAGAGAAGTTCCAAAGCCATAGGAGTCCTCAGGTGGGGCTGCCGCTGAGGTTAGGAGGAAAAGGGAGTGATCTGCACGCCCGCAGGGCCCAGGGCTGGCCCGAGACCCAGGCAGGCCAGCGTGTTCACCTGGAGCTCCCAGGCACTGCCTGCCCAAGGCCCAGAAGTGGGCTCTCCTGAAGGGTGCTCTTGACACCAGGTCAGGTGAGTGCATGCAAAAGGCGCGAGCTCTCTCTTTCAGGGACCTACGGCACAGCTGCACCTGGCTTTACTTTGTGCTATTTTATGGGAGTTCAAACTTCTCTCTGCTCAGGGACCAGAACTGTTCTGATGACTACAAGGTGCAGGAACTTCATTTTCATGACGACAGGCAATGACCCGTCAACTTCTGAATCATACAGGAAAGCACAGCCCCTTTCTTCTACTTCATCTCCCCTAACAAATACCCAGTTATTCAGTCACTGTCTTGTCCAAGTTTCTCAAGAAGAGAAACCAACACGAAATACCTATTCCTCAACAGGGTTTTTTGTTCAGCTCTTAGCCACTCCGGTGCCTACAGAGACTGCCCCACTCTTATATGTAATCAGTCAGGAACGGAATGCAGCAGTTTGAGAGCGCTCTGACTTGGAGCTCCCTGGGCTTGACTCTCCCCACTAAGCAGCTTGTTAATTAAACTGTTCTAAATCCGAGCTTCCTCTCAGGAAAATAGAGATAGCAGTCTTTGCTTCCCTGGGTCCAATGGGCACATTTAAAACAAACTCCCGCAGTCAACAGCGCTTGGCTGCCATTGTTCCTCTGCTGGTGACATCAGCAGCAACTCAACCCAGGCGACTTCCGTTCAGGAAGAGATGGAGCCAGTGCTTGGTCACTCCTTGTGACAGTGCTGAAGCACACACTCCGGCCAGGGGCGCCAGGGTCCCCAGTGCCTCGCTGCTCCCACCCTGCTCTTCACGTTTCCCTGACTTTCACCTTCCCATGCGTGACCCAGGCTGAAACCTTTTCTTGCACTTATCTATTAATCTCAGCGTGCACAAACGGTGTCTTCTGTGTGCTAGTCAGGAGGATTCAACGGTGCAAACAACGCATGCTGTCAGCCAGGTTAGAGAACTCCAGTTTGGAGCCTGTAGTCTGACGTGGTGGTCACTTACCCTCTGACCACTTGAAATGTGACCAGCCTGCACTGAAATATGTGGGAGTGTAAGATGCATATTGATTCTGACAAGTAAAACAGAAAGCAAAATATCTCTGTATTTGTATTTTTATATTGTTTATGCTGACAGTATTTTGGTCATGATTATTTTTAAAAAAGCAAATGGAATTAATTCAATAAAAGGAAAAAAGGAAATGAATAAAAAGCAAAAAGAGAAAGAAAAAAGCACAGAGGTTAGGCCTGGAGGCATATCTATAATACCGGCCCTCTAAGAGGCTGAGGCAGTAGGATTACAAGCTCAAGCCCAACCTGGGCAACTTAGCAAGATCTTGTCTCAAAATAAAACATTAAAAAAGAGCCAGGAGTGTAACTCAGTGTGAAGGCCTAGGTTCAATTCCCAGTAATTAAAAAATAAAATAAGAGTAAAAAGTATTAAAAACAGAAAACAAATCTTATTCTTTAAGAACAATGTGTACTGAGTTTAGAAATCAACAGTTATAATTTTATTAAGTTCAAAGATTTCTTCTAATTTTTATAAAGGATCACAGTAATATAAACAAATACGATTACCTTCTGAATGTCGAGCTTCTTAGTTTCATCTAGATCCAAAAACATGTCCAGATCACACCCTAACTTCCCAAAAGTGTTCACTGAGGATCCAAAAGGTTTGACTCTACAGTCTGGAAAATAGGCAGCCGCTATGTCTTCAATAAGAGAGGAGGTGAGATAACGGAGCCGGGTGTTCTCTTCTGTCAGCTGGAATTCCTTCAGGAGTGTATTCAGCTGATCATCTATCTAGCTGGCCAAAATAAAAACAGCAAAATACAAAAAAAGTGTGGTCACATAAAAGAACTGTTATTTTATTCTGCAGATCTGATGGCTCTGGGTACCTATCTTTAAAATAGGTATTTTTCCTTTTGGTCTTTAAGGTAGATTTTTTTTTTTAATGTCCTTTAAAAAGCACTGAGAAATGATGCAAAGAAAAGTGGGCAAGAATTAGAACTACTGCTTATCGTATGAAATGAACATCAAGTATTGTTTTAGGACAAGGAAAGTAGCAAAGTGTCCCATAAGAGGCAAACCAACCACAGAGACAGACCTGGGGGAGTGAACACTGAAGGACAAGGAACACCACAAATACACAGCTCAGGGAGTGAAGAACCAAGATTCCTGCTGCTTAGAAATGACCACACGTATTCACTGAAGACTGGTGTTAGAATAATCAGACTATGAAATTGTGGAGTACAGCTCAGTATTAAACAGGAAAAAAAAAATCAAAGCTTCAATTTCCTCCAGTTTTAAACAATACTGAAAATAATTGAACTAAACATTCACTTAAAAAATAAATAAAAGAAACACTACATAAGTGAAAGGGTTTTGGCCCAGACAGGACACTGTAGCCAGGAAAACCTCAACCGGAAGCAGGAAGCCCTATCTCCCCTGCCCCTAGGAAGTTACCTGTGACGCCATCTTCCCATCCCTGGAAATTTACATATGGCGCCAAACCTAGGACCAACGGGCTACCTGTGCATCCCTAATGCCTGCCTTAGGTTCCACCCCAAACCCAGGCTATTTACATGCCCCCACGCCACGTGTCCGCCGGAGAGATTGCGGACGCCAGCGGTAGGGGTGCCGGTCATCTCTCTCCGTGTTCTCAGAATAAAGGCCACTTTTTATTTTATACTTCTCATCTTTTGGAAATATTTTTCATCTTTTGGAAATAATCCTAGCAATAAGGTTAAAAGCAAAACATTTAAGAATTAGAAAATCAAACGGAAAACAGTATTTTTGATTCTTTCCAAGGATCCCTAAACTAGCTTAAAGTATGTTATACTTTATGAATATACTTTATGAATAAGAAAAACAAGACAAATCTGAGTAAGAAAAACCAAGGCACAATAGTAGGACAAAGGAAAGAGAAAACCAGAAGTAAGACATCACAAGGCTTATAGAATACCATGCACAATTTTATGTCACCTATGCCCAGAGAAGAGAAAAAGCCTGAATCCTCCTAAGAGGCCACAACACTAGAAGACTGCGGGTACAGCAGGGGAATGAGACCTGGAGACCTGGAGATGAAGATTCTCACTTCTCACTCAATGTGTCTGGTGCTTTGGTTTTGAAACACAAGCCAAATAATTAATAAGAGATATTAAAGCTACAAAAGAAATTAGCTAAACAAATGCACTAATGTACTTCTAAAATACAACTTGAATAGGGTTTATTCTGGGAATGCTCAAATGGCCAGAAGTGAGAACAAAGACACAGGAGAAAAACTGTGTAAGAATCCATAGTCGCACATCAGTTATTGAGAAATCTCACATGGGAAACCCAGGATCCACTTGGTACACCGAGCCCAGTGAATTCTTGCAAAGCTAGAAACACAAGGAAATGCCTCTCCTTCGTAACACCCCTACCACCGCCTTCCAGCCGCCTACTCCTTCCCATCTTACAGGGCTGAAGCCGCGTCCAGCAATGCGGCTTGGATACTGCCGAACTTTCAGAGTATCTGCAGGGTGAACTTACACTCTCCGCAGCACAAAGCAATTCAGAAAGCTTTCTGTTTGACGGAGGCAGCTGGTTATTCAACAGCACTTGTGGCTGCTCGGAACCTTGGCTCGGCGGACTCCTCAGCTTTAAACTGAGGAAGCGGGACCGGAAGGGAATTGCAGCCTCTGTGCCGTGGGCAGGAGTCTGGGTCCGCTTCAACAGGGAATCCACGCTGTCCTTTTGGCAAAATTCCACAACCGCATAGAAACCCTGCAACAAGAAAAGACAACACATTTCACAATGATCCATTTAACACAGTGATAACGAAAGGTCTTCAGAATGTACCAGCACGCTGCAGAATGACTTTTGAAATTTTTAAGTGACTGCAACCTGAGTGCTGATTTTATTCACTGTAGCATTAAAAAGGAGTACTATAAAGTTCTACCAGTCAAGAGAAAATGAAAATAATGCTGAAATAGAAATTAAAAGGCAAAAAAGTAAGCCTCTCCTATTGGCCTTCATTTAGACACTGAACTAGGTGATCCAAAATACTCTAACAGTGAATTCTAAAATGCTGCTATAAGGATTTGCTTCTTCCCTTTCTGTTATTATTGTAGTGGTGGTCATTGAAGACTGAAGAGACAGACAGAGAGAGAGAGAGAGGCTGAGAGAGACAGAGAGAGAGAGGGAGAGGGGGGAGAGAGAGAGACAGAGACAGAGACAGAGACAGAGAGAGAGAGAGAGAGAGAGAGAGAGAGAGAACCACAAAGAAATTTAGATAAGGAACAATGTGAGCTACCAAGAGAATCCAACTTTACCACAATACAAAAGACAACAACAAAAATATCTACCCTTCAAAAGGAGGTTAGGTTAAATTGTTTTTCACATACGTACAAAGCTCTCATAGAAGAAATGACTGTGAATACGTCCATGCTGGGATAAATACTTGAGAAACTTCCTTTCACTGACTTTATTTTGGCAGTGTATTAACACGGTCCGCTGGGCCTGCTCTCGTCTTTCGTTCTGCACCTCGGAGAAGGTCTTTTTGGGAGTCTTATCCTTGGAGCCTAGGAATGAGACAAACACATGTCCACGACATATGAATATACATGCATGCAAAACTTAACACACTATGATAAAGTATACAAAGAGCTTATACTGAATCTCCACAACGTCTTCCTGCTCTTATTTTTCCCTTTCTTCAAGTATTGTTAAGATATGTTATCTCAAAGTCCATTTTACTATTCTGTGACTATTACTAAATATATCCTTTTTATAAATTTTGATTTGCTACATTTAATGGACGGTGTTAAAAATAAAGTGGCATAAAACCTTAAAAGGAAAGCCATTTTTACTGTTTTTCTACATACAGGCACGTAAAATCTGTGCAAACTGTCCTAAAGCCTAAAGAAACAACTATTAGCCTGTGTGCAATGAGACAGTGATCTCTGAAGTTCAATGTTCTGCAGCAAGGTATTAAGGAGTTTTTCTCTGTCAAGATTCTTGATCTACCTCAATTACCATCAAATTACCAGTTATCATGTGCTCTGTATCAGAGAAGTCAGAGAGTTTACAACCTAGCTGTGAACCAAGAAGAGACCATAAGTTTACTGAGGAAGCAGAGGGATTTTTGTTTGTTGGCTGGTTTTCACTTATTAAAAGCCCTTCTAGAGGTAAAAGTCCTACTGGGAATGAAAATAAGAATGACAGTCAAGAATTAAGGAAGGATAAACAAATGAACTAAGAATAAGGAAGAAAAAGATCAAGTGTGAAGAAAATAGTAAAGCCACACACACTGAATTTTAACAATGTGGCCTCCAATCTCGGCAAGACATTTAGCTCTCAGTAGGGTATTTAAAAGTCTAAGGCAGGCGTGGTAAGCCACGTCCGTAATCCCAAAACTCAGGAGGCTGAGGCAGGAGCATCGCTGTGAGTTTCAGGCCAGCCTGGGCTACACAGTGAGTTCAGAGCCAGCCTGAACTACCTAGTAACACCCTGTTTCAAAAAACAAAAAACAAAACAATCCATAAAACTAAAAGTCTAGAATCTCTCAGCCTGATACTAGTACTCTCAACAAAATTCCAAATAGAATCAAAAGCCTAACTGATATCTGGAAATTAGCCTAAGCTTTTAGCCTCATGAGTTTTTTTGAAATTTATATCAGTACGTGTTTTCAGTACTTAATTTTTAATGCTGTAAACCTGATGAGTCCAGGAAATTCTCCAAATACGCTCTCTTAGTTTCAGCAAGCTCTGAGACATCTTTGTGGACACTGGCAAACTGAGCTTGCGAGTGTCAACCCGGATGGGCAGCTCCAATGGCCCACAGAGAACTCAGTCCAAACCTGCTCAGCACTGTAACGAGGTGGGGAACATGGAGGAGTATCCTTCTTACACCTGCTGTGCTGTATTAACGCTGGAAATGTGTCTTTTAAGGATGTGCCCTCTTCTCCACTCCCACTGCCAGGTCTTTAACATCAATCTTATATATCAGGACTGTACTATCCAAACAGCTAGACTCTCAAACGGTCTTAGTTGCCCTACTTTTGTCATTTTCAAGCAATTTTTCACACTGTGATCTTTGTACAATGATGTTTTTTAACATCGTAGTCTTTGACTTTTCTGCTTAAAATCCTTTAGTAGCAATTCACTTTTGTGGGGGCAACCAGGGATTGAACTCATGACATTGCATTTGCGCGAAAATGCTGTGCATTTGAGCTCCATCCCTGGCAGGGACTCACTGTCTTAAAGATCAAGTCTAAGGTCCATAGTACAGAACCGATGCAGCCAGAACCTCACACTCCCTTCCCCGTCAGTGTCTGCCTCCTGCATTTTTCATACACGGTATTCAACACACCCAAACTGTCACACACTACAAACTTTCTTGCCTTTACCCCTCTGCAGGAGTGCCCACCTTCTCATTTTCTGTCTGGCAAAATCCCATTCCTCCTCCAAATTCTGCTCAGGTCTGTGAAGCCTTCTGATTCTCCATGGCAGAATTTCTTCCACCTCTGTATTACCTTACTTTAGCATCTATGAAGGAACGTAATTCACAGTACTGTTATACACTTATTTAACAATATGGAAGAGTATCTTCTTCCGCGTGGAGGACAGCAACAACTCTGCCCTTGTTCAACTGGATCTCAGTTCACTATCATCCTCCTTCCTGTCAGTTGCTGTATCCTTCTCTTCTTAGGCTACAGGCTCTGTCTAAAGCATCTCACCCCATCTTCAGCTGTAATTATCACTTACACGTTCTTGTCTCCAATTTTTATTGAGTCTACACTGACATCCAACTGCTTACTGAACAAGTCAAACAGTATAGAAGTTTATATAAGTAAAAATCCTGCTCTAGATCATTGCTAACTATTAAGTGTGGCCTTAGCTTTCAATACTTTTTAAAGTTGTATCAAAATAAAAACACAGTATATAATGGGGGAAAAATTAACCTAGCAGTGGTTCTATAAAATAATTCTAGAAATCTGATAAAAACTCAAAATGCCTCAGAGGACTGTCATGTTTGTATATGTGTGTATATATATATATATATATATATATATGTGTATGTATATGTATATACATATATATATGTATGTATATGTATTACCTATGTATATATACATATATATGTGTGTATGTATGTGTATATGAGTATATATACTTATATATATGATTTCTACCTTATTAAAAATTCAAGTTCACAGGGTAATACTATTTTGTGTTTTTTGCTAATTACTGGTCAGGACACATAACAGACATAAAGAATATTATTGAGCCAAAGAACACTGAGAAAGGGACAACAAAACCTCCAGAATGTGATAAAGAATTACCAGTGAGGACTTATGCCACCAAGGGGTAGACGGACTAAGGAGAGCCTGAGAGCTGAGCGCCGTCTTCAAATACAGCAACTTCCTCTCATACAAGTATGTACACACTTCTTTCCTACTCCCTTAAACAGGGCAGGGATCATTATGGAAACTAACGCACGAAGCCAAACACATAAGAAACTAGGCAGCTTCATGCAGAACTGAGCTACTGCTTGGTGCCTTGGGTAATGGCACCCCAGAGACAGACACACGCACAGAAACACACCCTCTTTGTGGGCACAGAGTGGAACTGTAGATACAGTCATCTACCATCACACTTAACTCCCTCCCATTAAGTAGGCCAAGGTTGCCAGATGATTCTGGACACTTGTTTTGGTCCAAAAGTTAGGCATAAAATCAATCAAAATCTTTCCTGGAATTTTCCAAAGATAGGTAAGAGATTTTTATTTCCCTGGAGAATGCTGCAAGCATGTGAACATGGAGCTATCAACCCCACCACCAGCACACCCATGAGGAAGAAACTGAAATTAAAAGGCTCCAAACAACAGCTGAGGGGCAGAGCTAAAATGTGCACTGACCGTAACAATTCAGGCGAGTTTGTTACGTGGGTTTGTGTGTTGTCCCACGCCAACTTAAATTAGCTCTTGTCATTTGCACCCTTGAATGATATACTCTTCTCTCTTACTTCTCTTACCAGTCACATTCTCTTACTACAGCCTCCTTCTTAGGTGAAAGCTGTCAAAACTAAGATGAACATGGACATGGAAGCTTCGTAGATTCTACCTCATTACAGGTAATTTCCCAACCACTAGAATCTGATCACATTGGATTTATGAGAGCAAGTGTTCCTTATTACCATAAAACATTACTATGACTGCTTAGGCCATGAGTTCTCACACTGAGTAAAAAGTTAAATTTGGATATTTCTCAAGTTCTTTCCAATTATAAATTACATGCCTCTAAGTGAGAATATGGTATAGTTATCTTCATTTTTTTTTTTAGAAATGGTAAAGAAATCTGAACGAGCATTTTGTTGTCATTAATGCCCCTGAAAGAGTCGTTGAAAATTTAGTTATGCTGTTACTGGCCATTTTAGGTTCTTCTCACTGACTGTATCAAAGAAGACCATTTATTTTGGTAGAAAAAAAAACATTTATTTAAAGCTAACTCAGAGGAGATGGCGCAGACCATTTGCCTCAAATCACCATTTCACAGGATACACATAATATGTTAGTCTTTTACAGCAAGGAACAGTGCAGTGAGAGAACACAAGGAGACAATAGACATGTTCAGAGTTACTGTATCCCTTCCTGGACCTAGATCTCTCCCTCCCCTGTGCATCTGCATATTCTGTTCATCTGGGCTAAGAGTTGGGGGCAGCTATTCAGGCCCTTGGCCTGAAGAAGTTTAGAGAAGCCACTCTTTCTAAAAGGAAAAAAAAATCTAACTTCTAAAGTTCCATTTTGCCATGCCAATTACAATATTATGCTAATGACACTAGTGAAATGTTTCCTTATAAGTTAAACTGCTTCTCTGGCAAAATCCTTACTCAAGTTTGCAGGGTTATTTAAAATTTTTCAACAAAAGCAGCTTCTATTAAATAAAAATCCAAGCAATGAGATGCCACACATAGTATTTTCACTCCTTGTCCATGACTCTTTCATACACTCTGATGTCTTCAGTAATCTACTTTTCGGGAAATTTTACTTGTTTAGTATGCTTTACAACTATTCCCCAAAATAACTTCCTTTTAAAATTGTAGCTCCAAAAAACCGACAGAAATCAATACATTTTGTTTGTTGCCTGACTCAAGATCTACACTGCGTGACCCTGAACAAGATACTTAGCTTTCTGAGCTTCTTTATCTGTAGTATGGACATAACGACACATTTCTTGCAGCTTTTTTTTTTTTTTTTTTTTTAGCTGTGAACATCATACACAAGCCATTAGGCCACAAGAGGGGTTCAGTAAGACAGGGTCTCTCATACTAAAATAAGGTTACGAATTTAGAACATCTGCAGGACAAGTGGACGTAATCCGTTATTAATGAGATTTTGCCCAAAGGTTAAATACCAGGTAATATCACATGCAATGCTTAGAGTCTGAAAATCTGGAATAACTATTCGTTAAATTTCACTACAGTATTCAGCCTTCAGCAACATCTCAGCAAAATCGCACACCTTAAGAGAATGGTGAAGCGAATGACTGGTTGTGGCGTTTTATTATTAACACTGCTTTAACAAATTGTAAAACGCTAGCAAACTGTGTTCCCGGCCTGACCATAGTGGCTTCATTTCTCCGCTGTCCGCAGGAGTCGCCCCGAGGAAAACGTCACACACACCCCGCCCCGACTGCAGCAGGGACGGCAGCCCCAGGTCCCGAATAGATCACCGGAGGACGGGACACAACCTCCCACTCTAGCCAAGGCACTTCCATAAGACAAGGGTTCGCCTGAGACCCCGACTCTTCCCCTTTCCCTTGCTCACTGCAGGACTCGGCTACTGAACAAACCCGGGACACGGCGCCGTCACCTGTCTCCACGCTCCCAGAAGGCTGCTCTTCTCTCCTAAGGTCTGCGGCTACGGTCCCTGCACAACTGAGACGTATGAAAGCAGGACACCTGATTCGAGTTCGTGTCTGGGCACGGAGAGGCAAACCGGTTAGCAGCCCCACGCCGCGACCAGCCATTGTGGAAGTAAGACGTGCTCCAAGCCAAAAGGGCAGCAGCTTTCTGCGCACGCGCGCTGAAACAAAACAACGGGAGGCCTCGAGGGTCAAATTAGAAGAACGCTCTTCGCTTGTAACGCGAATCTGAGGCCGAATGAACAGGTTTGAGGTTGCACACACATTTGCATGGACTGATTGTAAGTATTTGTTTTATTGTAGTCTTGTGAGGTAAGTGTAGTATTTCAGTATTTTAGTTTTACAGAGTTTAAATTACTTTTTATAGTTTATTCTCAGTTTCAGTGCTATGTTTAGTTCCCTACAAAACATAGGTTTTGAACGTTGTAGATCTTTTTCGAAGTGGAATCATCCATGTAGTATGATTTGTGTGGCTGACCTGATATTGAGTTTGAGTCCCTCCCCAGTTTCTCCCTATTTCTAAAAGGTGCATATTACTAGTTTGACTATGTACCTTCACCCCACAAAACGGGAAAGTTTCAGACAATTTCCATTAATGTCATTAGGAAGCAAAAATGAACACAATCTTAAAACTGCAAAGTAAACATGGTACCTAACTTCTAAAATGTATTGAACACAGTGTGCTTAAAAGTACTCCAAAGAAAGGGTAACTTCAATGGTCCGCATCATTTACAGTAAGGAGGTGGTGGAATGGATAAGGTATTTGTATAGTTTTCTTTCTAGGAAAACTTAGGGTATGATAAATGATGTAACAGGTTTTTTTTTTAATTAAACACTTCCCTTATCTTAATCTTTACAACCTTGTGAAGTAGAAAACAACTGCTATCTCCATTGATTTATAGGGAAACTAATCAGAGAAGCTGAATAACTGCTGAAGTGAAGTCTAAAGCCGCCAGAATCTTTATTCTTATTAACAATTTTGTTCACATTTACTGTGTATGTCATACAATTCACTCATTTACTGTTCTGCCCAGGGGTTTTTGGTGTGTCCATACAGTTTTGCAGCAATTTTTCCCCAGGAATTGCCAAACTGTGGAAAGGGAATCATGCAATATGTAGGCTTTTGTGACTGGCTTCTTTCACTTAAATAATGTTTTTGAGGTTGTTGAAGTATTCGTTAATATTGTACCATCTATCTGTGCTGTACTTCATTGAACTTTATGACCAAGTAAAATCCTATAGGATTAATAGACCACATGTTTACCCTTTCATCACTTAATGAAATTTAGGTCATTTCCACCTTCAGGCTGTTATAAAGAAGGCAGCTGTCAACATTACTGTGACAGGTATTTGTATATATATATATATGTATATAAGTTTTCATTTCTAGTTGATGTATATCTAGAAATAGAAGGGGTGGGTGGATCATATGGGAATTCTTTTTAACTTTAAGGAACTCCCAGGCTGGTTTTCAGAGGGATGCCTCCTTTTCTGTGCCCTTAACAATGGCTAAGGCTCCCCTTTCTGTACATCCTTGACAATGCTTGTTATTCTTTATTTAGTGCTTCATTGACAGTCATTCTGGCAGGTGTGAAGCAGGATCTCATGTTTTTGATTTGGATTTCCATGATGAATGTTGAACATCTTTTCATGTAATTATTGACTATTTGTTTCTTTTCTTTGGAAAAAATGCCTAAGTAGATTCTTTGCTCATTTTTTAACTGAGTTGCCTTTTGATTATTGAGTTTGAAGGATTCTTTATATATTCTGGACACAAGTCTTAGCAGTATATGATTTACAAATTTTTATCTGTTTTTGCAAGTTACCTTCTCACCTTCTTGATATCTTGAAAAACAAAAGTTAATGCAATTTACCCACTTTTTCTTGTTGCCTAACCCAAGATTTACCTCATGTTACTTCTAAGATTTCTTATATTTTGAGCGTACACATTTAGATCTTTGACCATTTAAAATTATTTTTTGTAGATGATAGCAAGTAAAGGTCAAATTTCATTCTTTTGCATGCAAATATCTAACTGTCCCAGCAATATTTATTGAAAAGATCCATTTTCCTTTCATTGAATGACAATGGCCTCCTTGTCAAAGTCAGTGACCAATGTACCTGGGTTTATTTCTGCATTCTCAGTTCTGTTCCCGTGATCTGTAAGCCTATCTCATGTGAACATCATTTTCTCCTGATTAATGTAACTCTGTAAAAATGTTTTAAATAAGAAGTGTAGATTCTCCAACTTGGTTCTTTTGCAAGATTGTTTTCACTTTTTAGATCCCTGCATTTTCTGTGAACTTTAGGATCAGTTTGTGTATTGGGTTTTTAAAAGAGTAGTTGGATTTTCTTTTTTCTTGCAGTACCAGAGATTGAACTCAGGAGAACTTTACCTCTGAGCTACTTCCCTACCCTTTTTATTTTTTATTTTGAGCCAAGATCCCAGGCTCCTCTTTAGAGAGGAGGGTGGGCGCCGCCCTCCCAATCACAGCTTCACAGCTGCTGAGCTGTTTAAATACCAGTCCACCACTTCCCTCTCTCAAGCCACTTGTCACACAGTGCAGGGGGGGTGGTCAGGTTCCTCTCACTGCCCTTACCACGTTCATCATGAAAGTCCCTTACCAAGAAGGTCCCTAACTTCTGTATAGCTTGGATAGTGAGCTGTGATGGCTCAGGACAAAACAAAGACAAAAGCTGCCTTTCTTCCGGTAGTTCCTTGGTCACTTGTACCTGTGTGTGCCGGCCAAATTTGCTGCCAGACTGCAGCATCCTCTGTGTGGAGGAAGGCAAAAGGAGTGAGGGTCTCATATCCCAAATCTGTCCTGTGTGATTTAGCCACCCTATTGCTTTGGAAAGTTCCCACAATGTTGGGTCCCTGGTCTTCACAGAGGTGGCATTTCAACTACCAGCCCTGTGGACTGGTTGGCCATTTTATAAAGTCCTATATGTTTTGTTTTATTTGAAAGTCTTTTATTTTAGATTTGAGTTTGTCCTCAGGCTTTGTGTCCTTCGCTTTCTTCTAATTACCTGTATTTTTATTTGATTTGCTTTGAGAAGCTACAACCTGACTCCTCCTGTACTTAGCCATGCTGAATTCCTGTGATCTTTTACAAATGGCATTGTTGATAAACCCTAAGTCCCGGATAGAGAAACCACAAATGCACATGAGCACACCTGCCATCTAACAGGAACATGGGTTTTATTTTACTTAAATCACGTCAGCAGGTCATGATTGATCCCCAAGGTCATGTCAACAGGTTACAAAGGACACATTAACAAGCCACAAGCTCACTGTTTTTCTGCCCAGCCCCCAAAGGCCCACCATAAAACACTATAAAAAAGTGTCTTAGCCTGTAAGGAGATACTTTCTCTGTTCTGATTGCATAAAGAGGTCCCTCTCAGGTTCAGTAGTAAGCCTGCTTAGACTGTTGAATTTGCACCCCTTCTTTCTTACTCATCCACGGAATTGCTTTCTCAGTTATATTTTTCAGACTGTTCACTTTAAGGGTGTAGAAATATAATTAATTTTTGTATATTGAGCTTTTATGCAGTAACCTTGCTGACTCATTTATTCTGATAGCTTGACTTGGGGCTGCTACAGGTAGATTCCTTAGGACATTCTATGCGCAAGGTCATGTCATCTCCAAGTAAAGTTGCTTTTACTCTTTCTTTTCCAATCTGGAAGCTTTGACTTCATTTTCTTACCTGATTGCACTGGTTGGAATCTCTACTATAATGCTGAATAGAAGTGATGAGAATGCACCATTAAGTACATTGCTTGTGGCCATTTTGAGGATGTCTTTTACTAGACTAAAGAAGTTACCTTCTCTTTTAGTTTGCTAGGAAGTTTTTCATGTAAAGGGTTAGACTTTGTGAGTTACTTTCCTCGTCTGTTGAGGTGGTGTATTTTTTAAGTGATTCACTGGCAGTCCCTGGACTTCCCCTAAACTGCTTTGGGATGAGAGTCCATTTCGGAATGGAGAATGATCAACAAGGCTGTTGTCTAGAGTATTTAAAATTTGGATTCCAGTTCTGACTTATCATGATTTCCTGAAGAGTATTGCAATGATTAGTTTACTGGGAGCCATTTTTCATGCCATATAATAAATAGAAAGCTAACTCAAATTCATGTAAATTTTAAATACACATTCACATCTTGATTCAACATGTTTACCCAACAGACTTGCACAAGGATGCACATTATCTATAAAAGAATTTTCACCCTGAATTACTCTTGATAGAAAAAATAGAAACAACCTACATGTATGTGATTGGCCACATGAAGTAGGACATGTACATATGTGGGTTCACTGTCCCTGCTCCAAAAAGTGACGTACCTTGTTAGAAGGTGAGTATGCAATGAGAAAACTTTACCTTGTATGGTTTTAAAGTTAGCACATGTTTGCAGTACATAGTGATTACATTCATCACGAGGAGTTGAAGCATGAACATGACACATCTCAATTCTATGTCTTCTTTCTCTTTCCTTCTCCCCACTTCCTTCATCTCCTGGTCTTCTCATTTGGAAAAAATCTATTTACCTGTTTCCTATTACTTACCTTTTCTTTTTCTCCTTAATTAATATTTTGATTTTCTTATATAGGAGAAACCACGTAGTATTTAAGCTTGTTTGTACTACTTATTTCATTTAAAATTACAGCCTGAAGGTGCATCCATTTTCCTATGAATGACTCAAATTTATCCTCCTTTCTTGCAGAGTAGTGCATATGTATTATGCTACATTTTCTTTATTATTCATCTTTTGATGAACTTTTAGGCTTTTCTAAGATACATCTATTGTGAATTGTGCTACTATCAACATGACTATATCTCATATGATTTGTGTTTGTTTTTGTTTTGGGGGGATGTTTTGAAGGGATTGAAACAGGGTCTCCGTTTGTGGTTCAGACTGGCCTTGACGTTACTGTGTCTCCCAGGCTGGCATCGAATTCATAGTGATCCTCTTGCCTCAACCTCTTCATGCTAGGATTACAGGCATGTGTCACCATGCTTGGCTACAATTTTGAACTATATACATTTTTATAAGAATAATGTATCAATTTTGTCATTAAAATAAAAATATTGAGAATACATTTTAAATAAAAATGTATTTTTAAAAATTAAATAAATTTAAAATCTAATAGGGTTATTTTTTTAAAATTGTAGTGGGGCGGCAGATGTTTTGTATTGGAATGCTTCTAACTATATACGTGTTTGTAAATACTGTTTTTATCTGTGTAACTTAGTAAAAAACTATGCCTACAGGAGCTGATTATCTCCTGGTAATGACCACTGTATTGGAAGGACGAGTGCGTGAGGTTTTTTTCCATGAGTTGAGGGTCAGCTGACCTGGTTAGCTGAGGTCCGTTCATCCAGGTTTTTCTTTCTCTGTCAATAGATTTTCTCAAATATGGGAAAGTAGAACCAAACTTTGGGGTATTATTAAATATTTGTAGCAGCCTTAATTTAAAATGGGTTTATAGTTTATTTGTTATGAATTATATTCCCCCCCCCAAGTGTTCTAACCTTCCCAGATTGTGACCCTATTTGGAAATAGAACCACTACAGATGTAGCGAAGGTGAGACCACGTGGGCTTTTAATCTGGTGACTCTGGTGTCCTGTAGAGCATGGCCATGTGAAGACAGATGGACAGAGAATGAATGCTATGTGGAAAAGAGGTCAAACACTGGAGTCTGATGCCAGGAAGCCAAAGATATGAGAGGGTCAGCAATCTGCCAAAGCCAAGAGAACAGAGTATCCTGTTCCCTGTAACACAGAGACTAACAGTTCTCCAGAGACACACCAGAACTGTAAAGCTGCACTGTTAAAATTACACATGGGGGGGGGGGGACGGGGATTAGCTCAGCAGCATCCTGCCTGGCAAGCACAAGGTTGTGAGTTTGAGCTGTGTTACCAAAAAAAATTAAAAAATAAAATCATTACACACCAGCAACTGTACAGCTGTACACAGATTACACAGAGTCGAGAGTATTTCTGCTCTTATGTCCATGCTCTGCTTAGGAGAGCAGACTAGTGATGCTGAAGTCTAGTAAATGCTACAAGGAGAAGGGAGAAGAGATCATTTGTTCTAAAGAAAGAGATGAAGTATCAGAAAAGGACCAGGAATGAGCTACCGACTGAGAAGTGTAGCTTGTGGGCAGTTGATGTTAAGAACTGTGACTTATTCACCACAGTATCTTCAACAGTAAGAACACAGCTGGTTTGTAACACATTGAAATGTAGGCCTCTATTAAACAAACACACACACACACACACACACACACACACACACTAGTGCTATATAGGGCATCCATCTGTGAGCTTGAGCAGAATACGTTTTTTACCTTCCATCTCAACTTAGCTCACTAGTCATTTTATGCCATTTAAATCCTTAAACAGACTTACAGTAAAAGTAAAATATTACTAACGAGTTAATTGATATTTTTAAGGAATTTAATGATGTTCTTCCAGTTAGGAATCAAGGTCATTCAAACAGAGATCAAACTAAAGCTTCCCTTTCCATATTCAAGAGGTCAGGACTTGCAAACACAATTAAAACTGTAGACTGTCCAACTTTCACTGAACTGTTGGGTGAGCAGCCTTTTACAAATGTCCTTCAGGCAGGCTAGCAGTACCTGCCAGACTTACAAATGGATCTATCCTTAGACCGAGAAATCTATATGGTAATATATCTCATTGGGGTTCTTGCTTGATCTTACAGCTGGTTTCTTATAGAGAGAAATGAGAAGCAAACTAAAGGAATGAGGAACCTCTTTATTTCCTGATCTCCTAATATCTTTAAGATATACTTGGGGCTGGGGATTTAGCTCAGCGGCATAAGCACCTGCCTTGCAAGCGCATGGTCATGAGTTCGATCCCTGGTACCTATTAAAAAAAAAAAAAGATCTGTTAAGGTTGCTAAGGGAAACAAATAAGGAGTAGGACCCTGTACCTACACACACACACACACACACACACACACACACACACACACACACTCACTCTCATACCCCTCTACCACCACACGCTTCCATGTTCTGGAAGGCAGCATGGAAGCCTTGGTTGATGCTGGAGATGCAGCGGAACAGTGGGGTTGAAGCCAAGTGTGGAAGGAGGGTACTTTCTGAATTTGAAAACATTTCAAATGCTATAATTCTAGAATTTATCTGAAAGAGTTAAAGTGCTTCTTAACTAAAATACAAAGTGCCTGTTGGTCTTCAGTTTGCTTCATGGAAGACGGATTCTGTAGCTGACGAGCTGCAGAGGCTGTGAGGCTTGCTTTCCACGGTCTACTTTTTTGTAGTTTTTCATTTTTTCTCCCTGTATATGTTTTGAAGGAAAAGTAATTTCCCTTCAACATTTTAGATACTCCATCTTACTTAGTTAATGAACTTATTGTACAAAGCTTTAAAAGTTAGCTGGGAGTGTAATGGGGACTGTAGTTCAGTGCTAGAGCCCTTGCTTGGCATGCGTGAGATGGTCTCCATATCCAGTTACAAACGAATAAATAAATAAAATGGCCAAACTAGGTTTTAAAACCACGTAAAGATTTATATTCATCTGTTTCAAATTTATTATTCCAACTCACCACATATTTTTGTATTTTTTATGTTTTTGCTACTGATTATAATTTTTTCAATGTTACCTGAAGCTCTGTAGTTCTAGACATTTGTATACAAGTTGAACGTCCCAAATTCTAGATCTGAAATACGCTAAAATTTGAAACATTCATGTTGAATATCAACATGATATCACATCAACATCAGACTTCATATTATGAGTCACAGTCAAAACACAGGTCACTTAAACTTCTGTTTAAAAGTTACCTGTCTGCTCTTTGTGTACGGGACCCCTGCAGCAGAAATGACTTCCATGTTTAGGCTTGGCTCTTGTCTTTCAAGTGCTATGGCTGGGATCAGATGTCTCCCCCCAAAGCCTCATGCAGTGAGAGGAGGGGAGTTTTGAAGATAGCTGGATTAGGATATGCGATCTGGGATTAAGGATGTGATGCTGGGATTAGTGGTGCCCCCGCCAGGTGTGGATGACACCACCTGGAAGCAGGTGGCCTGGGTGGACTAGAAAGGGACATAAATTGCTTTGCCGCCTTACTGCTTCTGCTGTTCCCCAGCTACTTGCTGTGTGTTGTCTCTGGCCTCCTTGCCGTGGACTGATTGTCACCTGCGATACCCCTCTGCCCTGCCGCCCTGCCTTGGAGCAAGCTGACTGTGGACTGAAACCTTTACCAACTTCCAGCTAAATGAAGCTTTTCTCCTGTAACTTCGAGTTTTGAGTATTTTGTCTCATCAATGAGAAAAGTAACTAAGACTCTAAGATATCTCACTATTTATATGAAAATATTTGCAGTCTGAAAGCTGCGAACTCTAAAACAACCTTGGCCATAAGCATTTCTTTAAAAAACAGAAGTTTATGCCTAATTCACACATTTTCTTTCCCTTTACAAATAGATTGTACAAACTTTGGAATTGTATAAGGTTGACACAGTCTCTGACATATGTGTATTAAACAAGTCAATTGTTTAATGTTTTCAAAGTGCTCATTAGTGATTATTGCTGATTGCCTTTCTAATCTTTCAGCCTCCTAAAGTCTGCAATACTTCGAGCACTAGCAGGTCTTTGATGAGTTGACTCTTCCGTATCAGCACGCAAGTTTCAGCCATTCACTAAGGTTAGTCTTGGAGGTGGATGAGAAATATAGGGTACAAATAAAATCACCAATGCGACTTTCATGCTCACGTTACACAGATAATGAGACTGTCCCTCTGTCATTTCCTTAGAGATGGCTTGCGCTGTCTCATCAGTTCATAGATATAGCATGTGTCACTGAACAGTAGAGTGTGCCTGTTGATTAAATGGTAAACCCTGTGACCCTGTACTGTCCGTAATCACTTCTTTACCTGCCCACTTAGAAAACATCGTGTATTCATCCATGCCCCTTATTGGGAGAAATGTGACCCCAGTGGACACTTGAAGCTGAGGGTGGTCTGGAACTCTCATCTGTTGTTTTTCCTGTGCATACATAGCTATGACGAAATTTCACCTTTGCAACTAAAGGAACGCTCTGAGCATAACTGAGTTGTCAACATCACTTCTTTTGTATGCTGGAAGCCAGACTCTTAAGTTAATAGGGTACCTGAACACCAGCACTGAGGTGTCTCGGCAGTCCCAGTAGAGCCAGCTGTCAGTGACTGGGAGTGGAATGGCACGACTCCAGTAAACAAGCAGGTGATTCCCATCGTGAACAGACAGGGCAGGACAGTGTGAGAGGTCATCATGCTACGCAGGATGTCACAGGAGATAAAGGTGTGCAAAGTCTGTTCTGGAACTTTCCATTTAATATTTTCAGAATGAGGTTGACTACAGGTAACTAAAACTGTGCAAAGTGAAACCACAGGTGAGGGAAAACTAATGATATGATACATGAGGATCATCATTTACTTTATAATCACTGAGACCCATGGATGCAGGTTGGCAAGGCCCAGTATCTCCTTCCTTAGTTCTGTATGTCCTGGATGATTCAAGAGACCTAGGCACACACTTCTGACCTGCTAACAAACACCAGCCCAGCGGTGCCTCAGCTCCTGGGTAAACAGAAACCAGTGTAACTCTGGGTAGGAACACATTCAAATGAGCCGCTTTGCAGGAGGGTGCCCGGTCCCTGCCCCCAGGGAAGGTCCCCGCCCCTCAGGGAAGGCCCCAGCATGGCCTAGCTTGAGCACAGGAGCTGAAGGACACCTTGTGCTGTTCACCCGGCAGAGCACAGCAATTCCTTGGCTCACTGAGGAGGCTTGTATTTGCCTCAAACGAGACTTCAAAGGCTGAACAGGGAAATCCCAAGTGTGCTAACTGAACTTGCCTATTTACTCTTGTTCCAGGTCTGAGAAACCACCAGACCAATCTAGCTGGTGATTTTTGGTGTCCTCAGCCATGGACACCTTTGACATGAATTCGGAGGATTCCACCGCAGCTCTGAGTCAAGGTACCTGAGGGTGTGGTGAGTGTGGCCCTGATGGCGCTGATGGAGTGGACCGGCTACAGCGCTGCTGCAGGACAACAGGCAGTGTCAGTACAGCAGGCCACCATGAAGTTGGGCGAGCCACACCCCCAGAGCAACTGTGAGATTTTCATGGGCGAGATCCTAGGCGACGTGTAAGAGAAAGACCTGGCGCCTGTGTTTGGGGCTGTGGGCCACATCTACAGGTTGTGCCTCATAATGGACTAGGCCAGCAAGAACCACGGCTGGCCCTGGCCTTCATCAGGTCCTGCCAAGTGCACTAAGCGCTGACATGACTACGAGGTCCACTGGCTGCTGGATTTGTACTGCCACATGGACAACTGTCCCTCTTCACCTGCGGCACCCCCAACATGGAGATGCAGGTGGCCAAGGTCACCGAGGGTGTGCTGGTCTCATCGTGCATGCCAGCATGGCCCACAAGACTGAGAACCACGAATTCCCTCCGTGGAGAATGAGAGCCACTGCACCACAGCCACAGTGTGGCATGCCCAACAGCTTCCAACTGTGGGGCTGCCAGATCATGGTGGACCAGGCTGGGTCCGAGATCAACGTGGATAAGGACACCATGGAGACTGTGACTCTCTTGTGTGTGCACAGCCTCATGCTCCAGACCACTGAGGACACCATCAACAGGGCTTTGGCCAGTTCAATCCTGGGTGCGCAGAAGATGTCAAGAAGGTCTATGACCACCCCTTCACAGACGTCAGCAGCCAGAACAGCGCGCAGGCCATGCTTCACCACCAGGACACCAGGCTGGAGGGCGCATGCCTTGAGGTCACGCTGGCCAAGCCATTGGACAAGAACAGTACTCCTGCCACCAGAAGGCAGCCAAGGGTGCCCAGTGACCATGCTCTACGACCCTCCACGCTCAGCCACCGGGCTACCCCTCCAATACTCACCAGCCCCCGGGGACTGCTTCTGAAAGCAGGTACTCAAGGTGGGAGCCAGGCTGGTACCAGAGCCCCAGGGCCCAGGGCCCTGACCTGGGGGTGTTCTGCCAGCCGTGGTAGCTGTGGCAGGCAGCAAGAAAAGGGTACGGACTGTGCTGAATTTGGGATTCTCTGCCATCAGTCCAGGTGTCGTGAACCCTGGTGCAGTGGCCACTCCTGCCATCGGGCTCTGTACTTCGTGTTTCAGGCAGGCCTGGCCTCTCAAATGATTAGAGATGGCAAAATTCACACCGTGCAGCACAGAATCAGCCCTGATGCCCCGCAGCCATCCCAGCCAGCACTGCCCCGCGGCACCCACATCATCCCTGTGGTCCCAATGCCCTTGTCACCTTCCCAGGGCTGCCTGGTCATTGCAGTGTGCATGGTGCCCTGAACGTTCACACTTCCGGCACTTGTGGGCTGCCCGGCCATCTCCATGATAGCTACGCTGCGAAGAGGGTGACCAGCAGCGGCTGCAAACGTCAAGCCTTCCCCGCTGATGCTGTTCAGGCCGCATTCACCAAGCCTACCAGACAGGCTGAGGCTGGCAACAGGGAGAGGGACAGCCCCACAGACCCCACCAAAGGAAGCTGTACCATGTGTGAAGAAAGAACATAAGAACCAGAAAGTGAGGAGCGTTACCAAATACACACAGAAATCTGTTACATATGTGACATTCTTGGCCAGTTTTTAAAGTCCATTTTCCATTTTCAAGGCCTGTGTTCATACATTTCCGTGCCTGCAATGGTCCGTATCTTAATACCGTCTTTGAAAAATGTTTGTGCTGTACTGTTTGTATAGAGGTGTTGGTTTTTTGTTTGGTTTTTAAGGATACATTTTCAGTATGAAGGTTATTTCTTAACCTCTGCACTCCAGATGTTTCTATGTTGTAGGATCTTCACTAATAGATCGGCCATATGTTAAAAAAAAGCACACTTAAAAAAAGAAACATTCCATCACTGGCCAATCACAGTACATCTGTAACTCATTCTTGCCCATCAACCACCAATGTTCTACTATTTTTCCACACAAAATTTTGTAAGATCTAGAACCAGAAGCTTTGGCAGTGGATTGATGTGAAAAAGAAGTAAAGAGCATTGTGTTCATAGCCTTCCCTTCTCAAACAAAAAGAAAACCAAACTTAAAGCAAAAAATTTTAATTTAAAATGTGATTTTTAGAAGCCATGTATTTTACAACGGTATAACAAATAAATTGACAAATAAAATTTGAATGTAGTTACCATGTTTTAAAAGAAGCACACTTAAGGACCTGGGAACAGTTTTGAAAAAATATACTCGATATTTAAAGATACAAACCATAGTGCTTTAAAATGCTACAAAAGATGTGATTTTAAAGGTGATACTGGAAAGTGCAGCTTTAAAATGAGCACTGCTGGGGCTGGGGGTTTAGCTCAGCGGCATAAGCACCTGCCTTGCAAGCAGGCGGTCGTGAGTTCGATCCCCGGTACCGATAAAAATGATAAAAAAAATAAAATAAAATAAAATGAGCACTGCTGTGTTTTCACCAGCATTGAGGGTCAGCGGTGTCCCTGTAGTTGAACCCTCCATCTCTCCTTAGGCCAGCATGGGGAAGACTCAGCGCAGCAGAGTCCAAACACTGGGACGCTCCCATGGTCACCGTGCCCGGGCTCCGGTGCCTGCCTTATTAACTGTGCTCTTGGCCTCCTCCCAACTCGGACCCTCCGCGTTTGGCAAGTCTGGGACGAATGGAAAACTCTGGTAGAGAAAACAGCTCGTGGCTTTCATACTTCTTCCTGGGTTTTTGGTGAAGCATTTTTGTTTCGCTGTATTTTTTTCATTCTGCCTGGGGAGATTCTCTTCTATAAGTGCTATTTTCAATAGCAGAGTACAGGTACATTCAAGGTTTTATTATGTTTGTGTAAGACATCTTTGCATTTAAGTTGTCCAATATAAAACTTTGATTTCCTAATGCTCTTGTTTTTGAAGTACGGCCTTCAGAGACAATGAATGTACGCTACTGTAGACAAGACCCAGCAGAAAGTTAAGCTTCTGGTCTTCTTATCATGTTTCATGCAAAACATGTAAGGACAGTTGTGGCCTGAACAATGGTGTTAATCCACCAAGCAGGGCTCTCCTTGCACCGAGCACTTGTGGGTGAATTTGGGCAGGTGCAAGTCCAGGAGGAGAAAAGACTGGTAGGAGTTAAAAGGATTTGTAAGTATCCTTTAATGCTTTCTTGTTGCAAAGTTCCACCTTACATGGTTTAATACAAAATGGAATCATTTTATTTCAATGCCTTCAGAAGGGTCTGTTTTATTAGGAAGTGAATACATTGTTGCATAGTTTTGTGCCTAAAGGTTTTTGCTTAGCAGCAGTAACTGTAAGCTACAGTGACATGCTCAGACCAGGGTTTATTTTATGAACTACATCAATTCAGATTGCTCTTAATGACTGTATCAAGGAAAATGCGATGCGCGCTGTAGACAGCAAATACACAGCTGTGTGTCTCTGTCATGTTAGAGGCACATCCAACCTCATTCAAGGTTTGTGGATGGCTAAATCCTTATTTGTGAGTTAACAATAGGATCATGCCCTTAGCAAATCCTTCTAGATTTTTTTTTAAATTAAGAGATTCCCAAATACCTTTCCCCCCGTCAGCTTGGGTTTTTATATGTAAGGAATATTTATTTAGCCATTCTATGTTATTACTGAATGCCTGCTGAGGCCTCTAAATGTGCTGACATTCCCCTCTCTTTCTTAAATGACAGAAAGTAATTGTGTGGTGTTCCTGGTGCGGTACCTAGGATGCTGTGTCCAAAGGTCAAGTCTGTTGGAATGGATATTCCAACAAAATGCAGCGTGGCCCGGATCCTCATCCCTTGACGTGCATGAAGGAAGTACTGACCTTCCAGGGAAGAACTGTATGAAACTCTGAGCCCCCAGAGTTGTTACTGTGTTGTATTTCCTGTAAGTTATTTGAAAAAAAATCTTGGCATGGCTACTAGCAAACTACCTTAAAAACAAATGTTGCTGACGGCCAGTGAAGAATCACCGAGCCTCTTACATCTGTGGTCTTATCTGTTTCTGTTATTTCAAAACCATTTCATAGTACACTACTGGGGTAAGTTTACAACTTGAAATACGAATTTTTTTAAGGTTAAGAACAAACTATATAAATTTTTTTGAAAAAAGTTTTAGGGTTCTGTTTCCAAGCGCATTAGTAGTTTAGTTATCATTGGCTGCTTTGTATTTGAAAGACTTTTCAGATCCTGGTCCATTTACTGTGCATTCCCTAGGCTGTATGCAGCAAATGAAGCTTTTTTTAAAGAGAAAAAAAAGTGCCATGGGAAGGAATTGGTAAATCTAATGATCTGTGACAACATCCACTTTGCTGCTGCTGCTGTTTCTGTGCAGGCCGCCTGGGGTCACTGTTGGAAACCGGGATTCCACTGTCCTGTGAGGGCTCCTTCCCAGTGGGGTGCAGTCCAGGACAGCGCTGCTTCTCAATGTCTTCGTTGTTTGCATTGGCTTTGAACTTACTATGTGTCCTCACTAGGTTGTGTTTTACCACATATTACTTAAACATCACAATATACCTACAAATGTTATTTTCCCCAGTTTGACATGTGTAAAAATTGAAGAAGTTTGAAACAAAGACCCAGGTCAGAATGAGGGATCTTTCTAACCTGAGTGTGACTAACTTGCCAATCACTATTATTAGAAGTCCATCCCTTAAATGTGTTCATGATTTTTGACCGGGTAATTCCACTTCTAAGTGTCTGTCCTATATAGAGACACACATAAATCTTTACATAGCAGCACATTCAATGTCATATACACTGGTAGGAAAACTAGAACAATCCAGAGGGTCACCAAGGGGGAATTAATTTACAATCCATCCATGATTCAGAATCATAAATTATAGTTACCATGCGATTTCTATTAGCCCGTCATAACTCTAAGCATTTTATTTTTTAGCTCAATTAAACCCCACAAAGTTGTCATTATCATGTTTCATCTACTCTAAGACATCATCTGTGAGATGTTCTGTTCAGCTCCACTAAGAAAAAATGCTATCGATTATGACAGTACTTTTTTTTTTTTATGATGGTGAGACACTTATTTCAGAGAAGTTGAAACATGGAATAAACGTTCATTTTACAACTGGAGGTTTATTATAAAACATTTAAAATATTTTAAATTATATGTGATGGATTAAAAACTAGTGGTCAATTTAAACACCAGCTGAACTGAATCAGCATAGTTCTGGGTATAGATGATCCACCTGAGGAAAGTGGCCAGCACAAAAAGGAGACCTGGAGAGGAAAAGTAGCATTGTGGGTTCTCCGAAGTGGTGGTGTTAGGAGCTGTTGGTTCTTTTGAGCTGTTGGTGTTCCTGGAGGAGCTCGTTATGCTGGCTCCCCTGATACGAACTCAGCTGTTACTGTAAGAGGAGCTTGGAACCTTGTTGCTGAGAATGGCTGCAGTTCGCTTTGAGGAAGCTCTAGTCCTTACTTTAGGCAGTGCTTCCTGGCTCCGGAGGGGAAGATAGTGCTGTTAATCTCCAGAAGTCTGTCACACTGACTTCCTGATATGAACTCGGCTGTTCTCACTGTCGGAGGAGCCCGGGACCTCCTTGTTGCTGAGGATGGCTGTGGTAGTTTTCAGGGGAGCCCTGATCCTTATTTTGAGCATTGCTGCTTGTCTCCAGTGCAGATCCCTCAGCCTGCTGGCACAGATCCTTCACCCCACTGGCTCAGACTTTCTGGCTTCCACTGCTGATCTTTGAGCCTTTCCAGCTCAGATCCATGAAATAGACTTGCGTGAGTCATTGTCATGGGCTCTAGGCCTCCAGCTGAACTCATGCAGGGTATTGCCATGGGATCCAGGCCCTTGGTTGGATTTTCTAGGTCTTTAGTGTTGTGGACAGATATCCTACATTTTCTTTGTATTTGACTCCTTGGGTGACCATTATAAATAATACTATAAATTATGTGTTCTGCATTGTCTTGTTCTCCTGGCAAACTCCTGAGAACAACATTATAATATAAAATATATTAATATCCATTATTATATGGGAGAGAAAACTGAGGCACACAAAAATTAAATAAGTTGCCCAAAGTAAAAAAAAAAAAAAATAGAATTAATAGTAGCCTAGGTGACCAGAAGTCCTTTAAGGAAAAGCCTTAAAGGAAAGTCCAGAAGGCCTTTAAGGAAAATGCAACTCATGGACTTTAAAAACCTAGAGGGCTTTTGAACTGACTTCAAATTAGGAAATGTTTCTATTAGGATCAAAAGAAATTCTTCTAATCAGCAAGTTAAACAGAGCTCTGATCTAAAAGGTGCTGCTCAGGTAGAATAGGGATGGGGTTGTTGTGTTATATGTTCGTGGTGTGGGGTTCAGACTCTGAGCTACATTCTCCTGTCCCATCAAAGAGGTTGTTACTTTCTTCGCTATGCTGTGAGATGTTTTGTGTTAATGCTTTGCATTGGCAGCTTTTGCTTCCCCTTGTGAGTTTTTTCTTATTGCTGCTGTTCAGGAAACATGAAAACTCAATTAGATGTAAACTCGTGCACCAAGTACTGGCAGGCAAACATTTTACAGCGTGAACACCAGCTTTCGGAATGGGATGCCAGTGTTTTTACACCTTTACTGTATACATTCCGAACTAAGTCCACTTTCTCTTTTTGAGACATTAGGGTTTCTAATGTTGGTCCAAGGGTTTGCTTCTTTCTTCAGAAGCCTTTGGGAGCTTATGGTGTGAGAGTCTGCCATTTTCACAACCTCTGCAATGTGATAAACCTAGAAACGTCATGGCAGCATGTGTACAACCTGTACATACTGCATTTATTTCTTAATGTACTTGTTTGAAGAGTTTGTTTCCCACTGGAGCAAATCTCATGTACCCCAGTTCTTGGTAAATAAGTACTTTTTTCTCCACAGAGAACAGTGAGTGCATTTGTTTCTGTTTGTTTATACAATGTTTTGATTTAGTTATATTAATTCACTTAAATGTTAATTGTGATCCCATCTTATAATAATGAATTCTTGAATTTAGACCATCAACAAGCCCATGAACTCAGACATACAACCACTAGTATAGAATTACAACAGGTCCTTCACTTACTAACTCAATTCATTCACAAGGGCTGGTTGTAACAAAAGTTGGATATAAATTGAAATTATTTTTCCCATAAGAAATAATGGAAACACCTATAATACATTCCAAACCTCCCAAAGTACCCCTTACCTAACCTTTTCATGATAAAAGGGTTATATAATGTGTATAATTTACCAGGAACACCAATAATTTTCCTAGTGTATTCACCAAGAAGTTACAAAATCTTTACCAGGAACAGTTTCGCACTGTCCAAGTCTCTATCCAAGTGGACACCTTTGGCTTACAGGAAAGGAGGACGCAGCGGGAGGCAATTGCTGTTTGGAAGGAGTAACTGCTTCCACAGGAGCATCAGGAACCTGGCTCTGCTGTCCTCTCTCTCCTCAGAACAGTCTGTAGCCCGCTAGGACCTGCTTCTAGCTCAGAACTAAAAACTGGTCTAAGCTCATCTGTCTTTCTCTTATCTTTTCGATTGTGATTGTTTTCCTTACCTACCCTTCCTTAGCTTCTTTTCTAGCTTTTTTTGGACCGTTCTGACAGCAGTAATCGTAGCGATTACATGAAGCACAGACTCACGTCACATTCACAAACACACACCTGGGCTCAGACTGATGCTAATGTGCACTTTCCTGGTATCGCCAGTCTGTTTACAACCTGCTGCCTTTTGGGCCATAACTCAAGATGTCAGTCATAAGTTAAACCTAAATTTCTGGTCCGAAATTGTTCATTTGTGAGGCCAGTCATAATTCAAGGGTCGACCGAACTCGTTTCTGTTTTTGCCACAGCTAGCTCAGATCTTGCTTTCTTTATAAAAGGAGGGGAAAGAGAGAAGAAAACTCCCTTGGAGGAGTCCAAGGGAAGTGAGATTATTTACCGTGTTTCTTAGCTTTCAGGTGCTTGCCCCTTCAGAGCCACTGGGTACCCTAGGAGATGCTGGGGCCACAACACTGCAGTGAGACTGCCCCATGCCAGGAAAGCCCGGGAAATCAGCCTTTAGTTGGGTGCGGACCAGCACTGGGGAGAGTCTCCTGGAGCCCTAAATTTCTCCATGGGTTCAGCCACTTTTGCTTGGTATGTGGCATCCCAGCTGGGTTAGAAGAAGATAAGCCTCTGGGAGCCTCTAGGAAAGCCCATGTTTGAAACAATGAGCGCTCCATGGAGTCCCTGAGACTCGAAACTGGACCTTGAAATCCACCTTTCTACAGAGCCCTTTAAGATCTCCCAAAGCATCTGCAAACTGTGTTAAATAGTTCACAGATTCTTAGTTGGGTATTTCCTTAAAAATGTCCTATGCCTTATCAGATTCAGATTATTTTTCCAAGAACTGGAGGGAGATTTGCAATGGGATAATCCAGTTCACATGGTAAAAATGAAACTGTGACCACAAAACTAATGATGCAATAAAGTGAATGTAGTAAAAGAAACACTAAAGGAAACCGGAAGCCTTGGTGTCTTAAAAAGAAAAACCACAGTGAGACAGCTTCAACCTGCTGAATTGCTTACGCTGGTTTCTCCACGCACAGACCAGGGGTTTCTGTTACTAACCTGGGCCCTGTTGGGTTGAAAGGAAAATCCAGCCACCAACAAGGGCTCCCAAACCTGTTCTACTGCATTGGAAAGCTCATATTTTATAAGGGTCTTTTTATTATAATCTCTGTTTTCTACATTTAAACATTGAAATAATAGGCGCAATTACTAAGTTTCTTGGTTTCATTAATATGGAAATTAGGTCTCAGAGGAATTAAATAGCTTTTCTAAAACATGCAACAAGTAAAAGGAAAACAAAAATTGGCACGTGGGTGTCACATGCTCTAAAACATGTTCATTCTTTTACTCCAGACTTTCCATCTGGGGAAAAATATAAATACTATGAAATTGATCATATCTGATTGGTATACTTGTAAGAATTAGATAGTACAGCATTCTTTTTTATTCATCTTTCTGGAAAGAGCCACACGTAATGGATGGGATTTAGAGTCCAAAAAGCTGGACTCTGAGTCTGCTTCCATCATTTGATAGTAATGGAATTCTGAGTCACCACCTCACCTCAGTCACATCATTTATGAAGTGCAGGTACCCGGTAAAATCACCTTTGCTTACTTAAGACTTTCTCCACATCAACTAGTAACAAAATAGATGCATCCATGGAGTGACAAGTATCTAGTTATATGCAGTGACTTTGGCCTCATGACAGGTTGCCGTCATCTACAGCATTATCTGTACGAGGGAGTCACATTCTCAGAAAGCAAGCTCTGACCTCTGAGGTGGAATCATCTCCCCACAGCTGTCACACTTCCTCCACCTATCCGCTTCCTCCTTGGCTCTGATCACAAGCTGCCTTTTACAGGTATTAGCTGACTGTCCCATGTGTGTCTCTCCCTGAGGAAGCTGTAGACCCCTGGGTTTTGCACACAGCTGTTCTGTGATATGGGGATTAAACTCAGAAGTTCTCTATCACTAAGCTACGTTCCTAGCCCTTTGTGAGACAAGATGTCAGAACCTTGCCAATAATAGTCTTTTTTTTTTTCCGATTGTTTTGAAACAGGGTCTTGCTTTGTAGTTCAGCCCAACCTTGAACCCACTATGTAGCACAGGATGAACTTGAACTTGCAGCAATCCTCCTGCCTTAGCTTCTTCAGTGTTAGGATGACAGACGTGGCAGTAAAGTCTTAATAGTTGTCTTAGACAGAAAACCAGATTGATGCTTGCTAAAATGTTACAGCTGCTGCCCATCTCAATGCCTTCATCTCTATTTTCCGGAGTGGCTTTACTAAACATGAATTGCTTTGAAATCAGATATAAATTAAAAACATGGAGCGTGGACTCTGGGGAGCTCCCCATCAGTGTTCTTCTGGGAGCAGCTATGGCTGTTGCCCACACATTAGGTTGGGGCAGCTGAGGCTTTCGCATATTTAATTACTGCAGCCAAAAACATGCTGCCATCTTCCTGCACTTGCCCAGGTCTGTGAATGCCAGCTCTGAGCAGGGTGGTGATGGCCACGAGTTCCCTTCACCAGAACCACATTGGCATGGGTTTCAATCAGGCTGGGATGGGAGGGCACCAGGTGTGGCCTAGAGTAAGTTGTGGGAGAAGTGAGGAGCACAGGCCTGTGGCTTCATGGTCTGCCATGTGGACAGATCATGGTGTATCACCCACACCCAGGGCATTTCCCTGTATAATTCAGTGGCTACATATTTTAATTTTCTTTCTTTTCTTTTTTTTTTTTTTTTTTTTTTGATACTGGGGATGGAATTCACAACCACATTCTTGCAAGGCAGGCACTTATGCTGCTGACTAAATCCCCAGCCCCATGGCTACATATTTAGAATGCAATGAAGGCGGCTTAGAATTTTGGCTTTGTATGTTATCTTGCATAATTTATCTCTAAATTTCAGATGCATCAAATATAAAATTGGGTTATTTTTAGCAACTTTCAGAATGATTGTATTAGTGACCATCACTAACCAGTAAATGAAAGTATATCTTCAAAAGTATTTTAGCACATTATCAATAAAGGCCTAATTGATTTTACCTTTCTCCTCTTATGTATATTGTGAACACAAGGTACTGTGTTTCATGTTATGCAAAATAAGATGAAAACAGAGTAGCTCTTCCTTTTTTCCTTTATACAAATAAAGAATTCAAGCACAGGTAAGTTGAAGGAGTTGCCCAAGATCACAAAAGATTAGAAAATGTGAAGCAAAGATGTGAATCCCAAAAGTGTTCTTGGCACTTGGCTCATACTTCCTTGTAAAAGAGTCCCTTCACACTTTCTGGAATTCAGATTTTGGGGCCCAAACCTGCCTCTACTGCATGAGAATTTCCAAGGTGACTCTTCGGAGGCCAGTGGAAAGCACTGGTCCAGAAACTATGCCATCAGCCAGAGCTGACATTCTGAGCGGAAGTGCCCCGCCCACTGCCCCAGAGTGAGTGCCACCTTGCCTAGTGGCCCACTGGGACAGATGGCTGGAGTCTGCCAGCCCTCTCCCAGTGGCGCTGCTGTAGGCTCAGGGATGCAGCTAAGGTCTAAGGTGATCCAAGAGTTACTGTTATTAAATATGAGGAAGAGGAGGATGTGGAACAAAAACATTTACTTGTAATTTAAAGTGTGGCAAAAGTACCAAAAAACAAACAATGCTCAGAGACAGTCATGTGCTAGTTCATGTTTAACCAGCAACCCTGAACCTCTTGCCCAGATCTGTGTCCTCCTACTCCTCTCCCCAGGGTGAATGCTTCCACAGGATGTGCTTTAGGCCACCAGCATGAGGCCACGCAAGCATCTTTGGTAAGAATTGTGCAGCAGTAACATTTCCACCACCCACTGAGTGCAGACACAATAGTGATTGAGTCCTAGACAACAGTGTAAGATAACAGTCAGGAGGTGGTACTTAGTATTTATTGTCTTTAATATATATATTATTTATTTGTAATTTTACACAGCTTTCTTTGGGCAAAGGTGACCAAGAGATGGAGTGTGGCTGGAAGAAACACATAAAAAAAATTAAGATGTGCTGTGTACATGTGTCAGCTTGTCATGAGGAATGTAATCATGTCCTGCAAACATGTACCAATAAAAATCAAAACTAAAAAAATGAACTAAAATGTCCTTTCTAATACCAGTTCTGGCTAAAACTAGACTATATTATATCAAACCAACAGTCACTTTAAATTTTAATAGTTTCATGAATTTTCTAATAACTTTAACCTTACAGACCTTAGAAATGTTTTCTATGGAAAAATAACAAGCTTACCAATACATTTAAGTGTCTACAACTAGAGAATGCTGTTAATGCAGCTGCTCTGGTATGAATGTTTATCATGCAAAATAAAGATATTTGTTTAGCTTTCAAAACAAATACTAATGAGGATGATAATGGCTCTGTGTACCCCAAGCTCTGCCCGGTCCTGACAAGTTTCACACTGGCTCCCAGAGCCCTGTGGGTGCTGCTGCCTGTCAGAGTCTCAGGTAAGAACACTGTCTGAGAGGGAGGGTTGGCCTGCAGTCCTGTGAAGCTGAGGGCCAGTGGCACAGAGGTCTCCCCAAGAATTCTTGTGGACACCCTGGGAACAGGCCTTGTGCCCACTCTGCTCACTGCATCATCACCCCGAGAGCTTTCCCCCAGACTCTGGCTAGAAGAGACAGGCAGCCCCTGTGGGTTCCCAAGGTTCTGAGCCTTCAGACAGCAGAAGCAGCCACTTATTTTGGAGGCAGCCTGGGCTCGTATCTCCCAGCCAGGAGGGAGCAGATATCTGAGCCCCACCTCTTCTGATTCCCAATGGCGGACCTGGCAACCACCTCAAGCTCACTGGCCTCTTGAGTCATGGCCCAGAGGCTGGCCAGAAGAGGAAAGTAACCTAAGGGGAGGCACTGCACTAGGAAGACTAAGGTGTTTCACAGTTGCTGAGGGCAGCCCTGTCTTCTTCCAGTGGGCATAACACATACTAGATGTACAGAGGCACCTCTTCCATGAGAGTCCATTTCGGAGAGCACCATTAAGGAATGCTCCATCACTTTTCATTTGGCAGGTGGACCAGAAGTGTGGAGCACTAGTTTCTGTTTTCAAATTATGGTTCAAGGAGCTCAGATTTGGGGAAGTCACAACACTAAGCAAGTAAAACCAAAAGCACCGTTTACACCAGCGTGCAATTCAAACACTTGCAGAGACCTAAAGCTGAACTTTCTGCACGTGAGAACCGATGGTCTCCACACACAGGCTCAGTGTACACAGCCTTCACACACACACATGCATGCCACACAACAGCCACGGCTGAGTGGACTGAGGAATTCCCCTTCAGGAAGCCATGGGGTCTTCCCACCCCTTCCCCATGGAGCGCCTCCATCTCTGCCTGGCACCCCCGTCTCCCTTGTTTCCTAGCTGATCCCACTTTGCTAAATGATGGAGACAGGTGGTTCTTAAGCACAGTCCCAAGCAAAAGCAAGGACTGGGAGGTCTGCCCTTTCATCCCGGCCTGCACTCCTCTCCCGGGGTCCTGGGCAGGACCAGAAGCAGTACTGCAGAAGCTAAAGGTGACATTTTACACAACCACAAGCCGAAATATACTACTGGTGCTCACCCCAAAGCTGGGCCGGAAGGGCCTGAGGCCCCAGGGCTGCTGCCTTTGCAGTCATCTGCAGTGGTTGAAAGGTTCTGGGGAGAGAGCAGAATTTCATGATGTATTCTGTGGCCCCTGTGGGTGTGACATGCCTTGCTGGTCCAGCCCCAAATGCTGCAACTAAGCAGCAGCGGCTGTGGACAGCAGGGCTCCAGTCTGAGCCAGAGGAAGTAACTGGTACCCCACCTGGCAGTGGAGAGTGGGCAGAGCCCAAGGGTGGTCAGGGGCAAAGACTGGCATGATGTGGAGCACTGGCTCCCACCCTGCAAAGGCAGACTGAGCTCATCTCCAGGCACTTCCTGCTTGGGGCTGATGGTCCTCTCCAGCAGGATCCAGGCCGCCTACTCTAACCAAGCATATGTGTTCTGCATACCATAGCTTTGTGGTTTCCAAACACCAAGTCTGAAAAAGTTTAATCTTATTTGAAATTCACACAAGTTACTGTGACCTACAGCACATGTAGGGGAAGAAAAAGTTACTGGGTATTTAAAATCTGGTTTCAGGGGCTTAAAATTTTTTTAACATGCTAATCATTTTAAATTCGTTACTCCCTCATCTAAAGGCTATAATTAAAAATGTGATGAGATCATTATTCAAACATCTTAGTAAGCGTATCGAGCTGTTTCAACATAAAACCATGTAGCAAAACGTTATGCTTATGAAATCAGACTCAAGTTCCTCTTGACTTTAAAAGGGTCTCCTTTAAACTGGGGATGATGGCACAGTCCTGTAATCCTAGCATTTTGGGAGGCCGAAGCAGGAAGATTCCAAATTCAAGCAAAGCCTAGGCAACTTAGCTGCTTAACAAGACCACTCTAAAAATAAGAAATGCAAAAAGGTTGGAATATAGCTCAGTGAGAAGCCTTGGATTCAATTTCCAGTACTGAACAAAAATTATTTAAAGCTTTATTTAAATTCAATATTTAATTATCGTCCTTAAATACTTTGTATTTTGTCATAATTTTAAAAAGAAGACTGAACCATAGTTTTCACCAAGCCCTACATAAATATCTTGCAATTTATTTCAGTTATTTTTATTCTTAAAATTCTGTATTCTACAAATCTGAAAAGGACAGGAAACCAGTGCCTTATAGTTATTAATATACAGCCACACCTGTGATTATGTAAGTTAACGGACAGGCCATGTAACATAACTATTGTCATATATTTTTCTGGCATGGGCAAATTAACTCGAATATACAAAGTACAGATTAGAAACCTGTTGTCCAGAACTGAGTGAAGAAAGCCTCTTTACTTACTGTAAAGTGGAAGCCTTTGCAGTACAGTTTGAAAGTATATTTTGCAGTCTGCAAACAGCTCCAGGAGAGCTGTTCTGTAATGCACTTTCAAATGATTTTTGCAACTGTCCTCTGGCCAACTACCCTCTCGCCAACACCCGTGATCACATGAACTCTGGCTCAGGTGACTTCTCCGGTCATATCTAAAACGCACTTCCTCAGCTACAAATAAAAGAAGAGGTTGCCTCTTTCAGTAGGGAGCTTAAGGGAAGCCCGCCTAAGAAAAATGCAGCCAGTTTGCAAACGTTTTCTTTCCAGTTTCTTTCTTTCCTGAGTCTGTTCGGGTGGCCAGATGGAATCTTTTTGTTAGGCTTTAAAAATATTTTCAAGTGAATTCTCCAAATTCACGCCAGCAGACAAAATTTGCTATTTCGTAAGTTTGGAGCAGCCAGAGCGCGCTCTAGGAGACCAGCAGTTTCACCAGCTCCCGAAAGCGCAGCTATATTAGGGAGCCCTCTGTAGGAAGTACGGGTAACACTTAGTTCCCGGAAGATTAGGTGTGGTTTTAATGAGCTCATTCAAGAGGCGGGGAGGGGGAGGGTGGTTCCATGTTTCTATTTTTAAAACGCTTATAAAGATCATCCTTTGTTGTCTAAAGGCAGTGAAAGCTAGAGAGCCATCCTTCACGTTACAGTTACAGGTAACAACCTAATTTCCAACAAAAAAATTCAAGGGCACCGATACTTCCGTTGGAGCCCCCGCGGGACACTGCCCACAATTCCACTGGGTGGGTGTCTGAGCCGGCTCAGCTGTGCAGGGGGAACCGCTCTTCCTACCTCCAAGGATCTGAAGGATCACCACTCCCGAAGGGATTCTCCACGAAACGCTAGCACATCACTCACCCAGCCTTAGCTTGTAGAATAACTTGGGAAGCAGGGCGTGGAGGCAGCCACTCTGCGAGGCCGAGGCCCAAGGATGGCGAGTTGCAATCCTGCCTCAAAATAAAAAAATAAAAACGGGCTGGGGACGCGTCTCAGTCGAGGGCCCAAGGTCCTTTACCAGCAAGCGGGAGGGGTAACTTGATACCAGTGCACTCGGTGGCCTGCGCCACTCCACCTTGCCTGGCTGTGGGTCAAGACCCTGGAGGGCGGGCTCTGCTCAACCAGCTGGCCTCTGCCCGCCGGCCCTTCTCTAGGGCTTTTTCGGATAGAAGAGCGTTTCACTTTGCGTAAATGAAGCCGCGTGGAGCCGCGGTGCAGAGGGAGACCTGCAGTCTTAGGGAGGCGTTGGGTCTGGGCTGTGCCTGGGACTTCCCTGCGCCAGTCGCTGGGACAGAGGACGCTGCTAACTTTCCTCCGTTCTCTGGACTCCGTGCATGGGCCGGGTACCTGGGGCCCCAGAGGAAGGAAGAAAGGTAGGGGCGTGGGAACTGCCCGCAGTTGGGAGGTCCGGCTGAGTGGATTTCGTGGAGAAGGATGCTTTTTTTCCCCTAGCACAGTGTTCCGGCGTCACCTGGACTAAACACTTCCCACTGAAGGAGGAAAGCCTCGATCAGCCTCCAGGGCTAAAGGTTAGGGGATACCAGGCAGGTACACTCCGGAGTGGAGCAATGCAAGAAGCCTCCACTTCCAACCAAACAGTAAAGACCCTCACCAGGACCTGGGGGCAGAGTCGGCTCTCCAGGACCCCAACCCCACCCCTGCGGCAACCTCTCCCAGGTCTTGAACCGGAGCGCGCGCTTTCGCACGGATCGCAGCCCAAGCTGCTTGGACCTGCACCAATCTGGGCGGGGCCGGGCCGGGCCGCGCTGCCCGTAACAGACGCACCGAGGACGCGGTCCCAAGAATCCAAAGCCCTAAGCCTCCTGCGGCTCAGCCAGGAGCAGGGAGCCTGGTCCTCTGGTGTGGGGCGCACAAAGCGGGCGCAGGCCCGAACGCACGAGACCCGCTCAGCCGCTGGAGTCGCACTGCCCACTGCGCCTGAGGCTGCCCCCTACCGCAGGTCCGGAAAAAGTCCCGGGTGCCCTGGTGCTCCGACCCGCCGCAGCTGCAGGCTGGGGCCTCGGGGTCCCGGCCACGCGACCCCAGCCGACGTCTTCTCGCGACCCCAGGCCTAGCCCCTCTACAGCCGGGCTCCCGGCTCCTCCCGCCCCGCCCTGGGCTCCTCCCAGCCCCGCCCCAGTCCGCCAAGCGCCCCGAGGGCAAGGGGGGCCGGAATTTCCCAGAGCTGGGGCTCAGGCTCGCCCGGAGCCGGACAGTCTCTTTCTGTTTACGAAGAGAAAGGGGAAATGGAAAAGGCGGGGAGACGGTGTCTAGCACGCGCCGCACCGCCCCTGGGCCGGCTCAGACGCTGCGAGTCCGGGGCCGCGGAGGAGGGCGCCCGCCCGGGTCCGCGCCGCCACCCGCTGTCCTTGCTCCCCACGCCCGGACCCTCGCCGTGCACCGAGCTGCGGACGCGCGGGGAGGCCGCAGGTAACGCGAGCACGAGCTCGGGCATCTTTCGGTTCGCTTCCTTTCCAGGGCCCCGCGTGTCCACTCGGAAGCGGGGCTGACCCCAGCAGGAGGCAGAGCTGCGCGCGAAGGGAAGTGGGGTGCCCGCAGCCCGCGCAGCTGCTCTTAGGTGCCAGGCACCGGGCGCCAGCTGCAGGCGGCCACAGCTGGAAAGCACCTTGCGCAAGGGTCTCACGAGGTGTGGAGTCGAGGCTCCGCCCCCTTCCTCCTCCTTCCCGGATCCGCGGCAGCCGGGCAGTGCCGGGCTGGCAGTGCGCGAGGAAGCACGGAGCTGTTGTCATCGCGCCTCCGGCGGGGACGCCGGCGCGACGGCCGCACGCATCCTGCCGAGCCCGGGTAAGTGCGCCAGGCAGCCGCAGCACTCTGCTGCCACCGCCCAGAGGATAGGTGCTCCTTGGCTTTAGGAACTTGCTGGAAGGGGTTGGGAGAGTGCTTGGTGCTGGAAAGACCTGGATGAAAGCCTGCTCTGGGTAAAGATGCTCAAGCAGTTGCTCCATGTAGTGGCGCCGAGTCCTGATTGTAGGCACTGTAGTGTCCATTCCGGTGCCTGCTGCTGCCCCACCTCTCTCCGGTGGACTAAAGTTGTGCACAGTAAGTTCTGCCCCTGAAGGACTTGGCTGTGGAGGATAGAATAGCTGAGAAGTGCGTAGAAGTTTTGCAGCAGAGTGACTTCGATTCTGTAAGGCCAGCATGCATCATTCTTGGGCTTTTTGGGAACAAAAAGTAGGAAATATTCCCTGAGGGTCAGTGTAGTGTTTTGGCAGAAGGAGCTTTTAAGTGGGAAACAGGACTAGGCTCAGTCCTCCTTGGCAGGCCTGAGCTTCTGCCTGTGATCTTGGCCATTGTTATTCATGTTTGCCTGGCCACACACCGGTTCCATTTATGTCCATGTTTGCTTTTATTGCCAGTTTCTGAAATAAGTCGAAGTAAATAGCTTTGACTGTGTTGGCACATCGTTCCATTTCAAACACTGGCATACTTCTGTGCTGTATTAGGAAGTGGGAAATGTGTGAGATTTTTTATTGTAAACTTTGTGGGGCACAATTATACTAAAAGCCTCTGTTGCTAAATTAGAATGCTTTCACCACCTACATGTTTTTCTAGGTGGGTACTAAGCATGCCTAACTCAGGAACCTTAGCTTATTGCCTGCTTAATGACAAGGTGGGAAAGTGCTGAGACTTTGAAGGAGCCCTTAGTAGGCGGCCTGGTCACTGGTCACGGGGCTGCTGGGAGGGCAAGTCTGTGTGACAGGAGCCTTGTTGCTAAGGAATTAAGCAAACACTGTAGAAAACCTACCTGTCGGAGCATTCCACCTCCTCAGGTCCTTTCCTCCCTGGCTTCCTATGTGTGTAATCTCCTAGGTCAGTGATGGTGAGCCTTTTAGAGTTTCCTGGGATACAGACAGCTCACCGCCAGTGTGCAGTGGCTGTCCCAGGTTCTATGTGTGAGTGCTGGAGTGCTTGAGGCTTTCTGCAAGATTTGAAAAGCAAAACCTGTCTTTGCTCTCTAGATTCATTAAGTGAATCTGAATTCTGTAGTCTCTCTCTCTTTCTCTCTCTCTCTCTCTGTCTGTCTCTCATCCTGTTAGCACTGGGAAGTTTATTTGCTTCCCTCTTATCCGTTTGATAAGTCAGTCTAGGAGCCTTGGGTCTTTGCAGCCAGTGTGGCTTCTAAATTAGACTGTTTTTTTTTAAACTTCTGTTTTTCTAGTAAATTCTACAAGTAGAAACTGCAACTAAATGGCTCTGTGAAACCGAAGTCAGAAGTTCTCCCATTAACCCAAGAAGTTCCCTTCATAATGCCACAGATGCCAAAACTTGAGTCACAGCCTCCACAGAGATGCAGGAGATCTCTGAGAGGGGCCAGGCCGCCTCTGCGTGGAGATTGAAGTGTGGTTCATAACCGGCATCAAAGCATCTCACAGGTTTCTGCCTCCCCCTACACTTTGTTTCTTAGTTTAGATGCGTGAAGAATTGGTAGCCACATCCCTTTGCAGATAAGAGAAAGGAGGTTAATGTAATCATCTACAAAGCTAGGTCGACTCAGGGCTTCTTTCTTTCATGCACAAAAGTAGCTAAAAATGACACAGTTGACTTATTGTGCACCAGACGCTGGACAGCCACCTGCTGCACATGTATATGCTTAATCCTCTCAACTGCTGAATCCTCTTGAACTGTTCAGCTAGGTGTAGGCTCCTTTTTATGAATGGGGGGAAGCTGAGGCAGAGCTGTAAAGATGCTCATCTGGCATCATGTGGACAATAAAGGGGGAGGGAAGGCAGATTTGACCTAAGCAGTCTGAGCCTAGCGAGGGTTAGAGTGCAGGATGGTTGTTGCCACACTTCTTTCCAGACTCCGTTTGTGCAGCAGAGAATGACCTTTGAGTGAATTCGGGGTGATAGTAAACTGCATGGCTCTTCTGTGTGTAGGTGGCACTGCCATGGAGCACTTTCTGGAGCTTTGAACTGAAGCCCTGATCTGTCACAATCAAAGTGTGTGGCTTTATCCTCTGTGTCAGTATTTCAACTTTTTCTTCTGGCACTGTGGGGCATCAAACCTAAGACCTGGAGCATGCTAAGTAAACTCTGTTCCACTAATTCCCAGACCAGCTTGGACTTTTAAAATCCTAAGTGATCTCTCAGAGGAGCGCTGTGTTTGCAGAAGTCCATGGCATAAGTAAATAGACAAGCTTTGCAGTTGTCTTAGATCACTTAAATCCTACTATCTCATTCCCTTTGTAGTAGAGTTGAATTGTTCTGAGATTCCAAGAGGTGATGTGCTGTGTTTCCTCTTTTTCTCATTTACAGCTCCACAGGTGCTGCACCTGATTGTGCAGAACTGAAATGCCATTTTGGCTAAAAGTCTTCACCCATGACTTGCTTGTTGTGAATTTGACTTTTCTGGTCTTTGTCTACTACAACCATTTCTAGAGAGTCATTGATCTAGATGCTGAAATACCTTTTGGGGACCCTTGGGGTATTTGCTTTGCATTGTTAAAGAGTTCTGGTCTCAGGGGGGACAGCTCAATAACAAGTCAAAAATCCTTTCTCATCCTCCTCACTAATCCTTTTTCCCCCTCCTCCATGAACCCCAGACCCCTGCCCATTTCCAGCTCATCTGCCCAGCACGATTCCTACCATCATCACTTTCCTTAGATTAAAATCTGTTCTGTGTGCTTCTGCCCTCAGCATCTGAATCTTGTCAAGTTAGCTCCTGAGTTTAGTCAAGCATCATTGTATCTTTAAAGTTCTGCAGGTCTAAGAGCTTGTGTTTTTTGCAAAGAGAACTGGTGCTTTGGGGAACATCTGGGTTGTGTAAGGTTGGAAGCTTCCAGGAGCAAGGTCTTTGAGGTCTTCAGAGATTCCTGAGCTGCACTTTACGTGACTGAGTGGTGAAAGTTTGTTTTTAGTAGCTTGAGCTGATGCCACAGTGAGTAACCAGCAAGCTGCTTGGATCTCAGGTTTCTCCCTGCAGAGTGAGGGCTCTAAGGATTATCTAAGGTCTCTTTCCACTTGGCAGCATCTGTCTACGCGGGCTCACTCACGCTGTTGACAGGGGCCCTGGTGTTACAAGCAGGGAGCCTTGTTCCCAGCCCTTCCTCTGAGCTTCCAACTGTCTTCAACTGTCGATGCCAGTACAGTGAGCAGAGTGTCTGTGTTTCCTTTTGTAGACTCCAGAAAGCGCCACAGGAATGGAGTTCATGAGCACTGGAAGTGACAATAACGAAGACATTGATTTGTTAATTAAACACTTAAACGTGTCGGATGTAATCGACATCATGGAAAATCTTTACACGAGTGAAGAGCCGGCAGAGTACGAACCCAGCCTCATGACCATGTGTCAGGACAGCAATCAAAACCAGCAGCCCTCCGAGCCTCTGCTGCTGGGAGGACAAGAGGTGCCCTGGTTGTCATCAGTGAGATATGGCACTGTGGAGGACTTGCTTGCATTTGCAAACCACATATCCAACACCGCAAAGCATTTCTATGGGCACCGACCGCAGGAATCTGGGATTTTATTAAATATGGTACGTTTTTCGTAATCCACCGAGTGCTGTGTGTTTAGCTTTACTGATGTGCCTTCCTTTAATGCAGAGTGGCGTTTGAATTTGGTGTATACTGCCTGCCAGATATGATCATTAGAAAGGTGACTATCCACAGGAATCACCTCTGTGATAAAAATGCAACCAAATAGTCTTCAAGAAAAGATTCCTTTAGACTGTCTTGACCACAACTCAGGAGCAGCTCTCAGGAGCACATTATTCTTGCTTAGGTGTTTGGGGTCATCTCATGGCACACTGATGAGAAATGGGCCCTGTGCACAAGGACAGATAATTAAGAATGTAATTTGTTTTTTTATTTTCTTTTTTGATTTTTTTTTTTTTTTTTTGCCTAGCGTGTGCTAAGTAAGTGTACCCTAACCTTTGAGAATATATATTAATTTACCAATTCATTACAGAGCTTAATCATCACTATCATAGGAAAGAAATTTCGGAGCCTGAATTATTCTCTTCTCTCTTAGCACATCTTGAAGGGCTGTAATAGGAACAGTGGCTGAATTCAGTTCTCCCAAAAATATGGCGTGTGTGTACAGATGTGCTATTTTTAATTGGCAAAACATGAATGACAAAACAGGTATTAGTTTAGTCATCCCAAGCATGCAGATAATCCTAAATATTGTGACAGCACTTTGTTGCCACAATAGTGTGTCAGGTGACATGTGTAGATGTACCTGCCCTTATGTGTGTCAGAGGTGAGTGTGGGTGCTGGCTAAAGGTGCTCTAGTTTTTTAAAAAGAACACTTTGCAGAGGATTAGGTGGGAGCTTGCAAAACATGCTTCTTGATGAAAGTGACTCTCACCACTGGTGCATCTCAGTGGCGCAGTGACCAGTGCTGGGAGACTTTGTGTCCACCCAGCAGAGTCTGGTTAAAGTACTTAATTATTTTGTTTTTGGCATGCCGCATGCATTTAATGAAAAACAATGCAGTAATTTGGGTCAGCTATGCAGCTAGTTGTTTTGTTAGAATTTTGCTCAGCTCTCTGTGGAGCGGGTTTATATTTTGCATTGTGGTGTGACTTCTTTTGGCCTGCATGTACCAAATGGCACTTAACAATTAGCTGAGTGGTCTGTCTTCAGAGCATTGCTTCCTTTAGTTAATAGGAACTAGGGGCAATACCTGATTTTAAGGAAGCTGTAGCACTCTGATATAATTTATATAATGATAAACATAATTCCATCTATAAAGACACAGCTCCTTGAAGGTCTTCAGGAGCAGGGCTGGACGAGCTAGTGCAGAAAAAGAAACTGAGCCATTAAAAGGAAGTGAAAATTTTATCACAAAGGGTAAGAGTCAAATATGGTCACTTCCTGTCCAGGACTTCGCTGTGAAGAGGAACAAATGCTTGCTAAAAAGAACATTTAGTGACAGGTCATATCATAAAGGCAGGGATCTTGAAAACTTTTAGAATTTTAAAAAATTTTTAAAATGACCAAGAATATAAAATGTAAGCAAGAAAACTGAAACAGAGAAGCCCAGAGTGAAAGAAAACACTGGATGGTAGAATCCAAAGGACCGTAGGTCTGGCCTCTCCCGGCGTGGTTGACTTTGCTGGTGGTGAAATTAAAGATCAGCTGATCGTCGCGCCTGGCAGCACCTCTCGTGGCACTGCTTCTGTGGCAGTAGCCTAGCACTGGACTGGTCATCCCTGATGGTTCACCGCAGTAGCCGGCATTCTGCCTCCTTTCATGCTGTGGAGGTTGGGGCTCTTTGGGGCTGAACTGCGTTCCAGGCCTTGGTCATCATGTCTTCCACCTGCTACCATCGCTTGTGGGTTGTATTAGCGGTGTTTGTGTCTCCGCATTAGCTACCACACAGCTTGGTTCCGAGGTGAAATCCACCTTCCAGGTGTACGCACAGGGACATTCCTTTGCTAGACAAGGGTGGGGTGCCTGCATTCTGTCAGAGCTTTCCAGATGGAATGCTTGGGCTCGTCTGTGCCTTGGGCAGCTCGCTGCCCTGTGCAATCGGGACAAGTGAACGGGCAGTTGTAGTACAGTATGCCACTGCCTGAAGCAGCTGCATCCTGCTAGCCTGGGAATGCTCTGGCAGGGTACTTCCCACAGTCATGAGTGTGGCCAGGGGGAGAGGAGAATGTCAGCCTGGGTTTCCAAGAAAAATGGTCAAAGTCTGAACATTGTGTTAGAGTCAATCAGATGAAGCAGGGCATATTAAAGATGATGGGAACAGTGTGTGCAAAGGCCCAGAGGCACTGAGACCTAGTGTGCTCATCCAGCCAGCAGTCCCCGTGCCATAGAGTTAATTAGAAAGGGTGGGGAAGCAGGATTTACAACAACATCATGGAGCACAGTTGTGTTGAATGGTGCTCTTTTTGTGTATGTTTGTGTCCTACTTTTCTAAAAATAATGCTTGTTATGAATCTACTGAAATCCAGCCAAAGAACTTTAGGGAACTAATCTAGGAATTTCTTTGTGTCAGAGCACTGCAAATTATTTCTAAGCTAGGCTGATTTATAGCCTGGAATAATTCAAAATGGGTTCTGCTCGAACTCTTGATGATTCTGCGTGGAGCAGTAAGATCCCAAAGCATTCACTGAGCGTAAGATATTGCCTGCTGTTTCTTGTGGTTGGACCTGCAGTCAGGCTTCTTGGGTTGGAAAACCCCAGGGGATTCTTGAGGACAACCCTCGGCCCACTGTTCAGCCTCTCTAGCAGCTGGTAGCACGTTCTCCTCTGTGCTTGAAGACCTGTTCCTTAGCGCTCACCCCATCCTGCAGCCCTGGCTCCTCCATCCAGTTCTGACTATAAGAAAAGTTCTTTCTCATGGAGAACTAAGACCCGGGCTAGCCCAGAACCCAAGCACGGGTGACTGCTTGTTGTGTGACCAGCCAAATAGGACAAGGCTGATTTTGCCTTTGTTCTAGAATAATCTACCTCTGCCAGGAGGTAGCCCAAGATCATACCTGATTCAAAGCCATCAATATCACACTGGCCACTTACAAAATTTATTCTTACTAAAATATCTAAGAATTTTTCTAAGTGTTGCTCCTGGGCCCGGTGTTGTTCCTGTAGATAACAGAGATATAGGTGAAGAAATAGCTTATAATGTCTGCATTTGAAGGTGGTTTGGGCAAGTTGAAGAACTGGCAGGAATAAAGGGTGTGGAGATCTCTGGAGCTGTTTGATGAGAGTTTAGAAAAAGGGAAAACGGTCTCAGATTCCAATAGGTTTGGTCTCAGCCAGCGAAGAGCGGGACCTTTGCAGGACTGCACGCTGGCCAGGACTTGCGAACTACCAAGTTGGTTCAGGGTCTGTTGTTAGAGCTGTCCTCTGGACACATTCAGAGTAGGGTCCTCAAACTCAGAAGGTAAATTCAGGGTTACAGGCCTGGCAAAGGAAACACTCAGGTGTGCTGGGTGACACGTAAATGGAGACTTTTAATAGCTAGGCTTGTCTCATAGCTTGGCTGTAATTATGGCCTCCGGAACACTAAAGGCTCCTGACAAACACTGGGAGCTCTGGCTTTGGAGTCCGGCAGACCAGAGTTTGAATCCTGTCCTTGGCGCTGCCTAGTAAGTAACCCTCATCTGGGAAATGTCAGTTTCCTCATCTGTGAAATGGGGATAATAGTAGTACTGAGCTCACAGGGCACTGGTGGATCCTAGTGAGGTAATATTCTGAGGTCCTGAGCAGGGCAGCTCTTAAATCCTTCTTCTCTCAGGCAGAATGAGAGGGGAAAACTGAGTTATAACAAATGTAGTTGGAACAAAAGTAGAATTCAAGAGGCAGGTTAAACCTGGAAATGATGCTATGGAGCGTCCTGGGATGTTGGATCTACTAATATCTACCAAAGCAAGAGAATTGGGGGCCTTCGAATGGTTCAGTCTACGATCGTCAGACCCTCAGTAAACTGCACACAGAGGCTGCCTGTGGCCAAAAGTGACATTGCTGCTGTGTTTTAAACAAGACCAGACCATGGTCTCACTCAGATGCCTTCCAGGGCCTGCATGCCATTCCACAGAGCAGGACTCTCAGTAAATAATTCACTCGTTAGCTTGAAGACTGAGTTTCCAAGTATTAGGGTGACTCTGCCTCACTGGTGATTGGCAGTGAGCATAGTATTTTCTGGATATAGTACTAAAATTAGCAATACGAGACATGGATGATTAAGCCTCCCGGACCCTGGCCTGTGCCGTACAGTGCTGAGCAGAAGTTCTGGACGACTGCTGCCCTGTCCAGTGCTCCTTTTTCCAGGGGATGGATCTGGGGTTTTCCACATTCCCCTTCAGCTCTCCCTGTGCTGGAAATAGCGCACTGTCCCCTTTGGTAGATTCATGATTCCTAATTTATAATCTGAAGCTATGATATCAATAATTACAGCTAGCAAAAGCAGGTTTTTCAAACTGTTTATCGCTCAGTGAACACTTTAGAGAGTTTTTTCTTTTTTGGTATCTATTCCATGTCCTATATTCCATAGATTACCGTATTAATTTTGTTGTTTTCCATCTATATTTTTTCCTGTTTAGACATTAACGTACTTTCTATACATTAAAAAACAGGTTTTTCAACACGCAGTTGGAGAGCTTTGACCAACATTCATGTCTTTGTGAACCACAGTGCTATTGGGAAATGTGTCTGTTGATTTCTAAGTTGCCGAGTTGTGTTTTACTGATTTTTTTTTCCCTGTGAATTGAGTTGTATCATTTTTATGTATTGTGTTGATCTGTTTTTTCTTTGCAATCAACTAGTGTTGCAAACTCTGGTCCTAAGTGTTTGCTTGCTTGGGAACTCGGAGGACAGGGGTCACCTGTCTCTGCATGTGGCTGCCTGCTTAGCCTAGACTGCATTCTGGGCGCATGTCAGACATGCAGTAATAGTAACTGAGGGAGTCCGTGAGAAACAGCTCTGCCCTGGCTGCTTAGGTGACATTGCCAACTCATTGCTCCGGCATTGCACGTTGTTTTCCTCGATTCTCCACGATCCTCAGCTGATTTCCGTGCTCTCTGTCTGCATCACGTGTGAGTAATCGCTATGCAGACGAGCAGGTTAGCACATTTCAATAGAACAAGTGGATGAGTTGCAATTTTTATTTTCAGCCTATGGGTCACAGTCCTCATGTTCCTTAGATAAATTATTCAGTTATTGTTTCAGCCTTTATTTTGTGTGTGTTTCCAGTACATAGTGATTCTGGTCCTTGTGGAGAGCTGCTGTGGGCACATGACACACATCAGTTCTCTTTTCCTGTCTTCCCCAACCTCCTTTCATCTCTTGATCCCCTCCCCCTTTGAAAAAGCTCCGTCTTCCTACTTCTTCTCATTATCTTTGAGATAAAAATGTTTAGCATTCTGTTCGGCAGTGCAGATGGAAACATGATCGAGTCTGACCAGGCACCATGTCTCACGAGCTTTCTCTTGCTTGCTCACATTCTAAATATAGCCTCTGCACAGCATTGGGGTGTGCCCAGCGCCACGCACTCTGACTGCAGGGTGTCAGAATGCCTCTGCACTAACCAACCTCTATTGGATGGGCTTTGGAAAAGGAGGTCATGGCCAAATTTTTATCCCTTGCATTTTTCTTTTCTTTCAGGTAATCACTCCCCACAATGGCCGCTACCAAATAGACTCTGATGTTTTGCTCATCCCTTGGAAGCTGACTTACAGGAACATTGGCTCTGGTTTCATTCCTCGTGGGGCCTTTGGAAAAGTGTACTTAGCACAAGATATGAAGACTAAGAAAAGAATGGCATGCAAACTGGTATGTGCATTTAGGCGGTGTGCTGGACATTCCTGCTTTTGTTTGTTTGCATTAACCCAGGGATCTACCCTTAGACTAGATCTAACCTCCTGGAAGCATTTGTTTTTCTGGATTTGCGTGCTGCCTGGGACCACACAGCCCCTAAATCTCTGTCTAGGTGCCTAATAGATTTCAAGATGGTTTTTTGCAGCAAACAGCTAGGCTAAAAATATCTCTTGGCTGGGAAGAGAGGCAGGCGAGGTATTGTTCAGTGTAGGAGCAAACCTATGCACAGCCTCTGTGTCCTGTCCAGGGGAGGCTAAGGCCAGGTGGAAAGTGGACAGCTTCTCCAGGCTACATATTTAAAAGGCTGAATCTGAATATTCCAATTATTTAAAGTCCCTGATTCTTCCTGCTAAACTGTAACTGTGAAGGCGTTTTAGCTTTTGAAAACCATTTGGCATCTCCTAAGCTGAGTGTGCATGTGTCCTTTACCTGAAGTTAAACCCAACAGAACCCTGTCCATGTGGTCACTAGAAGCTAAAGCTGTATTCTAGCGTGTTCATCTCAGCATTGTTTACTTATAAGAGCCCCAAACTGGAAACTTCCCAGATGCTGAAAGGTAGAAAATGTGCACCCTGGAATACTGCACAACAAAGAGAATCAGTGATTTGTAAATAGAACCCTGTGTCTCGATCTCATAACCATTATCTTGAACCCAGAGAGCCAGATACAAAGTAAGACATACTGGCTGAGACTCCATTTATGTATCAAGGACCGAAACAGGCAAAGCAAATCCATGCTGCTGGGTCCCAGACAGTGCAGTGCCCTCGGGAAGAAATGGCCGGAAGGGATCGCAAGGGATTTCTCTGGTGCTTCCGGGTTCTGTATTTTTGTTTATGTGAAGATTACCTTTGTATGTTCGGTTGATAATTCATTGCTTTTGGCACTTACCATTTCTATACTTTCATGCGTATCTTTTTTGGTTTAACTCGCTTGTTTGAAATATGATAAAGTAAAATAGACTCACTTTCTGTCATAGTGCCCAGGACCGAACGCAGGGCCCTCGCACATGGTAGACAAATGCGTTGACACTGAACTTCACTCCTGGCCCAAACATTCACATTTGATTTAATAAAAAATAATTGCTAGAAAAAAAAAATAATTGCTAGATGTTATGTTTCAGTCACTGGTACTATACTTAAAGGCAAATAATATGTTGTCGTGTATCCTTCATAAAGACGCACTAGAGCTGGGCTGGTTGTCTGGCTCGGTGGTATAGGGCTTGCTGAACATGCCCATGACTTTGGGTTCTATCCCCAGCACTCAGGAAAGAGGGAAGGAGGGAAGGAAGGGAGGAAGGGAGGAAGGGAAGAAAAGAGAATTTGCTACAGTAGCTATTATTTATACTATTTAGAATATATTATTAGAAGGTAAAGATTTATAATAAGTCACTTAAAGTTTATAAATTTTTAAAAAATTTATTTTTCATTAGTACAAGTTTGAAGTACATGACTACATTCCTCATGGGGAATTGGTACACAGATGTAACACCTCTTAATACTTTTTCCATTATCTTCTTCTGCCCTTTCCCTTCTGTCCTTCCATCTTTTGGTCTCCTTCCCTTTTGCAAAGTGTCTGTCTCCCTATTTCCGATTATCTATCTTTTATCTTGTCCTTTATTTATATGTTGGATTTCTCATATAAGAGAAACCATGTGATGTTTAAACATGCATGTCTGATTAATTCCACTTACCACTATGCATGCCTTTTTCTACAAGTGACTCAAGTTTGTCCTTTATACGGCAGAGTAGTATTCCATTGGGCATAAATACCGCATTGTCTTTATCCATTCATCCTTTAATTGACATATAGGCCACTTGCAAAATGTAGCTACTACAGATTGTGCTAATGTAAACATGGGTGTGCACATACCACTGTAATATGGTGTCTTTAAAAACTGTTTCTGGAAGATACCTAGGAGGGAAATAGCTGACTCACATGACATTTTTAGTTTTAGTTTTTTGAGGACTCTCCATCCTGATTTCCGCAGTAGTTTACATTTACTAGTAGTGTACTAGTTTACATTCCCACCAACAAGGCTCCTTTTTCCTTTGCAGCCTCCCCAGAATTTATTATTATGGTTTGACTGCTAGACGTTAACTACTATTTCTGGAGTAAGAGGCAATCTCACTGCTGTTTTAATTTGCATTTCTTTGGTGGTCAGAGATGTTGAGCATTTGTTTCAAGTATTTATTGGCTGTTGGTATTGCTTCTTAGAAGTGTCTTTTTGTTTGGTTCTTTTTTGTGGAGAGGGGGGAATTTTTTGTATTCTTTGTATATGCTAGATAATAGTTCTCTGAGTGAGGAATAGACGGCATAATTTTTTTTCCATTCTGGAGGTTGTCTCTTCACTCTTAAACCTCACATTTTAGAAAGTACATGTTCAAATTGTAAAAAATGTGGGGACATTTTATTAAAATCTTAGAACCACAATGTCCTGTTTATCAATTTTACTCTAAAAAGCATAGAGAAAGCATTTTGAGTTTATTGTCACTAAATGTTTATTAATATTTAACATAATTTTGAAAAGTATATAGATGATAAAAAGCAAGAAACAAGCTTAAAAGGACATGAATTTGTCAATAAGATCCCTTCCTTGAGACAACTACTGCTAATGGATTTTTAGGTGTCTTTCATGAAATTTTCTATGCGCAGATGTGTGCACAGCTTAAAATTAAATGAGCACATGAAATGTGAAATTCCACATCCTGCTTTTTTATTCCCTATCACTATATTTTGGAGACACTTCCAAATCTATCTGCGCTAAAATAAGTATTTATTAATAGTCTTGCACAGGGTGGTGTATGAATAGTGCTTGTCTTAAATACACTGTTAGAGGGTAAACTGGGGGGCTAACAATTTCACATCCACCTCCCAGGCTGAAACATAGGAAGACATAGCTGACAGTAGGTGCCATAGAAATGACGCGTTTAAGAGACATGACAGTTTCTTCTGGTGTATCTGCAGTTTCAAAACCTTGGTTGAATTTTTAAATTCTCAGTTAAACTAGTTCTTCCCTGTTTTTCTTTCTTTATGTTGTTGTTTTGAGTTTGACCCTGAGCTCTGAGATACACGCAGACCGGAGGTAAACATTACTTTAATGTGGCAGTACCATCTCATGCTGGCCAAGGTGTCCAGGGTGGTATATATTGGCTTTTCGGTTGTGGGTTGACTTGTATTCTGTGTTTTTCAGTTATCCTGAAGTTGATTATAGTCTTGCTTGTGTTTTTCTGTTCTAGATCCCTGTCGATCAGTTTAAGCCGTCAGATGTAGAGATACAGGCCTGCTTCCGGCACGAGAACATTGCTGAGCTGTACGGGGCCGTCCTGTGGGGGGACACTGTCCACCTCTTCATGGAGGCGGGAGAGGGAGGCTCTGTCCTGGAAAAGCTGGAGAGCTGTGGACCCATGAGAGAGTTTGAAATTATTTGGGTGACCAAGCATGTTCTGAAAGGACTTGACTTTCTACACTCTAAAAAAGTGATCCACCATGATATCAAACGTGAGTAGCCTGGGTGTGTGCCATTTTGGCTTACAGAACTGTGGTAGACAGGAGGCAAGTGGGTTCCTCCCTTCAAACTGGACAGCCTCTGCAGAAGGGCGAGTCCCTGAGATCCCTGGTCACCTGATCCCGGTGCTCTTGAGACAGGCGGGTGGGTTCCTCCCTTCAAACTGCACAGCCTCTGCAGAAGGGCGAGTCCCTGAGAGCCCTGGTCACCTGATTCCAGTGCTCTTGAGACAGGCCTCGGGATCAAGTCACTGGATGATTACTCAAAAACTGTTGCCAATATTATAGTCACATTTCTGTTAGCTAAACCAACTGTGCTCTGGTCGACAGGGAGTTTAAAGTAGAACCTTACAGCTCGAGATAGAGCTTAGTGGTAGAGTGCCTGCCCAGCATGCATAAGGCTCTGGGTTTCAGCCCCAGTGCCCATCCCTAGAACAAATAAATAACAAAAGTAAGAAAAAAGTAATTTATTTATTATTTACATTATATTCACATAGCACACAATTAGGCATTTTTTTTGTGTGGTACCAGTGATCGAACTCACGGCCTTGGGCTTGCAGGCAGGTGCTTACACCGCTGAGCTAAGCTCCTGGCCCAACAGTCATACACTTTTAAGGAGCAAGTGTCTTTTTAATTTTGAAAACCAAGTTGACCATAATCTGTTGGAGACTGTTTTTTAGAATTAAGATAGGGTAAAGAAGTGGGAAAGTTAGACCCACTCTATGTCCTTTGTACCTGTTGTTACGTGGGTGAAAGAACAGGTTTTCCTAGGGAAACTGGAAATTTCACTCTGTGTTTTAGAAAAATGTCTTGATAACAGTATGCTCATACCTTAGAATTTATAAATCAAACTCCTGGAGATTAATAATGCCCACGGTCATTTATGCCTCTGTTAGCTGGCTCTGGACAGGTTAGAAGTGGTTTTCACCACCATCCGCATCCCCGTCCTGTTCCTCTGAGTGTGGTGCATTTACATTGCACTCTGACTCGGAATTCCTCACTTTCAATAATGTTTCCATCTTGGATGTGGCCTTATAAACAGCTTTTGCTGAGAATTTCTGTCCTTACAGCCAGCAACATTGTCTTCATGTCCACAAAAGCTGTTTTGGTGGATTTTGGGCTCAGTGTTCAAATGACTGAAGATACCTATTTACCTAAAGACCTCCGAGGAACAGAGGTAACTATACATCTGACAGTTACTGGTACTTTGTTAAGAGTTAAAGAGTACTAGAGTACTGTGAAAAAGAATCACAGAGAAAGAGATAAAAACCGTTATGCCGGGTCACTATTATCACTAGAATAAATTTAATGAGCACTTGCTGTATATGAGATGTGAAGTTTAGCATTTTAATTTGTATATCTGTTCTCCTGTTATTTATATGATAATATATCAAGTATATCATGATGTGTGTCTGTTTATATACATGTATCTATTTGTATTTGATAGATACAGAGAAACAATCTAATGCCAAAATACATTAACATCTCACATCCCCAGTATGAAAATCCAGATTAGGGTTACTCAGCTGGTGTCTTGGTTACTTTTTTCTTGTTGCTGGGACAAAACACCCAGCACTCAGAATTTAGCTCACTGTTTGTGGAGGTTTCAGTCCACAATCAGCTGGCTCCGAGGCAGATTCCCAAGGCACCGGGGCAATACTCAAGGCAGCAGCCAGCAAAAGCAGTCAGAGCAGAAAGGAGCAAAACAAGCCTCTTCTCCTGCCTTGTATTGTACACAGGCTAGCCCCACTTCAGGGGGGCCACCCTCCTGGGCCACTTCAGAGTGGGGGGTGGGTGTAGCATTCACAAAATCTCCTTGACCTCCTTTTGCACAGGACCAAAATATTTACAAAGTAAGAACCGTGGCTCTCTGTTGAGTCTCTCAGTTAAACTTCTAAACTTCTCAAGGTGCCGCAATATATTTACCATAGCAGCTGGTACTGTAAAATCCAACAATATTCCAAAATCTGAAAAGCTTCTAATTCTGTAATGCCTCTGGTCACCACACATTTCCTATGAGGCAGGCCCATAGCCACAATTCAGCTGTACAAACAATGTAGAATTACAGTTAACTTTATAATAATAAATGCAACACTTTAAGCAAGTTACATTAGTTAATCTCCACAATGACTCTGTTACTGGTGGATACAAGCACTGTAGCAGGTAACGTTATCCCCATTTTACAGTAAGGAAATAATCTCAGCGAGATTACCGAACAGTGCTGAGTACAGAAGTTACTCAGAAGCTGACAGATCCCAGACTTGATCTCCGTGGTTTCCAAGTCTAAGCCTAAAGTCTAAGGGTTGTGTAACTTTTAAATATAGCTAACACATTGTTTCAGTACACGAATACATTAGGTAAGCAAGATAAACATGGCTTCTCCGGTGTGTGTCACTTCTTCATGATGAAAACATTTGATACCTTTGGGCTTTGTGAGATGGATGGTTCCCAGTCACTGTCTGTAATCACCATCCTGGGCCGCAGCACAGCAGAGCTTCTTACTCTATGTGGCTGCCCCTCCGTGCCCATGATCCACTTTCCCCGTTCCTCTCTTCCTCTCCTTTAAATGTACCTGAGTTGTTCAGGGATCAACAGTAGGCTGTATGGGCAAGCAGCAGGTGTAGCCAGGAAGGTAGCCTGGCCCTCTCCCCTGGCCTGAGACCCTGCAGGCCCCACCCTCTCTCCCGTGGAAGCGCCATCCAAGGTGGGGAGAGGGTCCCATGCTGCTGTGCCTTGAGGTCAGTCTTGGTGTCCAGCCCCGTGGCAGCGCTTAGTGTAGTTAGCAGATGTGCTCCGTACAACCCAAGTGCAGGGTTTCCTTTTGAAGCAAGATTCTGTCCTTTTTCGTAAACCTTGCAGCACAAAGGCTGCTGGGTAGCAGGATCCACTCTTGCTTTGCTGATACTCTTGATGTCTTCTTGCAGCTTAACTTGAGAGAGGATTGTTTTTTTTAGCCAGGGTCTCACTATGTGGCCCAGGCTGGCCTCAAACTCGTGATAATCCTCCTGCCTCAGCCTCCTGAGTGCTAGTATTACAGGTGTGCACCACCACACCTGGCAGGGAGAAGGAATTCTTGATCACTTCTTTAAGCAAAATAAAGATTCAAAGAGAAAACTGCCAGCTTTTTTTTTTTTAAATAAAGTTTAGTTCCCAGATCTTAAGAATACTTTGCCAAAGCACATCTAAGGACGTAATACTTATGACTTGTTTTCTTTGGAAAATGTCTGAACTATTTTGGCAGGGGTCAAGGGTTCCACTATATGACATTCCGCCCTTCCTGGAGCTAGGTCAAGATGCAGCTGTAGGGTATGAGAGCTGGAAAATACCTTTCGCTTCCTGGCAGTGTGGTGGAATTGCACATTTTGCAATGCTGGAGAAAGACTTGGCTTTTCTGGGATTCTCCTAGGGGGCTTGGGTGAGAAATGCCGACACATTTCACCCCCGAGGAGTATTTATTTAGATCCTGTTCCTTCAATTAGTGCAGATTGTTTTGCAGCTCTGGTGGTTGTAAGTGACCTTTCAGTAAGCCCACATTCACTGTGTGTGCAGAGTTCACCAATCAGTTCATTAAGAACAAGAAGTCTGGTTGTGATTGTGAAGTCCCGGGTGAAGCCTTAGAACAAAAGAGCAAACAAGATGTATTTATTCCGTGAACCATGCAGATCTGCCTCCTGTTAGGACAGGAGCGCGTGCCTTACAATTTCTGATACCCACCCCCATAGCTCACACAGATACAAAGCCTGGTCACCTGTGTGGCCTCTCTCTGCCTCTCTCTCTTCTCTCAGCTTTTACATTCAGTGTGTTATATTTAACCTTGTAATCTGGTATATTATTTTTGTTTTAGATGGCACAAAGAAGAAATAGTGAATGTTAGAAATTCAAATTAGAATTACTTTGATTCTGTGATCTCTTTTAAGAGAAGTTGTTACTTCTGAGCCTGGTCTTACCTTCCGTGTGGCAGTCACATGCACAGGCATAGGTGTACACAGGCAGTCTGTCCCCTTTCTGAAAAGCCCTTGACCTCCACCTAGTTCCCAGGTTCCAGTGCCCACATTCCTGGGTGCAAGGGTGCCATCGTCTGCCGTCCCTGCATGCAGCCTGGTGTGTAGTTGTGCAGTCTTTATGCTTGTGCTGACAGTCTATGGCTACTTGACTGGACTTCTGCTCTCTGTGTGGGAGCAGCGTCATCTGCTGACAGTGATCCCCACTCTGTGCTGTTCTTTTCCTCTTTTCTTTTTACACGATTGTGTTAGGAACACTAGCATGAGATCTTCCCCCTCATCCAGTGTTAAGTGTGCGGCCACTCACTGCTGGGTACATTGTCAGACTTCTAGTTTTTAACTTTGTGAATATATTTATTAATAGTCCTCCTAGAGTCCCTGCTTGGCTGCAGAGAAAGTTTGTGAGCACGGAGGTCAGCTTAGCTTGTTAGCTGACAGTGAAAGGAAGCCAGCCTGGAAGTGGGTTGCAGGAAGTTGCTGAGCAGGATTAGGATGGGGAAACTGGGCAATTTCCCCAGTTTTTGTAATCTGCTTCTCTGCTCACTTACTTAAAAACGTATTCTGGGCACACTGACTATATTCAAATAACAGCATTACAGAATTTTAAACTTAAAATACAGATTGAATATCTCTTTTCTTAAATGCTGAATATCTTCTGTGTTTCAGACCTCTGAATTCCTTCTGATTGTGCAGTATTTGCGTAGACATAATGAGATAGCTCTGAGAGGGGATTCAAATCTGAACATGAAATGTGGGTTTTATGTGCACATTGTGCACTTAGCTTTAGGTAATTTTTTTCAGTATTTTAAAAATATGCTTAGTTTTTTTGTTTTGCTGTTTGTTTTGTTCTTTGAGACAGAGTCTGCCTCACACTCTTGGGCTCTAATGAGCATCCTGCCCTAGTCTCCCACGCACTGAGGTGATAGATGTGTCACCATGCCCTGTGCCTGTGTTTGGACTGTGACCTGTCATGTGAGGGTCAGATGTGGAATTTTCCACTCTGATATCTAGTCAGGGCTCAAGAGGCTTCAGATTTTGGAGATTTTTGGATTTGAGGTTTTCAGATTAGGAATGTTCCACTTGCATCGATAATTGGGATATTAATTATTATGTGTCTGTCCCCACCATGCAGGTTATTGGTCACTGTGTTTATTGTTCCTCTTTCCTTCTTGAATTTATAATAAGAACTTAGGGAAATTATTTCCTGTCTTTTCTTTTTTTTTTTTTGGTATCGGAGATCAAACTCAGGACTTCATGCTTGCCAGGCAAGCGCTTGTGCCACTGAGTTAAATCCCTGGCCGGCCGAGAAACTATTTCTAAAACTCTCCCTACTTCCTCAGCATCAACCAGTGAAACCAAGCAGTGTGCTCTTAACCACCGGGGCAGGCATTTAAATTTACTTACTGGGCTCTGAGCTCGGGAGACGTAAGAGGCTGTTTGCAGAAGTGCAGAAGTGGAGATGACTTTGGCCGCGTTGCTCTTTGCTTTTTAAGTTCTTCCCTTTTGAGCAATTCATGCCAGTATCCCATAGTTCCTGCCACTTTTTATTCCCATGGATAACTAGACGTTTGCAGTTAAATGACAGACAGGGAGGAGGTGCAGGAGCAGTGTCACTTACATGTGAGAGGAATTGCTGTTTTAGGGAAGTGAACTAGTACCTAGCCAGTGTCAGCAGAACTGGTTGGTGGGAGTCTGGGCCAGTTCTCAGTTCCAGGTCCTTTGCGTGGGGTCGGTTACTGCTCAGCCTGTGAGAAGATGCCATCTTGGTCGGAGACAGGGACGCTGCCGTCCAAGGCTTCTAGCTACCCAGAGTCTTCAGTGTTCTCCTCGGTTTGAGGGTGCACACCCATGACAGTTTTTTTCCTAAGGGCTGAAGTGTACAGTAAATAAAATAAAAGGAGAAGGAGCCAAATTTGCAAGCTGATTGGGGAAATGGAAGTGCACACAAATGGGGGCCTCAGGCTGATGTTTCCTGTGTCTTTCCCAGATTTACATGAGCCCAGAGGTGATCCTGTGCCGGGGCCACTCCACCAAAGCAGACATCTACAGCCTGGGGGCCACACTCATCCACATGCAGACGGGTACCCCGCCCTGGGTGAAGCGCTACCCGCGCTCAGCCTACCCCTCCTACCTCTACATAGTAAGTGGGGCTTGCTGGGCAGGTGCTGCCTGCTGGAAGGGAGGGGCTGCTGTGCTCCTGTGACACCCCCCCCAACATGGGGTGAAGGTGACAGTGACCCTGAGAGAAGCTGCAGGTTCTTCCCATGTGGAAGGAAGCTGGGCCATACTGACCGAGGAAACAGGGCCATGTCCGTGGGGGCTTGCTGAAAAATATGCCTTGTACACACACTGTGCTGTGTATATAATAAAACACCATTTCCTGGCATCAGAATGCTGTAGAGCTGACAGCCATGAAAGTTGCATATGTTCTTTGAATACTTTAAAGAAAGACAGCACTTCTCTCCAGGTCAGCTTGGCTTGTAGTGTGATACCCCGCTCCCATTTCACTGGTGAAGGAGTTGGGAACATATACCTGTTACTGCAGTGACTTTAGGGCCACCTGCAGGTGGGAAGTTGTCACTGTTGATGTCAGAACTAGCAGCTTTTTGCAGTATAGAACCAAAAGGTGGGTTTAGCATGCTGCCCCTACTGGGAGCCCAAGGGATAATTGCTGACACTGTGATGGCCTGGACTTGGTGCAGCTCCCATGGCGGGAGGTGGCCTGGAGCACTCTTCCCGCAGAGGGCTCAGGTCCAGACCATGGTGCCACAAGGGCTGGTTTGTTGGCAGATCCACAAGCAGGCCCCTCCGCTGGAAGACATTGCCGGCGACTGCAGCCCTAGCATGAGGGACCTGATAGAAGCAGCCTTGGAGCGGAACCCAAAGCACCGCCCACAAGCCGCAGACTTGCTCAAACACGAAGCCCTGAACCCTCCCAGGGAGGACCAGCCACGCTGCCAGAGTCTGGACTCAGCCCTGTTCGAGCGGAAGAGGCTGCTGAGTAGGAAGGAGCTGGAGCTTCCAGAGAACATCACAGGTAAGAAGACGCCCTGCTGTGGATGGTGCTCTTGCCTGCCAGTCTTCTGTCCTCAGACCTTTGGGGTGCTCCAGGAAAGTGCAGGGGAGGAGGGGAAATAGCACTGAGAGTGATGGTGCACAGTTGTAGCCCTAATGCTCAGAGGAGGCCAAGGAAGAAAATCACCTGAGTGCAGGAGCTCTAGGCCAGTCTAGGCAGCATAGCAACAGTGTTTCCCCAAAACAAACAAACAAAAACAAAACAGAACAAGTGCCCTTATTTTACCACTTCATTGTGGGGGGTTTTCAGCCCAAGTGCAGATAATACTATAGTCATGAGAAATTGCCTCTGACTCATTTTATGCAACAGAGAATATTGTTTATCTTTAAAAACAAATCAAGCAGGCAGCTTTGTTGGCAGTGAAGTGGGGTTTTGTTTAAGTCAGTTAAGGTGAGTCCCAGGCATTCATGGGAAACCTCCCGGCCCTGCTCAGTGTGTGCAAAACATGGAGTGTGATGTCAGTTTGCATTTTTATGTCCCTCTGGTTGAAATCTTTGCCAGCTTGGAATCGTCCCTGTGTAGGAAAGTCCACTTTCATTCCATGAGCACTGAATATACGTGTTTTTATTCATTCACAAACCCCGACGTCAAGCCTGGAATGCCTCTTTGCATTTTTCTGATTCTTGCCTGACTTTTCCATGTGTAAGAAAGCCATCCAGGCTGTTGGCATATATGCCAGCGTGTCTACCTAATTTCTTGTCATCACTGACTCCCTTTGGAATTCTGTGGTCTATGTCATGTTCCATAGGCGAGCCTGCAGTGTGTCCAGAGGCCAATCTATAATAAAAGCAGAGCTTACACGACCCGGGAATGTGTACATATTATTCGACAGGGTCCCTTGTCGTTTATTTTATTTCTCCTGTGTTTTCCTTTACAGATTCTTCATGCACAGGAAGCACTGAGGAGTCTGAGGTGCTCAGGAGACAGCGTTCTCTCTACATCGACCTGGGTGCCCTCGCGGGCTACTTCAATCTCGTGCGGGGCCCCCCAACACTGGAGTATGGCTGAGGGATTGTGCTGCTTGCTCTAAGCGAGGACAGTGCTGACCTCCTGACAGCTGGCTCTCCAGGCTCTCCAGGCTCTCCACAGTGGCTCTGGATGTGAATTATATGCTCCATCTGGACACTGCGGCTCCCATGACAAATGACTGGGATTGCCAGCACCTCTGTGTGTTTGTTTTGTGAAGCTATTCTGGTCTCCGCCAACTCTCAAGGTTCTCCTTTCCCAGGTGGCAGGACTCAGCACTCTGCCGACTGACTCCATTCACTGTGCACTTTGAAATTTTAAGACTCACTATCACAAATATGTTCCTCTCAGAATCCTGCTCTTGGTTCTTATTTATGAGATCTCTATTTAACCCGGAATGCTGTTTTGTATATATTAGTGTATGTTCTGTGACAACTCTGAGCCTCTGTCAGTAGATCCTGGTATAAGTTGAATTCATTACATTTTGGGTGAATAGAACAACTTGAATATTGTAGCAGAAACTTAACTAGTGTCTTAAAAATGGCTGGTTAATTAGGAGCCATCGGACAGCAGGCCACTAGTGGTGATTTTCGTTATGTTCCTAAGGAAACACTTTGTACTGTACGTGCTATGCCTAAGACATTTAAAACACTTGTGTTTTGAATGTGGATAAAACTGTGTAAACCACATAATTTCTGTACATCCCAAAGGATGAGAAATGTGACCTTAAAGAAGATGGGAACTTTTGTAAATTTTTGGTGATGCTACTTTTGTAATTCTTATAACTATTTTCCTTGAAGCATTTGTGTATTAAGATAACATACTGTGTATGTTTTATATCAAATGCTTTCAATGAGTCTTTCTTTCAGAATACATAGATTTTTTAAAACATTGTAAAGTATGTAAATATTTCTACCTAAAGTATGTTTTTACATTCTGTAAATGACATGTAACACTTTTGTGCCATATGACTGGTCAGTCACTAAATAAACCAATACTTTGTCTTAATTGTAATGGTTGTGGTTCTCAAGTGGGACAGGCAATGGACCATGGGGTTAGGATAAATGTTCGAGGGGAAAACACTTCTCAGGAGGGCAGAATATACCCAGCATCTTTGCACAGTGTACTTTCTGACTGCTGCTGTGTAAAATCAGAGTTGTCAGCTGGCATGTGTTGTAGCCCCTCGTGCACTGCGGCGGAAAATAACCGTGGCCCATGCTTTCGACTAAGTGGGATTCTGTTTTGAATCTTGTTACACCCATTTGTGTTACTTCTGGGTGCTTGCTTGCATGATCTGTACGCCTGCTGTTTGGCAAGTTAATAATAACTGGTCTTTGGATAAGGTGGATTTAAGTGACATACACTGAATTCCCACCGAATGGGAGTCTGACCTTTCATGGACTGAATGAGGAAGATTCAGCACTTTTGCACATGCTACCTAAGACATGCCATTGCTTATTAGCCAGCTTTGTCCCTGACGTATACCGGAGATAGTTTTTAAGGAAACATTTATTTTGGCTCATGGGTTCAGAAATTTTATCCCGCAGTCACTTGTGGGAAAGAGAGAGAGGGAAAGAGGAAAGAGGAATCCTCTCCTTCAAGGCCATGCCCCAGTGACCTAACTTCCTGCCTTTCGGCCCCACCTCAAGGTTCTGCTACTTCCCAATAGTGCTAAGAGCTGGGGACCACAGTTTCAGCACATGAGGCTTTGGGGAGCGATACAAGGTGGAAGCCACAGTATCTTGTAGCCTCATGGCATGTTCATGCAAGAGGCACTCTTACCTCTTCTTTATTTTTCAGAGAAATTGAAGGCTGGTATGCTCAAACTCACAAAGTAATGGAGTCTTCTTCATACAGTGCACACAGAAGCACTGATAAGTGAGCGGTCATCTCGTGCCCAGGAAGCTCGGGGGCCTTCTGGGAACCCATTCCTAGGGCAGAGGTGGGTCATTGTGAATCTGATGAAGCTGCAGCCTCAGGAATTCTGTCTGCCTTGGGCCTAATTTGATATCACCCTAGGTGAGGCCCAGCGAGACTTGGGTCGAGGTCTACACTTTGATAATTTTTATGAAAAGCTAATCTAGCTAATGGGAGCACAGGTCTGTGGCACTGGTATCTGAGGAAGTGGCCGTGAGAGAGTTTTACAAGCGAAGTTCACGGCTGAGACATGTGCACCCAGGGCTCGCAGAGCTGTTTACTAGTGAGGCCAGGGGTTGCAGCCTGAAGATGGGCACCAGCAGAGCTCAGAGAGAAAAGCAAGGATGTCCTGAATGGGTGCTGAGGGAATCCGGCACTCACCTTCCTGACAGCACAGCTGGTGCATGTCAGACATGAGTGTGGTTAGGACAGAAAGCAGCTTCTGCTCGTTGTCGTGTTCCAGCTCGAGCCTGAGAGTTCACAGAATCCAAGCCCTTGCCAGGTAGAGGTGTCGCGGAACACGCTTGCTGAAGGTCATACAGCCGACCTGGAGCCCATCTTCTGATCTTCCCTGCCCCCACCCCTTCCTTGGGTTGGTCTTAATATCTGTAAAATAGCAACAAAGAGATGAAGACGGGCTGCCAGACATCTGCTGGACCAAATGGGGAGCTGCTTGGCATCGAGGAGATGTGCCTCTGGGGACCTGCCGGTGCAGCTGTCCCCCTTAAGTGTAATTCCCTCATAGGCCTGTGTAGAACCCTGCTGCACCTCATCAGGACAGCCAGAAAACTTGGCCTCTTATTGACAGCTCATTTCCTGGGTGTAACTCAATATGAAAGCCCATGCTTTCCTGGAGGGCCAGGGGGATTTTTGTTTTAAATTGGCTCTGTGACAGGAAGTAAGGTTGCCGCATGCCAAGTCCCAGGGACAGCCAACTGCAGTGGGGTCTGTGGAAGGGCAGGCCTGCCATTGGACAAAATCTGCTTTACTTTGAAACAGGGTTTCGCTAAGTTGTTCTACCCAGGTTGGGTCCCAGTGTCCTAGAGCGCTGGGGTGAAGGCATGCCCCGCCAGGCCTGGAGAACTGAGAACTGAAACCTCATAAGGACTGCTGGGACCAAGAATGTGCTGACATCGCATGGGGCACCAGCAGGAGATCTCGGCCACCTCCTACATGCAGTTTTGGAAGTGTTAGAAGGTTATTTGTTTTAATTTACACCCCAATCTGTTTCCAAAAAGACTTTGTTGCCAACCATTCACTTGCCATCTTGCCTTCCTCCTGACACCTCACTTTGTTAAATACCAATTTAATCTCAATGCCTGAGAAAATAATTTCAATAACAATTCTTGGGTGCCAGCATCAAAGTTTGCAAAGTTTGCTGCAGGTCAGAGAGGGAACGGTGTGAGCAATACCCATCAAGCCTTTGCACTGATTCGTGTGCACACTCACCAGGATTTCTGCTTGGCTCTCTCTGAGAAGAAAGTGACAAAGGAGGAATGAAGTTTCTATTCCGCTGGCCTAAGGTCCCCACCCCTAGGAGCTCCTTCCACTGGGGACCCTCCCTCTTCTAACTTTCTGCTCATGTTCCTGCGTTAACCTGCTGTAGGAAGCTGTCTTGGCTGACGACCTCCCAGAGCCACCCACTCAAGGACAGAGTGTGCTTCATCTGCTCTCAGTTCTAAGACCTTAACTGAGGTGGAGACAGTTGTTTCAGAACTAGAGGTGCTAACAGCAGGAGAGGAAGAGCTGACCAATGAGATTCTGTTAATTCTGGGGACTGTAAGAGAAAAGCCACCTGGAATCAGTAATCAATGAGCTAGCAGTGAAGACCAGAGCATCCTCCCATTACAGCCCACAGGGAGGCATCCCAAGCTGGCCTCGAAATACCACCATCATAGAGGACACAGTAAGATTCAAAAGAATATGGAATTTGCTCTACAAATTGAGGTGTTACAATTTTCCTTAACTCATTAATCCTTAGTGGTTCATGAGGGTGAATAGGCTTCATCTCCATCTTCACACGTGAGTGTAGAGAACCTCACAGAGCATTTTACAACATGTCTCCATAGTGGTTCATTTATAAATTCAGGTATGCTTGACTCTTCAAGCCCAATTCACATTCTTCCAAGGCTTCATTGGAGATGAAAAGGAAGATTTTCAACACAGAGAGGGTTAATTAGCAATAGTGAAGACCTGGAGTTAGGATGGACTTCTGGTCAGTCTTGCACACACACACACACACACACACACACACACACATGCACATGCACACACATGCACATGCACACACACGCACATGCACACACACGCACATGCACACGCACACACATGCACACGCACACACATGCACACACATGCAATGCACACACACACGCACATGCACACGCACACACACATGCACATGAACACATACCAGTCTCTTCTTTCTGTAGAACTATTTTCTTTCTTTCTTTCTTCCTTTCTTTTTTTCTTTCCTTCCTTCCTTTTTTTGATATTTTGAGTCAGGCTCTCACCATGTAGTTTAGGCTGGCCCCGAACACAGTATGTAACCCATGGTGACCTCAACCTCACAGTAATCCTCCTGCCTCAGCCTCCTAAGTGCTGGGCTACAGACATGTGCTACCACACCCAGCCATCTGTGGAGCTATTTTTTTTTTTTTTAATCAGAAATTTAGGTCTTGCAGAAGTTTTGCTCTCAATAGGACAGAGATCTGAGAGGTAACTCAGGGCCCAGAGGACGCCTGGGATCCCTTCCAACTTCTCTATGTGGACTTATCTGTGAGTCTGCAGGACCAGTGAGTGAGAAACTACCATTTTCATTTTGAGTCACCTACAAAATAAAGAGAAAAAAAACAGGGAAAGTCATTCAGATTGTTTCACTGAAGTCCCAAGCACCTTCTGGTCTGGCAGCAGGTAAAGGAGAACAGGAAGGCTTGGCCAGGGCCTCCCTAGTTGCTGCTGTCCTCCCCACCCCCCACTTCACTCCCCTGGGGGTGTTTCCCAGCAGCAAGTGCTGCTAACCGGCAGACAGTCTGAGCGCACACAAACACCCAATTCTACAGCACTCTCTCTGTGACCAACAGCCAAGCAGCTCTGGAGCCTAACTCATACCACTTCTGTAACACGGTTTCCTGATGGACTATATCCTGAAGATTACAGAAGGAAGTATTTTATTCAGAGTGATCCCTTAGCGTAACTCCTACTCTGCGGGCAAAGCTGCTTCCTAGCCATTTCTGCTGCAAGGTCAGAGGCTCTAATCTGGCTTTCCTTGTAGGATTCCTTCCTCTTCTGGAAACTGAGGATTAGAGCAAGGTACCCTTCAGGTCACACTCAGCGATTGATTCACTTTGTAGAAAAGAAAATTGAACCACAGCCAATTTGCCCACTTGCTGAAGGTCTACATCTATCTGTGCACAGAGCAGGGGTGGGAACCGCGCCCTTGACTTCTCTAACATCAAGATTTTGCTAACAGACAATACTGTTGATTGTTGCTTACTGTTCTCTTTTTAGTGTGTATGCTCGGGAAATCCCAGAGCAGAAGCAAGGCAGAAATTTGTACTTCTGTTAGCTTTTGGGGTGAGGTATTGATAGGAACTATCTGACCAAATTTCCCTTTTACTGGTAGCAGGAGGCTGGATCCTGTCCAAGACATCATGAGGTGCAGAGCAGGTGCATAAGAATAGGCTTAGGATAAAGGACAGAGGGGAAGGAAAGATTCTACAGCTGGAGGCAAATTCAGAGTGACCTCAAAGGAAAACTAATGATGTTTGGTGTAAGAAAATAAAGTCATGGTTTCCCATTGAAATTAACAATGACAAAGAATATTGCTACACCAGCCTAAGGGTACTGGGATGCACATGTGGAAAGATTCAGTCCTAAAAACTGAATCTAAGCCAAATCGTAGCAGTGTACTCTCTTTAGAATGGATTCCCAGTAAATTATGAATTCTACAAAATGATGCCAATTGTAAAAGCAAAACTCTTCCAAACTAATCTTGACCTTAAAGTTGTGCTGTGAGGGCTGCTTTCTTCGTCATTTGCTTGGTGACTCAGGCTTAGAAAGGGAAGGCCAGAGTGAGCTGGACCTGCCTGCTGGAAGCCAGAGCCGAGGCTGGGCAGAGGAGAGCTGTACTGGGGATTCACCGAGGCTGCTCAGTTAGAAGTGGTCAGTGTGTGGCTTGAACCACTGTCTTAGGGTTTTATTCTGCCAAGTAGGAAACAACTTTGGAAGGAATGGGTTGTTTACTGAATGGCCTCATTTGTGGGAACCATTTTTATATATGTCACCAAAGTAGGGAACAGAGACTGTGGGAGGTAGGGTATGCGATGTGAGGGTACACGATGGTACCAGGGAGACCTTAGATTTGAACCCAGCTTCCAAAACTCATACCTTTTCTGCTAAATTCTATTTGCTTCATAATATCACAGGGAAAAGAAGAAAGAAATTTCCTACCAAAGCTTTGAAAAATGGTAATCCAAATGCCCTTACAATGACATTATTCTAATTTGTAGAAATGAAGTTACTGAATTATCATTGTATCTGTGAATGGAATATGCTCTCATCTCTCTACAAACAGAAGTGGAGAATGTGGTCTACGCTTCTAAGGGGTTAACCATTTGGTTGGGAAGTAAGATCAGGACTATGAAAACAGTATCCTTGTACTCTGGGAGGCTGAGGCCGAAGACCACAAGTTTGACCCCAGCCTGGGGACTTAATGACTGAGCCAGACCTGAGACCAAGTGTAAAGGACCTGGGTTCAATTTCTTTTTTTGTCTTTTTCCTTTTTATCGGTACCGGGGCTCGAACTCATGACTGCCTGCTTGCAAGGCAGACGCTTATGCCACTGAGCTAAATCCCCAGCCCCCATGGGTTCAATTTCTAGTATTGCAAATACATAAATAAATACAAGCATGTCAGGTGGTGTAATGAAGGGTACATGTGTGTGGCTCAGACTACTGCAGGAGAAGATACAGAATAGAAAGCTGAAGAAATGAGGTCTGTCATAAGTCATGGAATCGGAAGGGGCTGCATTCTTAGCATCTTTTCTGTGAGGCAGGGCTGAGCTTCCCAGAGAACACAGCACGAGGCAAATCTTAAGTGAAAATATTTTGGGAGACTTTCAGATCCAGGACAGTGAGAGTGAGGGAAGAGGGAAGTCGGCAGGGAAGAGGAGGGAAGCGAGCAAGAGGACATGGATTACTGAACTGGCCGGAGCTTTGGGAAAAGTCACTGTAGTTGCTTAGTCATGTGGGCTGTCTTGGGAGAGGCCACACAGAACACTGTGTCCCAAACACACTATTAAGGGGAGAAGGTGGAGGCATGTGTTTTCTGCCCTCCCTTGGCTTTCTCTCAGTGGTCTACAGTTTCCCATGAGGTTAGCTCTGCTGTCCTTCTGGACGGTAAATGCAGACACTCTGGGGCAGCTGCTGGGATAGGCAGCTTCCAGGACTACTGTCTAGCACTCATTTAAATGTGTAAGTTTGGGGAGGACCAGAGCCTGCTGGACGCACTCAGCTTGGGCACAGAGTGGCTGGGGCTCCCACTGGCTGCAGTGGGGGCCATGGTAGAGCTGACACACTCCTTGTTGGAGGCTGAGACTATCTGAGCCTACCGAAGATGAAGATGTGGTGCCCCCACGGGGCTCCATGAGCAGGGGACCAGGGACAGCAAGAGTAAAGTAAAGCTGAGGAGCTGTGCCAACTGCATCAGACACAGAGCTTCAAGAGAAAGATATCACACTCAGATCAGAGCAATTTCAGGAAGAGGCACAGGGACGCTGTCGTCTAGCACCAAAGCCCGGCTCCAGGTCCTACCTACTGCCTGTAATATCTAAAACACTAAATGAGATACGAAATAACTTGCTCAGTGTTGTTGTACTGAGCGTGATTTTTGCAGGGTGATGGAGTCTGAATCTGGCATTTTCCCTCAGAGGATCAAGTATGAAAGACTCAGTTCCTAGGCAGTGGTGTTTAACCTTTAGGAGGCGGGGCTACTGCAAGGAAGTTAGGTCGTTGGGGGCGTGGCCTCCAAGGGGGTACTGGGACCCAGGCCCTTCCGTCTTGTTTGTTTCTCAGCTGCCAGGTAGTAAATGGGTCTTCTCTCCCATGCGCACCGACCGTGATCTCCCGTGCTTCCTCAGGTGCAAACAACAGGGCCAAGTAACCTTGGAGTGAAGCCTCTGGAACCGCGAGGCACGGTAAGCCCTGCCTCCTTAAAAGCTGGTTATCTCAGGCAAGTATTTTTTTACAGCAGTGGAAATCCAGCATGAGGGCCACTCAGCTGTGGCTGGGCAGGAGGGAGGAAGCGTGGCCGTACATCTGGGAGCAGAGATGAGCAAGGCACGTGGTGGAATAAGGAAGGGGGTGGCCGTGGCCAGAAGAGCGTGAAGAATGGTAAGAAATACTGGTAAGTGGGTGGAGTATTACCTCGAATGGCCTGGAAATAAAGCAGGTCACTTTCCCTTGATGTGGCAGGAAAAAGCTTGCTATTCAGTTTTGAGGTGAAAGCAGCGTGAAGTAAGATTGTGCTTAAAAGAACAACAAATTCACCTTAGAACAAAGGGCGTCGGATTCTAGGTGCCATCCGGCAAGCTATGAAATAAATACGGATGTGGAATAGTGCAAGCCCGGAGTTTGATTGTGCTGGGTGATATGGACAAAAGATGTTTTACAGAGGAAAAAAATGGTAGGAGATGAATGGCTAGATGTGGGAGTGAAACAGAAAAATGAGTCAATGGAAAACATAAGCTTTAAGTCTTGATGATTGGACCCAAGAGGAGGAGAGGCCGCCTAGGACAGGTGGAGAGAGGTGATAATGGGCTTTGGTTATTGGGGTCCAGGAGATCCATTTTTTTTGTCTTTTTATCAGTACTGGGGATGGAACTGATGACCACACACTTGCAAGGCAGGCGCTTATGCCGCTGAGCTAAATCCCCAGCCCCAGGATCCACTATTTAATTATCTGCTCTCAGCTTGCTGTGTACATATAAGGTTAACCCCAGCAGGAGGACAGAGCATGCATTCTCCTCCATGTAGTTAGTAAGGGATGCCTAAGTAAGGGACCGCTCAAAGGCAGTGGTGAGTGTTGGGGTGTAGTTCTGTGCAGAGCAAGTGTTCAGCACGCCTGAGGCTCTGGGCTCCATCCCTGGCAACAACGACAAAGAAAGAAAGCCATCTAGCTTTGTAATTGGCTTTAAAATTTGGCAGAAATTATTTCTTAAGGTTCCTGAATATGAAACTTTGGAATCGAATCAGTCTTGCTAAGAAAAATTCAGAATATTGGCAATGGAGCAGGAACTCCTAAAAACTACACATAAAATCCACCAAGTGAAAATAGGTCAAGACAAAAACAAACTGAGCAATGTTTATAACATTATTTGTGCCTAATTATCATTTTAAGCAAACAAAACCTTTGTCTCTGTGACTGAGGGGCAGGTGCATCATGGACAAACAAAAGGGACCTTTTTGGTGCCAGCAGGAATAGCTTCAAATTACAACGCAGTATTGCAGAAGTTAAACATACCGATATTTTAGGAGATGTTTTATTTCATACACATTTCCAAAACATTCAAAATTAATCTATTTGTCTTCTGGGAGATTATATCGGGGTGACAATATTAATAGAGTGATGTATACTGGCCGTCTTTCTGATTGTGTTCCTGATATTTTGCAGTTATTAAATATTTGAAATGATCAGGTTTGCCCATACTGAAAAGGAGCAGGTTAAAGCTTTTTTCTTATCTATAGAAAGATTTTTTGCCCAATATCTGAAACATCCATTGGAACAATGGGGTACAGATAGGCTGAGCATAAACCCATAGTGTATTCAAATAAATAACAACGTCCTGAGGCTCATGTAGGGTCCAGCAAGAGCAAAGGAACTGATCCCTCGTCTCTTTAGGACTCTCTGTAAATTACTCTCCCCAGTTTCTCGGAGTTTGTGCTCTTTGATTGTTTCTTCATGTGTGATATTTTCGGGATGGTGGGAAAATTTTTATTCATCTTTTGTCATTGTGCTTCATCCATGAAAATGCTGAATAATGTAGGCAATAAATAGAAATCTTCCTCAGATAACTCAGAGCCTTCTTATAAAGCTGTGCGTATACCTCAGGGGCTGATTTTGGAAAGTTATTTCTGAGCTTCATAGTTGAGATCTTGCTATCTGCTATGTGCTATTTTTATTTTCTGAGTTGTAGCATTGTTCTTGGATGAAGCTTTAGAGGAGATTAATCAGATGCAAGATTCCTGCAAACAGCTGGGATAAGCCTTAAACAACTTACGGTAAGTACTTAACTTTGAAACTGTTCCTTGAAAACAGGTGCACAGAAGTCACAACAGCCTTCCATACTGCTGTCATGAAATATAAACTAGTGACATTCATGAATAAATAAATAAAATTGATCTTTAACCAGTCCTTTTACATTTTGACACATATTTTATTTTATTGTCAGTGTTTTTTTTTTTAAGTTTTAGTATGTTTGCTGTACATAATTGTACTGATCTTGGTGGATTAGTATATACATACATCTTGATCATTTTTAGACTTTCTTTCCTTTCCCCACCCCTTTCTTCCTGACTGAATGCTGAAGAATACAAGTGACAAAAGATGCTGGCCTTCCGATGCCAGAGGAAACTCAGAGATGAGTGCTCAGGCCCTCCTCATTCCCCCAACCCCTGGAGAGTCTTCTAAAGGTTTATATCCAGTAGTATCAATGTTTTCTCTAGTTCTGCTGTTGTTTTTCTTGATTTTTCAGGGAAAGAAAAAATTTAAAAGTTTTTATTAAGCAAAAAGATATCCATGATGAATTTTCAAAGGAAGATATTTAAAAGACTCAAATGGGAAGGAGGTTGCTGGACTCAATTTTCAAGAAACAAAAATGCAGGTAATAAAAATTCTGGAATGATGAGATGAGATTTAAGCAAATTTCTGCTACACTATATTGTTGTCCTATTTGTTACTGACTCGTGTAAGAAACTCTTGAATTAAAGTTACTATAAACTGTTCTTTGGCTAATTCTGAATGAAGATGGGCAGACCTGAGCATTTAGTCCAATGCATATTCAGAAACAAAGATTTTCACAAAAGCTAGAGCAGGAAAGCAGAAACTAATGATTTTCCTTTCTTTACTGCAAGAGAAACAGGTTTGTAGTTTTTCCTGTCCTGAAAATACATTAATGTAGCCGATGTCATGGCACATGCCTGTAATCTCAGCACTCAAGAGGCTGAGGCAGGGGGATTGTTGCAAGTTTGAGTCCAGCCTAGGCTACAAAGTGAGCTCAAGGCCAACCTGAACTGCATAGCGAGACCCTGTCTCAAAAAAAAAAAAAAAAGCAATTTAAGTTAGTAATTTATTTTTAACTTTTTCTACTGTACTGTTTTATTTTTGATTTTCTATACTGGCATGGATATATACTTAAAGTATAGTAAAATAATATTTTTATTGTCTGAGCTTCATTTCTGACCATAACTATTTGTCTGTTTCTCTTCATGACTATAACTGAAAATAACTTTTTCAGAAAGGAAGTATTTAAAAATGACCTGCTCTGGAGGTTAAGTATGTTAGATATGCCACTGCGACAATGTGCAAAGAGTTTTTTTATCCCTGGAAATGCATTGAGGAAACTGAGCAGCTTCTTAATTCTTGATCACGGTTTGAATCTAGGGCTGGGCCGGCTCCTCTGTAACTTTACCCAGATACCTAAGTTAGGGTGTGTCACAGAGCTCAGCATTCTAAAGGTTTACCCTATTTGTCTTGAATGAATGAAGGGTTGAGTGAATGAATGTATTTCTCTCTGGAAACCCCTATTTTGCATAAGGTATATGTAGATTCTCAAAAGGACTGAGAAAGTTTAAAAACATACTAAAAAAAGGAGTAAGAAGGAGATGGATTATTAGTGTAGTATTTCCAGTTAACTTACGAACTTTGGCATTTTCTTCTTCTTCTTTTTTTGTTTTTTTTTTGAGACAGCTCTCACTATGCTGTTCAGGCTGGCCTTGAACTCACTATGTAGCCCAGGCTGGCCTTGAGCTCACAGTGATCCTTCTGCTTCAGCCTCCCAAGTGCTGGAAATACAGGTGTGGGTAACCACGCCTGGCTGGCTTTAGTTTTAATATCTTAGCTGCACACAGTCTGGTTAGCAAGAAATTATAAACCATGAAAACAGGGTGTTTCCTTAGAGAATAAAATTTAATTCAAGAGGAAGCACATGGTTGAGAAAGATGGCAAACAAGGAGAGTTGCAAGGGGTGGAAAACAACAGAGAAACGGAGGGATCCACACTTCCCACATCAACATGGAGCGTCCAGCACACATCCTGGCTCCCCACACCAAAACCAAGAAATAAGGCTTTTTGATTCCGGTGGGAAATTCAATAGAGGTTTCAGCACAAGCCTTCATTGTGGATCCGTGGCATCTGGATCTGAAAATAGTACAACTTCTCAAGAAGGGTGTTATTTATTTCCTTCCTCTTCTGTGCTTACTGATGGTGATGAAGAACTGAGCTAGGAAAACTAAAAAGGTCTGAGAAAAAGGGAAGTGTTGGGGACAGTTGGGTGGGTTCTCGGCAGGCTCAGATTCTCGGTGAGCACAGGCACTGTGGATTGCTGGCCTGCTCCTTCCTGCTGGGGCCCGAGCCCTCAGGGACACCTCAGTCATGTGCAAACCAGGCCGTTCATGGGGCCTCTTTCTTTCTTTCTTTTTTTGATGTGCAAGGAACTGCGTGTCATTCTGAGAAGTCCTGTGCATGTGGAGGGGCTGTGGGTACATGCTTTAGATTTTGAGGGTATTTCTTTTGTTATAGATTTTTTAAATTTTTAATTGATGCATTCTAACTACATATTTAAGAGTTACACACACATATGGTAAAGGCCAGAAGTGGGTAATTAGCATGCTTTCCTGGTGAAAACATTCAAAGTCTTCTCTTCCAGCTGTTTTGAAATATATAATACATTATTAACCCCAGTCGCTCTGCTGTGCAGTGGTGCACTGGAATTTATCCTTGTTACCTCACTGTAACTTTGTACCTGCTGACCAATCCCTACCCCCTTCAGCCTCAGCTAAGTCCAGCCTGCCTTCTGGTTCCCTGAGATCCACTCTCTTCTAGCCCACTGGGCAGAAGGCACAGAATTTGTCCTTCTGTATTTGGTTTGTTTCACCTAGCATAATGGCCTCTCAGTTTCATTTACATTTTCCTGAATGACAAAATTCTGTCCTTTCTGATTTGATGTTATTCCTAACATGCCCTACTAAGTAGGTCAGGTTGGGGCTTGGATTGTAGGAGTAAAGTATAAACTCCAATTGGGCAAAGGGAATGAATTACATAGAAGAAACGAGTCAATTAGTATCCAAAAACAGTTTGAGTCTATATAGAGGCTCAGCTTTGAAAATCTTGGGGCCCTTTCTTTTGGAACCAGCCTTCCTCATTGCCTTTCTCCATCCTTCAGTCCCTCAGAACCTAGCCTGGTCCCTCCTGGTCAGCAGAAGCCCTGCCTGGCCCGTCCCAAGGCCACACCAGGAGCCACAGAAGCCCGTGTGCTCTGCAAAGCTGCACAGCTGTTCAGTCCCTCTGACCGGGACCTGAGCCCCTCAGTGCAGAGAAGTAGGAATCCAGGGCCCAGTCGGATGCTTCACACACACAAACGCGCAGTGAGCACTGCATGAATTTCAACAGAGGGCAAAACAGGAGTCGACAGCTGTGTGTGTGACATGCTTGCAAAATTTTTTTTTCCATTATTTTTAAGAAACAAAGAAAGTTGTGTAAAACAAAATACTAGAGTTTCCATTAGCAGCTGTCTGTTGCAGCCATGCATTAATTTTTGCAGGTACTAAGAACCAATTTGTTGTTTTAAAAATGCAAAACAACAACAAAAAAGAAAACTATCTGAAGTCTGCTTTGCACTTGAGAATAGTGTCCCAAGCACACTACCTACAGCAGCTCTTTGAGGGAGCAACTCCCCCTCTCCCACACACACACTCTTAGGGTGAAGGAAGTTACATTTGTATAAACTACCCATGCACAGACCAGAGCTCAGAGAGGGGAAACGAAACATCTGCTCGGGATAGGAAGGGGCCACTCCGGAAAAGAAGATGAAGCCTACAACAATGGTTGGAGGCAGGCAGAAGGGTGAGGGCAAGAAGATGGGTTGGTGGAGGCTGGGAATTGGGAAGGGAGCTGGGGGAGTAGTGGGGAGATCCCAGAGAGGGAGCAGAGCACTGCCAGGAGCAGACTATCACCAATGGGGTGAGCAGGACTTTGCTTGGTTCAGATGCAAGATGACAGGGAGGCGGGCAGTGGGGATCGGGATCGGGCAACAAGGCCCTAGGAAAGACCTGCAGAGAAGGACAGCTATAGCCTAGCAGGAGGAGCATCTGAAGGGATCTGAAGCAGAGGCGGAGGCGTCAGAAAAAAGGTGTCAAAGGTGAAGGAGACCTGGGAGGTCAGCTGAGATTATGAAACTGACCCACATGGTGAAACCCAGCTGAAAGCTGGTGTGCGCGTGACTGAGCCTGTGAGCGGACTGCAGCCGGCTCGGAAAGAACTGGACGAGCAGGCAGCTCAATGTTTGTTGTGCTAGAAGAAACTAGGTGGAGCTGCGTGTCAGGGACAGCTCCCGGCTTGTTCAGAAGCAGGCGGGACAGTGATGCAAGGACAGCTTCTTCATGACCTTCTGTTTTTTTCCTGGTAGTCTCCTCCCAGTGTGCTGAAGTTGCAGCCCGGAGAATAATGGTTAATACTAAGATTAATAGAAGGTAGGGAACCAGGAAACCAGCAACATGGCCATGCAACTGAATCAGGAACTCAGCAAGACAAAGCAAGGTGCCCCGCAGGATAGTTACACCAGTTTGAGAGCATAACAAAGCAGCCTTGTAGTGAATTGTCTAGCTTTCTGGGGACACAACCCAGAGTCCAGTAGCAAGCACCGAAATAAATGAGGAAAGCAGGGACTCAGAACCCAACTCGGACAACAGAACCTCAGTCAGTCAGGGCAGGGGCTCCAGCGTGCGATGTTTAGTCGACCTTTAACCATGTGTTGATTTGCCGGCTTCTGCAGTGAGGGAAGCCAGGCTTTGAGTGCACTGTCTCTTCAGGGTAGCATTTAGTGGGCTGGCCCGCCAGGGTAGGCCTCCCAGCCGTCCTCAGGATGAGCTCACCTTACTGGAGTAACGGATCCAGGGCCGGAATTTTGCAGTTTATATTATGAGGCTTTCTCTGTCTTAGTAGGGAATTTCTGTGTTCAGACTAAAGTGAAAGAAAAGACCAGCAAATACTTATATCAAACCCAGAGTGGTTCATTTTCAGCGACATCTATTTGGAGATCTTCAAAAGAACAGAGTCTCTTGTGCTAGGTTTCAGGTATTGGTCAAGGGCTGGTAGAGGCCTCAGGAGCCCATTTTGTGGCCTCGTCTGTTTTATGATAGCATCTTAGAAACATGAACCATAGCAAAGGTGTCCTGGGAACCTGCGTAAATATTCACCTTTCGTCCTTCACCCAGTTAAGGGCCTGTATCAGCACCCAGAGCTTGGCCCATTCAGCGGACCAGGTTTGAGGAAATGCACCAACTGGGAGCATCTCTTCAGACAGCCTGACCACGACGGCCTTCCACTGCCCCGCCAGTTGCCCTGACCTCCAGCTGGAGCCTTAGCACATGCATACAGCTTGCTCACAGATGAAAGTGACCGTTAATGATAACAGAGGGCCGGCCATGCTGTTGGTCACAGTGAAGGCCGCCTTAGAACAGCAGCACAGCAGCCAGAGTGACACTCCCTGACCACAAGGCATGGGAGGTGGGGGGAGGCCCATGCTGGCAGCTGGTGAGGTGGGAGCCCCGGAGGGCCCCAAACCCTGGAGCTCCAGATCTCAGGTGGGGAAATCTTTGAAGCTCTCAGCCCAGCAGCCTGGTCTCCTGGAAAACACCCCTGGTTTCTCACTGACTGGTTTTGAGTTTCTCATATAAGAGAAATCATGCAATATTTAAGTCTGTGTCTGATTTATTTCACTTAATATTGTGATCTGAAGGTGCATCCATCTTCTTGCAAATGACTCAGATTTATTCTTTGTAGCAAAGTAGGACTCCATTGTGCATAAACACTGCTTTTTCTTTATCCAGTTGTCTGCTGATTGGGATCTTGGATTTCTTAGGATCTTTTCCCCCAAGTCAGATAGCTCTGTGTTCTAAGACACAGAAATCTGCCACACATTCACCAAGTTCATCAATAAAACAAAATTAGAAATTCTTCCTTTCCCAGTCACTGACAACAACTGACAAAAGGGTCGGAGCTGCCAGGAAGATGACAACCAGTGTAGATATACCCTCAACAACCTGCTTCGTACCGAGGCCTTAGCAACCAAGCAGGGCCTCTCAGCAATGATCCCGCAGGGCATTAGCCAAGGCCTACGATGGCCTCCCAGGCTGGGGTGACCACAGAGGATTGTGGTTACGGTACCCTGAATTCACACATGGGAAATGCTGAAATATCCCCGGAGCTGCCCAGAAGGGCGAGCACGTGAGGGCACACACACAGATATGCATGTGCCAGACGTGGCTGCTTGGAAACTGTCCCGTCACACAGGACAGCTCACCAGGGCCAGTGCCTTAGGTTGATGCCCAAATAGAGGATGAGATCCTGCTAACAGGGCTGGATGGCACCCAGCTTTCTCCTCAAACCCCACTGCAGGCTTTAGTTTGTCATTATAAAAAAATATTTCTTGGATACAGGAGATACTGAGCCCCACTTTGTGCTAACCTGGCATGAATTGGGGATCTGTTGGTCGTCGTGGAGTAGTAGCATAGGCTGGGGAAATTATAGTGTGGGGCTTGGCTGAGAAGGCTGAGGGTGAGAAGCGCAAACCTCACGGCAGAAGCAGACCGATAGGAGTAGAACCCCTGAGTTGCTTTTGGCTTTGGGACTGTCTTGGTGAACTGTTCCTGGAGGTGCCAGACAACTGAAAGGAAGAGTCTGAGGCTAAGCTGGAGGGTCAGACGGGAGGTGTCAAAGACTGGGCAGGGCAGGGCTGAGGGGAAGGCAGCTGCTGTCCAAACTGCAACTCCAGTGACCGTGACCATGACCGAGACAGCAGGTTTAACCACTCAGTTAGAGCCCGTTCCTTAGAGGAGAACTTCAGCTGATTCAGGGAATGGTCACAGACACGCAATCTATGTGATTCAAGAGACTGAATGTACTGTGTAGTCAGAATTGGGCTTCAGTCCCACAGGATTAGGATATAAATGCATCTCATGAAAGAAGTGCATATGGCATTTCAATGGCACGGTAGACATGTCTGCAAGCAGTGAGGGTGAACCAGGTCTTTGTTTGGAATGGTTCTGGTTTCTACCTCCTATTTAGATGTAGTTATTGTTATTACCTGTATTATTTGTACCCTTTTACTGCTTTGTTTTTTTATTTTATTTCCTTTCTTTTTTCTCTTTAAATAAAAAGTATAACTTTGAAAAATTAAGTGTGTTAAAAATAAATTTTAAAAAATTATTGTTATCACCCACTTTCATGCTTACCGTACTTTGAGTGGTCACTTCTAAGATCTCCGGAGTGATCAGCTAACTTGGCATGTGTCATAATTGAGGGGAGGCTTGGGGTTAAGGTCTCAGCATGAAGGGGAGTGGTAACTGAGGCCCAAAAGGACACAAGAGAGAGTGAGAGGAGAGAAGAGGGTTTTGGAAGGAAAGAAAAAGAAAAGAAAAAGAAAAAAAAAGATGATCCTTTCTAGTGCTGGAAGGAAAAAGAAGGCATTTATCAAGGACAACTTCTATGATAGAGGAAGAAAACCAAAAGGCAGAAAAGCATCTGTTGAGGACAAATGGGTGGATCTGTGGTGAGCTCAGAGCTACAAGGACCCATGTTCCCTGGCAGAGCAAGAGTGACTTTGCAGAATACAGCAGTGTCACAGACTGACACAGTGTGAGTCATGGCTACAGAACTGGATCCAGGTCACCTCGGACTGGGTCAAAGGTGATGACAGATACCAGTGAGCTATCTGAGGAAGCTGAGGTCTGAAGGAATCAGAGGAATGTGGTGTGCCTGTGTGTGTGTCTGTCTGTGTGTGCACCTGCCCTGAATAATTCAAGATATTGTCCAACCCTGACTCTGAGATGCACTTGGAATCCTAAACATACAAACACTTTAGATCAACCCCTTCCCTAGGGCAGATAAGGAAAGAGACCCAAGGTTGCTGTGTCTGCACTGTGCGGCACCTCTAGATCTGGAAACCGAGGGACCAGTTCCACGGGCTCACCTCAGAGCCACCAAGGTTTACTGATAAGAACACACAGTCAGCACAGTCTGAAGTCCTCTTGGTGGATTAAAATAATTGTGCACATAGCACCATGCAAGACTGGAGAACCCTTGTCATGCAAGATCAATGTGCCCCTAGATTTGCTGAAATTCATGTGCCCATTTCCCTGTGCCACAGAATTTCTGTTTGAGAGACATCTAAGAACGAGCCTTGGGAAGGAGAGCTACAAGTGTCCCAGGGCTGATGGCGTGTCTGTCATTGAGACCTTTCCATCATGAGTGTGAACGCGCAGTCAAATACTCAGAGCACCTAGGAAATTCCACTTTTGTTGGGATTTACTGGGCCCTGTGTCCCGAAGCAGGAAATTTCCATTCTCTCTCTTCTTTACTACCCTGCTCCTCCTCACTTGAACTGAGAGGCTGACCTGGATGGGACCATTTCTTGAGCGTGGGCTCCATGATCCACAGGCTACCTTCCATGACAGTTTTTCTCAGGCCCTCTGTTAAACTCTCCTGTCTACCTTTCCCAGAGGCCTTTTCCCCCTGATACTTCACCCAGGAAGTCCTCTCTTGGGAAGAAGATTTGGGGCTCATTATTCATTCATTTTTAAGCAAATGCCGAGTGCCTACGTTGGTGGTAGGGATGGGGATAAAATAATGAGCAAAGATGGGCCAGGACCAATAGGATGAGTGTGCAGGGGCATCCTGGGGTGAAGCAGGTGGCGACAACTTTGAGCCCAGCCTGGGCAGGGACTCAGACACTTAGACAGACCCTGTCTCAGAAAAAGAAAAGAAAGAAAAAAAAAAAAAAAAAAAAAAAAAACCAGACCAGGTGCTTGGTGCTGTGAGGCTTAGGGAGGATCACAGAAGATAGAGTCTCGGGAATGGCAGGGATCAGGAGGCCTCCCCTGAGGTTAAACAGACCCAAGCCATGGGAAGGCGGCAGAGGAGATTTACCCACGCTGCGTGAGGCCTACTGGGGTGCAGCACGACGTATGTGAGGGGTTGGCAGAGAGCGGCGGTGAGGAGTCGGGGTAGATGAGGCCAGAGCATACCAATGCAGGGCTGTGGAAGAGAGACCCACAGTTCACCCTGTCTCCACCACCTGCTCCCCCTTGCCAGGGACCTCCAAGCTGTCCTTCCCACCCGGAGCTCCCCTCTAGCTCCCTTCCTGCCTGGTGTCCAGCATGGGCACGAAGAAACATTTCCTTAGTGCAATGTGAGATGTTTTATGTTGTTTTCTCATTTGTTTTCTTGCCTTGGTCGTAGTTGCTTTGCCAAGTAGAGCCTATCCTGGGAGGATCCTGTAATAATTCTAGAAAACCCATCCTGATTACGGGTCTTCTCTGCAGTGGGAATAGAGTGTGTGTCACAGGGCGGGCTGGTCCTGGGCCATCTGTGACAGAGGGTAAGGATTTTCCTGTTGAGCCACTATACTCTCCTGTGTCTGTCCCTCTGTATTACTCTACTTCTTGACACCACTCGGTGGCTTGCTCATAGTAACGTACAGTGAGTCAGTGTGATTCATTCCCAACTGTATTTATAATCTGAATGAAAATTCGTTAAGGGAGTGAACATGTACTGGTTTGTGAACTTTTAGGTGCTGTGGGCAGAAGAGTTCTTCAAGGAGAAGTTACCCTCTCCAACCCCTCTCAGCCCTGTGAAGCTGTGTCCTACCCACCCATATGTGGCCCAGGATGAAGGTGATGTTATGGTCTGTCCGCACCCGAGTCCTCCACCAGACCTGATTCAAGTTAGCTAAGAGTGGGCTCCAGGTACCCACAGGAACCTGGGCTCACTTGACCGGCTCTGCACTGTTGTTCATGTATTTCTTTTTCTTCATCTTCCTCCCTCTCCCATGCTCACATATGTCCTCAAAATATAAATATTAATTTTTCTGCCCCCCAATTCACATGTTAAAACTTAACCTGCTACATGATGGTATTAAGAAATGAAGTGTAGGGAGATGATTTGGTAATAAGGGTGGGGAGCTCATGCATGGAGTTAGTGCCCTTACAGGAGACACCACAGTCTTTCTCCCTTCTACTAAGCAAAGATACAGTGGGAAGACAACTACCCCTGCAACCAGGAAGGGGACCTTTCAGACACGTAGTCTGCTGGTGCTTTGATCTCAGACGTTTTAACCTCCAGAACGGCCAGAGATGAGCTTCTGTAGTTAATAAGCCATCCTACCTGTGGCATTTTGTCACAGCAGCCCAAGACCTGGATGCGCCTTGGGATTCGTTTTTGCTTGATTAGACAAGGGACATAAAAAGGTACTCAAATTACTTGAACTTTGGACTCGGAATACAAAGGCCTAGTTATGCCAAGAGCTTGAAAGTTCATACCTGGGCATGGTGGTATGTATGTACCTATAATCCCAGAATTCTGGAAGGCTGAGGCAGGAGGATCAAATTTGAGGCCAGTCTGGGGAACTTAGTGAGACCCTGTCTCAAAATTAAAAAAGAAGTAGCGGGAGGAAGAAGTGGAGGAAAAGAAAGAAAAAGGGCTGAGGATGTAGCTCATTGTGAAGGTCCTGAGTTCAAATCCCTAGTACTTAAAAAAACAGAACTGAAAATCCATAAACAGTTGAGCTTGTAGATCGCACCCTATTTTCTTTAAAACTTCATTGCCACAAAAGCTAAAATCCCATTTTAAATGGAGAAAAGAGAAAGTAAGACTAATCTCTGGCCACCGGCTGAAATATTTGGTTAATCAAAGACCTCAGTGGAGTCCCACCGGAGTGGGTGTTGGGGAATCACGGTAGGTGCGCCGTGTCTGGATGTGGAGGGAGAAACCCCTTCAGCCCTGCTCTGGGGACACCTGTGCCTCTGTCTTACTGCGCCCCAGCACCT